TCCAGTCTATCAATCGATAAGTAGCCAAAATTTATTTAATTCTAGAGACTATCGTTATCCCACGAGAACCGTTCATTTTTTCTGAGGTAAAAGTAACCTATGTGCTATTCTAGACTATAATCTATCTCTGTGCCAAATCTCATCCAGATCCGTCCAGCCGTTCTGACGTGAATGAGTAACAAACATCCATCTAAACCGTCACATTTATTAATTTGATAATATTTATTTATTGTGGGATAAATACTTCAATAGCAGCTTTTCATTCATTTCAAGCTGTAGGTAAGTTCCTAACACACATCTCAGGCATTCGTAATCCTAGCTGTACCCGCTATTATCAGTATAGGGCAGGAGCAGGAAGGCCTTACACGGTGCACTTTTTGCAACTACCGTTATACTGTATCAATGATGCTGATTATTGCCGAGTTATGTGACTCGTCTTAAGTGTAAATAAAGATTGACCATGTCTAGATATACTTATCGCGAATATGAAACGCTTTGACTCGACGTCAGCCTACAAATATGGGAGGGTATTTTTTTTTTATTTTTCTATTAATAGAAAAATAAAAAATATAAGTGCTATATCTACGAATTAGGTCCATCAATAGATATAAGCTTCAGCTATGTTTTTTAAAGTTGCACAATATAAAAAAACCTGTTAAATTTGCCTGACCGTGTGATTAATGTTTAACAGTATTATCCATACTAATATTATAAATGTGAAAGTGTGTTTGTTTGTTTGTTTGTTTGTTTGTTTGTTTGTTTGTTTGTTTGTTTGTTTGTTTGTATTTTTTGTTTGTTTATTCTTCTTTCACGTCGAAACGGAACGACGTATTCAAGTGATTTTTTTGTGTGGAGGGCTGCAGAGTGACATAGGCATACTTTTTACTACGGGAGATTATCTAATTCCCACGAGGAAATACGTTCTAATTCAATCCAAAAAAAATATTTATGATTAGAATTACTTGAAACTTGGTATTAATGCTCTTTAATAAAATAAAATGTATACGTATTTTAGCATTTTTCGAAATTCATCCCATAAGGGGGTAAAATAGGGGATGAAAGTTTGTATGAAACTACCTTTTTAGAGTTTTATTTTAGTTTTAGCGCAAGCGAAGCCGCAGGTTCTGCTAGTATGGCTATATACGAAATTAGATTGCAATTATTATTACATATTCTTTCGCTTTCGCTACCATTATTATAACTCCATAGATTCCATAAATTTTATAAAAATACCCGATAGTTTTGTAATTTTTTCCTTATGTCACATGAAGCAGTGTGATAAGCAATAGTTTGCATCATCTACTTCGGAAGATGCTGCCATTATGTTTTTAGGGAACTCCTCGTCCTTCCTTTCCTCAGTCACATCACATCATTGTTACATCGACGTAAGTCACGAACACACTGTAAACGATCTTAGATTCTGTCTCTGACAAATTTGGTACACATTATAAAACAAGTACACACATACATACATATGAACATTTTAATTTTGTAGATTTTTCGGATAAAAAATTAAAGAAAAATCATTTTATAGATCTTCAATAAAACGGATTTGAAATATAACGAATAACTTTATATATTACTTTATTAAACTTACTCGTCTAAATTAAGTTAACACGCTGAACTCGAATGTAACAAGTCAAGAGCTGACTAACAACGTTCGTGTCATCCCGTTTAAGAATAACTTGTTACGTCACGTGCGACGTGTGTTTTGTTGCGAATTACACTTACTGATGTTTTAAGACGAAACTTATAAATACAACTAGCATTGCCCGCGGCTGCGCCCGCGTTCCAATGACCAAAAAACAAATTCTTATGTTTTACATATTAGTATACTCTTACATTACAGTTTTTGTATTTTTTCTTAGAAATGAGATATTTTTCCGCGGTAAAAAGTATCCTATATGTTGACCCAGATAACCAGCTATCACCATACCAAATTTCATCAAAGTCCCTCCAGTGGTTTTTCCGTGATGCGGTAACAGACAGACAAAAAAAAACCGACAGACAGACAGACAAAAATTCTAAAAACTATAGATTCGGCCTCTGTATCGATAATAATGTCTATTTCTATAAGTTTTTCCACAAAATATTTAATGTACAGAATCGGTTTTGTTAGAATGTTATTATATGTATAGATTAAAGTTCTTATTACTTAAGAATTTCAGTTTAAAGGATTATGTAGGGTGTGTTCAATTTAATTCAATTCTTTCGTTAATAGCTTCAAAGCGTGCTAGTTCAGTACCGATAACTTCGCGAATCGTTAGTCGGTAAAATAAGATTATTGAACTATATATTAATTATAAAGTATAAAAAACGAAGTAAACCCTTTACATTTACAACAAAAGTACGTTTTCGACGTTAATTTGGAAGGCATGAAATTTGCCAAAATCAGGGTATCAGGTATATATTGAATTGTTTAATATATTATATTTTATCTAATAAATATTCTTATAGGTAGGTACTTACTCACAGGCAGTTTCCTGTTCCTCAGATAAATGTAGAAGCGTCTCTTTAGCTTTTTAAACTATAGATATAATAAATATGATGTAATTATAATATAGCGAATAATTGCGGCGACATTCATGTTTTAAAATAGGTAATTCTCGATAAAATATGGCACTTAAATAATATAAATGAAACAAATGTACACTTAATAATAACTGTCAATCATGGACGAATTAGAGATTCGTTCATGCTGTCAATATTGATCTTAATTTTTAATATATATATATATATATAAAGTTAAATATAAAAAATGTATAAATTATAAATGGATATAATATGTTTTTGGCCCGAGTATAATGTATAATATGTATTATGTAGGTACTAAGTACTCCCAGGAACCTGTACTAGAACTAGTATTTATTAGTACTTATTTAATAACTTTTCCTATGGATTCATATGAATAAAAAATAATGAAATGAATTAAACTATTTGGTAAATGGCGAAATGAGTATATTTATATTTCAAACGTAGTTTGATATTAAATTAAATCATCATCTCCATGCCCACTTCCCAAGTTACTTGGGATCGGCGCATTAAGTCTTCCTCTTCCACTCTCCCCTATTACTCCTCATCTCATCATTCCCCCCTTTCTCTTTTGTCATCAAACAGCCTATTCATATTTTCTTCGGTCTTCCTCTAACTCCCTCCTCTTCAAATGTCCATGCCAATTCTGAAATTAAATTAAATGTACCGTAACAATAACTAAATAAAATTATATGCACTTTATAACATATTTTAATTCTATATTTTGCTATATCGATAGAAAATGTTTTAACACATCACCATTGTTTTATGTATGTAACTATTTTTTGGCCATATCTTTTAGATCACGTTTTTCACTTTTCTTTGATGCGTTATGTGCAGTTATATATTTTCGTCTTACACATCATTTCCCTTAGTTTGTGGTCGGCGCAATACATCCATACTGCTTATTGGTTTTGACAAAAAATTTCCGACCGGCCGCCTGCCTGACGTCAACCCTCTTTGGGAATGTTTCTGTTCGCCCACCATCGAGTCAAGGACTTAAGGTGCGATGTCCCTAGATCCTTTAGTCATCTTCTAAGACACCTACAGGAGGAGATGGGGTGGCACTATTCTAAGCCAGGCGCTACACGGACGGTTCGTCTTACACGAACTATCTAAAATCTCTGTTTTAAATAACTGGAATATTTTATTAAGACATTTTTATTAATATTGTGCTAACGTATGATTTTTAATGGGCTATATTTTGCTGCTCTCGCCTTATAATATATAGAAAACTTACTAATTTAAGATTTGAGCACTACAAGTGCACTTAGCGACTAGTGTGAACTTGTTTTAAGTAACTTCGTTGCAACCTCGAGTCAAGTGTTCTCAAACACTTCAAGTTAAGATTGTTAATATTAGTAACTTATGATGTTTTTGATAATTTAACACAAATATATTTTTAATTTAAAACATTTTCATCAAAAACTAACTGTTTTATCATGCATCTCAACAAACTCCAAAATTCTTAATCACGCAGTTAGATTTTTCATAATAATTCATAAACTTTAATTTTGAATTTGCTAAAAAAGTTAATGGGGTTTACATTTGCGTAGTAGCCTAGTATGTTTAAGATTGTATAAATTGTATCGTGTTTGCAGTTCAGTGGGTCGAAGTACGCTTATCTCGACCAATTCACGAATTCTATTCACTATCACGATGAACTGTGACATTCGGTATAATTTCTTTATAATATTTGCTCTTGGGCATTGCTTAAGTTCTTCTACAACATAGCATTATATGCTCATATTTAATCCTTTATCGCTATATTTTGATTAATACTAGCTTTATCCGTAGGTTCACATGTGTAAATATTCTTAATACTTAAATCCGTGTGTAGTAATTTTCATTGCAACTAAACAGACTACAAGTTGGTGCGCTGCAACGTCATCTAGTGACGAGTTACAGCAAAATCAATAACAACTATGTTGTCCATGAGATATTACACTAAATTGAAAATTTTAAAGCAATTGGTGAAGAATTTTCGAAAAAATGCAGCATTTAACAAACGCACACAAAAATTTTTATTTATATAGGTTTGTATACATATAAGTGCGTATAAGAAATAGCAGTCATTTTTTTTAAATGTTGAAAGATGTGAAGTATGACACAGACCAGAATAGAGAGGATTCCAAAAGGCCTATTTAGTTTGATCTGACTAGTCTGAATTAAAAACAAAACCACATAAGTTTTTAATCAGTTGGTTAGATTTAATTATAAATAATACGTTGAGCCCGGTCCGGTCCCGGTTCTATATTTCTACACGAAGCGGGGGACGCTTCATACATTAAAGAATAAGTGTAGGCAAAACATAAAATAGAAAAGTTAATCGATTATAATTTTCGATGAGTGTACATTATGCAATGATATTAAGTTACATTATGATATGGAAGCATCCAAATCATTAAATAACACATGTTAACACATTTTGATATACAAATTAACGGTTTTTTTAATTATTTTTTCAGAGGCAACCAACGATGTAGTAGCTACAGCTGCGGCAGCTGAAGAAGGTCAGATCGCTATCCTGGTGAGAGGACCATCGAGAGTAGACTCGGGTCGTGAAGAGCTGTTACATGCGAAAGGCTCTGATGATAATTCAATATCATTGTACTATAATAGCAAAACCAATAAAAGTAAGCAATAAAAATGTTTTACACCCATTAACCAAATTCTTCTTATCAAGGAAAAATAAAAACTTAATATACCTATATTTTTTTTCAGTCTATCTCGAAAGCTTAAATGGAGGTCATATAAAATCAGTATCATGGGGCTTAGGAGCTTATCCACGGGGCACAATACTTTTGGTGGTAAACCATTCAAGAGTTAAAATCGTGGTCGGCTGTAAGGCATTGCATTGGCACAATATGTCTAGTAGGCATGACGTGTTGAAATTGTTCGCTAGTCAAAAATTGAAAGTGGTAAGAATCTTTTCACATCTTATTAAATGATATCAAATATATATGTATACTAGCGGCTCACCCTCGCTTCGCTCGGGTTCACCTCTACAAAATCAAATACAAATCTATCTCTCGGGAACCGTACATTTTTCCGGGATAAAAAGTAGCCTATTATTATTCCAGACTATAATCTATCTCTGCGGCAAATTTCATCCAGATCTGTTCAGTCGTTCGGCCGTGAAAGAGTAAAAAGCATCCATACATACTCACAAACTTTCACATTTATAATATTTACATATTATTATATATTATACAGATTATATTGTTTTAATATTTTTTTAGTATCACGAGGAAAATGCACCAGTAGAAGTTTATACCAATGAAAGATCGGCATTAGATTCTATAAGTTGTAACCATCAAGAAGAACTAAAACCACCAACTCTAGTCACAGTAGATTCAGACGTAGATGAAGTAAAAGATTTCATAAAGAAAGAGGAAAGGATGAAGATGGAAGAAGAAATGCAAGGGGATTACCCTAATAATAATTACATTGATCCTAACATTTACCCTACGCTGCCACAGCCCACAGTTCCTCCAAGAGGGGATATCCCTGCAGCTGATATTGAATCTTGTGATGGTGAGCTAAAATCTATTAACGATACACTAATTTATGATTAATTTAATCGCTAGGTTAGTTAGCAAAATAGATTGTTTTTATTTAATTTATTACTCAGCTAATTTTATATTATTTATTATTTAGACAAAAAATATATAAAACGTAGAGTTTTGTTATAATCAGTGTGATACTCTTATGAAAATTTTACTTTTTTCATTTAGCATCTGGCACAGAAAATAAATTCAATTTACCTACTAATATATTTTTTTATAATTTCAGACGAAGTGATTCGACAGTTGACACTCCTTCGACAAACCATAGAATTGCTACGTAATGAATTGAGGGAGCAAAAGGGAAATATCGACACTCTTCGAAATCAAGTTCTTCTGTGTTGCAATAGAGCGCCATCACCTCCTCCCGTAGAGAGATGCTCTGGTTCATCATGTTACCCTGGTTACTGATATTTCTATTAATATTTATTGTTATTTCATTTTACTTTCAAACTGTATTACTAATTCTTACGTTCACTTTTGTTTCTTTTAACGTATTGTTAATCTAACTTAAGGGTCCATTAACATCTTTCTGATATTCTATAGGTCTAAAGAGCAAAATGCTGGCTAGATAATGGTTCTTTATATCTCTTGCATAGTTTCTATACTAAAATTATGACAACCTATTAGTTCTATAATATCGTCATTATCAGACTTTAACCAGAATAAGGGTGAAGTAGTGAGTCAAAGTTTGGAAAATGGAAATATTTTTTGTTTTCATTCGTTAGAACTGGTTAGTTTTAAAATAATAAGTTGATAATTATGATTGATTGCGCATATTATATGTTTATAATATATGGTGCCTCCTAGTTGTACAGTTTTGTATTAACGATGAAGTCTATTGTATTTTTGACACCAACTTAGCCAAGCCTTCAAGAATCAGAAAAACGTGAAGGAGTCTTGAAACTCATGTATTTCTCCTAACATTAGCTGTAGTTTTAAGGTAAATCAAGCAACATTATCAGTGTGGGTTTGATTAAATATTATAATAAACGATCGCGTTTTATTTCCAACATATCCCTTTGCTAAACGAACCTTTAGTAATTTATGACAGAGTTTCAAGTTTCGCCCACGTTATTTGGTACTAGTTGCTTGATTAGCCTTGGCAGAGCCTTTTAAGGTATCTTGAGTAAATTGATTCTAATCACACCTGGTATAGTTATAATTGAATTTATTATGTTTAATGTTATGTTTCGTGGGGTAATGACAAACTCTGTTCATGAATTGTTAATTAGTTACCTTCAATTAAGCCAGTCGACAGTTATTTATCTATATATAAATAATCTTAATTTGTAAAGTGTAATATGAAGATTTGTCTGTTCGTCTGTTTGTTTGCATCACCAAAACAGTTAATATTGAAAAATCTGTTAATAGCATATGATATTTTGCAATGTAGATAAAAATAGGGTTTGAAGATAACCTTATGCTTAGTCAAAATTAATACTTGGCAGTTAAATTTAAAATATTCAATGGGATGACACAATTTGTTTTACAGTTCAATGAAATACATTGAATTAAAATTAATTAGCGTAAAGCCATTAAATTCTTACATATATAATAAAACAATAGGTACTTGTTTACATTTGCATAATGTAAAATATGTAGTCATAAAGCTGTATATGATGAGAGTAGTATTAATATTTGTTGAAAATAATTTTGATTTTAAAATATATATAAGAAATAGTGAAAATGAGACGGATGAATAGCATCGGACAAACGGATGAATCTGATTTTGATAAATATTGTACAATGCTGTTGTTCAATCATTCAAGTTGTTTCTTTATCTGTTCTTCACTAAATGCAAGTTAAAAATGAATGGCTGGTCGAATTTCAAAGGGAAACAGGACTATGTCAATTCAATCGGTCACCTAATTCTAAGGCTGGCTACACACGCAGAATTTTCTGATTCGATTTTCGGCATTATTAATATGCGGTTAGCCTAAGATACAGCCTTATTTAAATACTTCTTTAAAAACTAGGGATCAAAGCTAGGTGTTGTGTATTCTATAAAAATACGCATCCAAGCGAAACCGTAGGATGTAACTTGTTACCTGTTGTGTTACCTTTATAGACTTTTTTCATTGCCAAGTGCATCACTCGAGAACGGCTGAACCGATTTGGTAGATTTTTTATGAAATCTCAATCGTAATAGTTAGTAAAGTTTTTAGGATAAAAAAAATTGAAACTGATTGTGAATTTTGCTATACAATTTTATGATCTTAAAGATCACAAATAAAATTGAAATTGGAACAGGACATCGTCTGTCGGGTCAACTAATAATATAGTAACAATAAATGGCATTCTCGATATATTTTGATTTGCAAGAAAATTATCAGGTGTGGAATGCCGGAACACTGCTAGTGGAGTGGAGTGCGGGTCTTGTCCGTCCGGCATGGAGGGAGACGGCCGCCGCTGCAGGCCTGTGACCTGTGACCGAAGACCTTGTTCACAAGGTACCTAAAATATTAAAATTTGACTTTTTAATTTGAATTTGATTTAAAAGTATTAATTATTATGAAATTGATGAAAAAAATATGCAAATATATTATATTACAAAAAATTATAAAGGTCTGTGTCGATCTATAATTTAAATTATTTTATTTTTTACAGCTGAGTTTTTGCCATTTGCTTGTACAGTATTGTCTAAATACTTAATATTACGTTTGTTCTATATATATATTTTGAATATAAACATAATTTCAATAAATGATTTTTGGAAATAAAGTATTACAAAAGAAATTTTATTTCAGTTGAATTCTGTACCGACACTGACAAAGGATATCGATGTGAGCGGTGTCCCGGCCGACAGACCAGCGACGGTCAGACGTGCCGGTCCGCCTGCGATCCTAACCCATGCTATGAAGGACGTACGTAGACAAATAAAAAAAAACATTATTTTGAAGTAAAACTTCTTTACGCACGCTTGATTTGGAGAGTAAGCTGGCAAATGCGTGACAGAGCGTTACGAAAAGTGTGATCGGGCGAGGCGAACGCTTGTTGCCATGGTAACCGTTATTATTGTCTGACAAATGATATATAATATTCTTTCTTAAATGATATTCTATAAATATATGATTGTAATATACCTAATATGCCTTATTTAATTTTTATTGATTTGCTAATTTAATTGCGATATTTGCCAAAGAAGTTTTACTTCAACTGAGCGTAAAGATTACACGCACCCATGTTTTTTTTCTAATTACATGAAATGCACTTCTCGATGTGAATTTATAAAATATATAATGATATCGTACTTTTGTCCATAAAATATTTTTATACCTGCAAGAATTTTAATATTGGGGAGAACATTTCAGTTCTTTTGACGTCCCGCTGCTGAGCATGTACCTTTAATTTGAAGTGGATCAAAGATATGGGACACCTTTTCCTACGGGAAAATCTTTAATTCCCACGGGAAAACACAATAACTGATTCTGTCGAGTCGTCCTTAAAAAATATATGGTCAACGCAAGCTAAACCAAGTGATATATCAAAACAATATATTAGAACACTGTAGGTGGAAAGGCCTACTGGAAGGCCGCAACAGCGTATGCCTATCTCCTAAGATACACTCGCAATAACAATTTTTATCTATTTAAAACGTACTTGGGAAGCCGCTAGTATTACTCTAAATTCTAAAATGAGATAATTAACAAAATGAGTGATACTTCAGGTGTCCAATGCCAAGACCAACCTGACGGCAGGTATCGTTGTGGGCCTTGCCCCGCCGGCTACACTGGCAACGGGCAGGAGTGCGTGCGGCTCGCGTGCCGCTCCAACAGTTGTTTTCCAGGTTTGTACGATAATAATATTACTTTAAAGCAAAAATGAAGCTATTTTCAAAATCTTTAATCCAAATAATAATTATTTTAAATAAATTTAATATAGCTAATTTTTAATATCTTTAATAAAATTATAAGATACTCTAAATTACAGGTCAGGTAACCTCGCGTCTTGCGTTTATTAACTCAACTTATTATTAAATAAACTAAAGGACTGTGAATCTCGGACAAATGTTTCTATCGACAATACAAGTATTTGCAATATCGAAGAGATTTTTGACAAAAAAAACACACTTTTATTAATATAACTAATTCTAATTTTCCAGGAGTAGAATGTGTAGAGACGTCTTCAGGTCCCCGCTGTGGGTCCTGTCCTAGCGGATACTTGGGGGACGGGCATCGATGCCAGACCCTCTGCGAGGCGAGGCGGCCGTGCGGCGACAGGCGCTGCACACCCATCTCTGATAGTCCTTACTATCAGTGTGAGGAATGCCCTAAGGGCTACGAGTGGAATGGTGAGTTACAAATACATGGTAATTGGTAGGTCAAATCCGCTAATCTTAGGTTTAAATAAGGTTCATGAAGTGAGATATAAATAATTTAATAAAGGTTTTTAAATTACTGAGTATTGAATGATTATAATCTTTACAGGAAATGTATAATAAATATTGTAAAAGTACGTAGCCCGCGGAAATTGCTTCGCTCTTGAAGATTATAGGGTGAATTTTATTCATTGAATAGACGATTAAATGCGAAAATATTATTTCAAATCGGACTACGGTAGTAGTCTGGAAGTATCCAGAGATTCGTCGCGAGTTCAAACAAAATGTTAATAAATGAACAAACTTTTTAGCATTATACAAATATTAATATAGATGAAACAACTGCCTCGTTGATCTAGTAGCAAATAGATAGACGGATAGGGTTCGAATCCTGAGCTGGGTAAAGTATTATTACTTTTTGTGATCCGTTAAGAAATTCTTGGTAACATCCGGCCGTAGCGAAGTTGGCTGTAAACACTAACACATCGAGTTGTACGCCTGATCTCTAACCAATCGTGTTAAGTTATCGTCCCAACCGAGTTTGAGAGTGATAGGAAAAAAAGAGTGCAATTGTGCAGGAAATTAAAGGTATATTTATAGTCTACATTGTTAGGTTTTAAGGTATATACATATATTATGGGCCTCTGTTTATGAAAAGTAAATAAATGATTCAATAAAAAAAAAATTTAAATAAGACAAATAAATGCAGGCTACAGCTGCGTAGACATGGACGAGTGTGACTTGGTGCGGCCGTGCGACGAGCTGGTGTCGTGTCGCAACACGGACGGCGGGTTCGAGTGCGGCGCGTGTCCCGCCGGGTACGCGGGCGCGGCGTGGGCCGGCGCCGGTCGCGCGCGCCGCCGGGACTGCCGGGACGTGGACGAGTGCGCGCAGGACGTGTGTCCGAGGGGGCGGCTGTGTGTCAACACGCCGGTGGGTATACTGATTTATGTTTTGTTTTTTTTTGGTTTCATGGGCAAAGGATGTTGATGTGTAAGGTCGAGTTTTTTTTAAAGGCAAAGGTTGTTGTGGTATTATGCTATATTGGGTTATTTAGATGATATTTATTAACATGAATGGAAAAGTTTAAGGGATGAGAAAAATGAGGAGGTAGGAATTAGAATGTTAGCTTTTAGTTATTTTTATTTGTATGCAAGGTTAAATTAAGTTGGTATCGAGTATAATTACATTTTATACGTAATTAGTACATTTTACAATTTTTCAGACAAATTGAAGATATCTAAGGATAATATAAGATAAGAATAATGTTCTTAATAGACTGATTTTTTTTATACAAAAATCTTTCAATTTTAACATGAATGATTTTGAATTAATGATCAATAAATTTTTAAGGTATTCAATTCAATTAAAATTGATTGGTTCGAGGTTTTGTATTTCCATGTAACACTAATCCAACCGTTGCCAGGGCTCGTACACGTGCGTGCCGTGCGGCGGCCACTACTACGTGAACACGTCGCGGCCGTGCGCGGAGGCGCTGCGCCGCTGCGAGCCCGCGCGCTGCCGCCGCTACAACGCCGTGTGCGGCTACGGCGCCGACTGTGTCTGCGCGGTCAGTATACTTTTATCATTGTTTTTTTTTATTTTTTTTTAGGATTACGTACCCGAAGAATGCCAACGGGATACAGAATACCCTATCACTAAGCCTCCGCTGTCCGTCTGTTTGTCAGTCCGCTGGCTGTATCTCATGTACCGGAATAGGTAGAGTTGAAATTTTCATTGAGTAATTTCTATTGTCGCTATAACAACAAATAATGAAAAACCGAAATGGCGAATTTCAAAATGGCCGCCATGCAAATAAAAAAAAATGATTATACTAGTATTTATTGGTCATGGTTATTTCGTCGCCGTATTTATTTTTAGCGTTGTTTTTTCTGAAATAAAGTACATCTAAACTTCATCCAATCAAAATATTTTCTTTTGCATTTATAATATTCTGATACTAAAAATCATCATACTTATTTTACACAGACCGGCTGGGCAGGTAACGGTACAGTATGCGGACCGGATAGCGACTTAGACGGCTATCCTGACCAGGAACTGCCCTGCTCCGAGCTACGTTGCAAAGCGGATAATTGTCCCCAAGTGTCTAACTCTGGACAAGAAGACGCGGATAAGGACGGACTTGGTGACTCTTGTGACCCTGATGCTGATGGGGATGGGATACCTAATATACCGGTGAGAGATACTTTATTAATATGCTTTATATTTTTTTCGGATTAGTTAAGTATAACATACATAATGTAATTTAAGGGTTTATCACTCTGATAAGACAATTTTGCTTAAATGGTGAAATTAAAAGCTTATTGGTAACCAAAATAATGTATGTATGTATGTATTCAACCCCAACCAAACCCCGGGTCCCTCTGATATTTTCATGTGTGAATCATGTTTAATATCCACTTGTTTTACGGCGAAGCAAAAACATCGTGAAGAAATGTTAAGTTACAGATAGTTTCCGAAAGATATGCTCAGTTCGCCAACTCGCACTTGGCCAGCATGGTGGACTGTGGCTTGTTTTCCTTTGTATTTTAGGGAAGCCCGTAGTCAGCAGTAGGGTATTAAAAAGGGCTAAATAAAAACAAAATGCTCTTCTCCTTGAGTTTGAATTTGAATTGAATCTTGACACCGCCATCTTCCGAACTTCGTGCTGCTACTGAGAATTTCTCGACAGAAATACTCAATGATCAAATTTGTCCTTGAACCTAGAACCTCTGGATCTGCGGCCGTATATGCTAGCAACTAGACCACCGAGATAGTTCACCATACATACATATAATGTTTCCAGGACAACTGCCCGCTGACGGCCAACCCCGACCAGCACGACCGCGACGAGGACCGCAGCGACAAGCGCGGCGACGCCTGCGACAACTGCCCGCGCCGCCACAACCCCGGCCAGGAGGACGCCGACGGCGACGGGCTCGGCGACGTCTGCGACCCCGACATGGATAATGATGGTTTGTTATATATTTACTTATAATATTCTAACAGAACTCTATTATTATAGACTTCGCTCGCGCTAAAACTACAAAAAAATATCTCTAAAACGGTAGGTTCCATACAAACTTTCATCCCCTATTTTATTACCTTTATGGGATGAATTTCGAAAAATGCTATTAAAGCTCGTTTTTATTTAATTGTATTGAAGAGCATTAATACCAAGTTTCATGTAATTCTCATTATAAGTTTTTGAGTTGTATTGTAACGTATTTTCCCGTGGGAATGAGATAATCTCCCGTGGTAAAAAGTAGCCTATGTCACTCTCCAGCCCTCCAACTATCTTTACACAAAAAATACGCCAATCCATCGATTCATTTCGACGTGAAAGAAGGACAAACAAACATAATTTCACATTGTTGTGTTTGTTATTCCTTCACGCTGAAATGGCTTGACAGATTTAGATGAAATTTGCTGACAAAAAGGCTGCTGAAATACTTACATAATAATTTATATAAATAAATATTCGATGTTTGTCCTCTATGTGTTCCCAAACCATTGATCTGAATGTGTTGAAATTTCTGGTGGGTTATTCTGTATACGCCTTAAAAAGTATCTGGCTCCAAAAAAAAAACTTTGAATATTTGTCTATTATGCGTTTCTAAAACATCGAGATTAAGTTGCTAGTTATTAATTTTACGAACAGATAAAATATATTTTTAGATCTTATCTTAAATTGTACAATCTGTAATTTTTCTCCTCTTAAGAGACGTTTAGACGTTTGACCGATTTAGATGATTTTGACTATTATGGAACCACCTGAATGGTTCTTAGATATTTTGAAACCTGATAGGTATCGCTGTTGTCAAAACCCGATGCTCATTTAATTTTCCGTCCAAACGAGATCTATAGCAGGACAACCATTAAATTCATAATATTGTTTGTTTGTTATGAATATCAATCACCAGGTATACTGAACGAGCGCGACAACTGCCCGCGCGTGTACAACCCGGCGCAAGAGGACACGGACGGCGACGGCGCGGGCGACGCGTGCGACAACTGCCCGCGCGTGCGCAACGCGGCGCAGGCCGACGCCGACAGCGACGGCGTGGGCGACGCCTGCGACAGCGACGTCGACCGCGACCAGTCAGTGCCGACCCTCTGCTCTCTACCTACTGCTATAAATTACGAAGATTAACGGCACGTTTGGCTCAGTTTGTAGTGACCCTACTTGCTGTGCCAGCGGTCGCGGGTTCGAGTCCCGCTGGGGGCATTCATTTGTGTGATGAGCACGAATGTTTATACTCCAATCATGGGTGTTTATATATATAATATATACATATGTATTTAAAATTATATATGTCTAGTGTATCAACTATCTTGTATCCATAACACAGGTCTCGTAGCTTACTATGGAACTAGGTGGTGCTGTGTGTTAATGTCCCAACATATTTATTTACTTGTATCCATTACTTTTTTGCTCTACACTTCGGTAAAGTTATAGTTCGATCTAGTCTAGTTACTATGGATATACGTATCTCCCTATATTAATTACCTCCACGGAAACGGAGACGGAGCGGGTGACGTCTGTGACAATAATGTTGCCCGCGACCAGTGACTGGTGTTATAAATATACTTGTATTCATTACTTTGTTGCTCCACACTTTGGTAAATAGTCAATCTAGACTAGTAACTATACAGATGTAGTAAGCGATACGTGGGATAATTGCCTGCGACAAAAACGGCTCGGCGACAACGACAGAGTGAGTGACACGCGCGACAGCGATGTTGACCGCGACCAGTGAGTGACTATTGCTTCAAAATACTTTATATGTTACTAGCACTGCCCGCGGCTCTGCCCGCGTTCAGATGACCAAAAACCATATTCTTAGGTGTTACATATTAGTATACTCTTATATTGCAGTTTTTGTATTTTTTCTCAAAAATGAGATATTTTCCCGCGGTAAAAAGATATGTTGACCCGGATAAAATTTGGTATTATGATAGCTTGGTTATTCAGGTCAACATATAGGATATTTTTTATTGCGGGAAAATATCTCATCTCTGAAAAATCTATAATAAACGTTAAAACGTAAATAAATAGGTACAAACCCGAGTGGAGCGAGAGTGGAATCGCTAGTATGTTATATATTTAATTCACACCAGAAATATTTTTCATAGAATTATATTATCTTTTTTTATTTATTTGTACATAGTTGTCTATCTTTTGATGTAAATCGAATTGCATTAAAAATAAATAGAAAGATAAAAATCCATTTAGCTTTAAATTACATGATTGGGTGGCTAGATTTGATCACCAAAACGGTAGTTATGCGACTAGAAAATCATTTACGCTCTAATTGAATTGTTTCTTCGAATTATGATGTCGCGATAGAACGTACACGGTCATAGAATATTTCAATGAAACAATGCGATGTGCATACGCTAACATAAGCAAAGCCATTTACCGAACATCCAATTATCATATCGTATACATTGTGAATCTATGAAAAAAATATACAATTTTAACTGTTTTTTGTATGATAACTACTTCTTGCGTTTTGGGGTCATTTTTATTTAGGGATTTCCAAATTCCAGAATGTGATGAGACAAATCATATATTTTTTTGCAATCTCTTCAATAAAATGGATACTCTGACTTAAAAGATTAATGTAAGTAAAAAAGCTACAGAGGTTTATTTCGAACTACCATAAAATCGTGTATAAGCCGTTATTTACATATGATGTAGTGTAGTAATTCAGCGGTTTGGTCACAAGCTAGTGTATCACACTTTCCACTTGCTTTAGGATTTAAATTAAAACGACAAAAAATCTATATAGCACATAGATTTATAGTATATTTATATTCAGTCCTTTTTAACGTCCCACTGCTGGGTACGGGCTCGTTCAATACGAGGGGGATCAGGTCTTAGTCCACCACGCTGGTCAAGTGCGGGGCGAACTTCACATGTCTTACGAGAACTTGCTAGGTTCTCTCAGAAACGCAGGTTATCAGAGGTGCGAGACCCGGGATTTGAACCCGCTTCCTGCCACTGTCCTATCTATACAGATAAATGATGAAGTGTCTGTTTGTAATGTCAAAATAACAGCGTTTTACTAAATGCACATGAAATTATATACGGTTCTTATAAGACAGAAACACAATATTTTAAATTTATGTCTATCTGTCTATTTGTTCCGGATAATCCTTGAAACGGTTGCACTGATTTTGACGGGACTTTCACTGGAAGATGGCTGATGTTACAGGGAGTAACATAGGCTACTTTTATTTTAGAAAAATAATTACGATTTAGGGTTCCACTCAAATAAATTAAAACATATCTAGGGACGAACCCGGGCGAAGCGAGCGTGAGTCGCTAGTAGCTAATATAATTGAAGTCCTCAAACACAAGACAACTTCCAGGGACGGCATCCAGGACGGGCTGGACAACTGCCCGAACCTCGCCAACAGCGACCAGCAGGACGTGGACGGCGACGGCAAGGGCGACGCCTGCGACCCGGACATCGACGGCGACGCCATCCCCAACCTGGAGGACAACTGCCCGCTTGTCTATAACCCGGATCAATCCGATGTTAATTGTAAGGATTACATTTTAATATCTTTAAATGTATAAAACACGCCCACGCTCTTTCATTGATGCCTTAAATGATATTATATTTAGTTGTTTTATAATACTATTCCTGTTAATGTGCCCGCAACTTATGCTATTAGAAGCAATTTATATAAAATAATAATAACAAACCCAATAAATGTATTGTAAATTTAAATGAATGCTTTTATAGAAAAAATGATAAAATAAAATATCTATCTATACATATAATAAAATTGTAACTAAGCCGAACCTGTACTTTAAATATTTTTTGGAAAATCTAATTGAAATAGACATAATTATCGATACAGAGTCCGAATCTATAGTTTTTAGAATTTTTGTCTGTCTGTCTGTTACCGCATCACGAGAAAACCACAGGACAGATTTTGATGAAACTTGGTATGATGATAGCTGGTTATCCGGGTCAACATAAAGGATACTTTTTACCGTGGGATAATAACTCATTTCTGAGAAAATATAGAAAAACTGCATTGTAAGAGTATACTAATATGTAAAACCTAAGAATTTAGTTTTTGGTCATATGAACGCGGGCGGAGCCGCGGGCAATGCTAGTATCTAAATATAAACACTTAATCAAAAACGTCAATAACGTCAATAAAGAACGACATCTTTTTAATATAAGATTAAATAATCTGAAACAATTTCTTAAAAAAACAGCATTAATATTAATAATAATATCAATTGAAATTTGTTTCCAGCGGATGGTATCGGGGACCTCTGCGACAACGACTTCGACGGAGACAACGTCACCAACGCGATGGACAACTGCCCCAATAATTCAAGAATTTATAGAACTGATTTTAGGTAAATACTGCATAAGTAAGGTTTTTGGTGTTCTATTTGTTTTTTATAGTGCAGAAGAAACATTTTCATTTTAAAATATATGGTAATTCGATGTTAGGAGTTATTAAAAAAAATTGAGCTATTATGGTTTTAAATGAATATTTAAGATTTTGAGAGCCTATTTAAGTACATTATAAAAAATACATTCTATCACAGATTATTATATAAAATGTTTTATTAGTAGCAGCTCCATCCTATACAAAAATTGGGCAGCCTTTTGTCTATACTAATATTATAAAGAGGTAAAGTTTGTGAGTTTGTGACGTTGAAGGGGGTAATCTCTGGATGTAATCTCTGGATCTACTGAACCGATTTAGATGAAATTTGGTAAGATGATAGTTTAGGGCCCGGAGAAGGACATAGGATACTTTTTATCCAGGAAATCATTCCTTAAGGGGTTGAAAATGGGGTTGGGTCTTATATAGACAATAGAACGCCATCGAATGACTTTTGAATGTTGATCTCATTTCTTTGATTCTGATGAGATCCCATAGTAACATAAAAAATCCACCAAGAAACTCTATAATTACAGGAACTACATGACAGTACGTCTGGACCCCGAAGGCACATCACAGTTAGATCCTAACTGGGCAATTGCCAACGAGGGGGCTGAAATACTCCAGACCCTGAACTCCGATCCTGGACTTGCTGTTGGGTTTGAGAGCTTTGGTGGTGTGGACTTTGAAGGAACTCTATTCGTTGATACTCCCATTGATGACGATTATGTTGGCTTTATATTTGGGTGAGTTGATCGTTTGTTTTTTATTGTTAGATAAAAAGATTTTATAAAAAGGGTTTATAGTAATATTTTTGAGAAATAAAATTGATCGTTCCAAGACTGTGTTTACTACAAAACAGGAATATCTGTGTGAAGAGATTTTGTCTAAAAAAAAGGTAATTTTTTTTAACTGACTTTCAAAAAGGAGGAGGTTCTCAACTCGTCGGAATCTTTCTTTTTTATGTATATTTACCGATTACTCGAAGATGTCTAAACCGATTTGGAAATATTTTTTTATTACTTCCCAAGTGGTCCTATATAAATTTTGTCGAAATCTGTCAAGCGGTTTTTTTAAATCAACATTTTTTTTAAAATAAATCGCTTAATCGAACATGTTATTCAACATTTTTCTTGTAACAAATAACCTGCTTATTGCGTCTACACTAAAAATTGACAAATAAAAACTTAAATAAAACCGAGTTCCAGTTACTAAAATGTAAAAAATAACTAAATGGGGGTTTTCATTTAGAATAGATACCTAATTAGATATTTTCGAAATCGGTGCCAGCCTACATTTTTTATTTAAAAACTTTTTTTACATTCGTTGACGGCGACTCCGTTGAATAAGACTAATAAAGGATAGATGTCAGAGAATGATGTAAAAAGTGAAATATGTGAGTATTCAAAGGATTTAGGAATAATATTTGAAGGATTTACATAAGAAAAAAAACACAAGTTGAATTTTTAAATTTATTTCTTTGATATTTACACCATTATTAGTCCATGCTTTTATTGGTATACATACTTGTTAGGCGTTATTTTAATTAAAACATCTATCGCGTATACTCTAAGCAATCCCGTGACGTATGAGAGATGAAAGCGTCATGGACATGACGGGTTCTCGTGATGATTTTTCATGACGCGGCTTTGAAATTTTACTCTGAAGTATCACTTGAAAAAGTCATTTCCCCAACAGTTACCAGAACAGCGCGCGATTCTACGTAGTGATGTGGAAGAAGAGCACCCAGACGTACTGGCAGACCACGCCCTTCCGCGCCGTGGCCGAGCCCGGCGTGCAGCTCAAGCTGGTGCACTCGCGCTCCGGCCCCGGCAAGCTGCTGCGCAACGCGCTCTGGAACACCAACTCCACCGCTGACCAGGTAACCGTACTTCCCGTCTTCCCAGCCGTAAGGCACCTCCCTACCCGGCTGGGAAGATAAAAATGCAGTACAATTGTACTACGTACATTATTATAAAAAGAAAAAGAAAAATGCCCTTATATTGTTCTTATTTTAAATAGATACATTATTCATCATAATATGTTTAGTATTTTCTTTTCGTCACATCATGTCGTGTCATGTCACGTCATGTTACGTCATGTCACATTAGACAATGTGGTTTGTATCATATGTGTTCGTTTCACTCATTTTCACTCAATACCACAACCTAATTACAGCGTAAACCTATTTTTTTTTATTTTACCAAAGATAAAGGTAAGTATGGTACAATATCAATTAAAGTCTAATTTTTAATTCCACGGAAATATGACAGGTATCATTCTTTGACAATCCAGATATCATAAACCTTTTCTGCTTTGTATTTTTTTAATATAAAATAACGAAAAATATGAAACAGAATTAGATCAAGTTAACTATATATGTACGACATTGTAAATAGTCTTTGTTTTGTGCAATCAATGAATGCTAACTATAATGTAAATTTTTAATCGTTATTGTAACTTCATAATATGTTAATAAAAAAAAATTACCATTAAACTCTAAAGAGTTATCAATAATTTTTCAAGTCTTAGTTTTTCTTTGATATCTAATTGAAACCTTAACTTCAAGAAAGGTATATTTTTTTATTTTGCTAAAATGCTTTCCGTTTTTAGTGACAATGTTTCAAAGTTGACCACACTTCTGAAATGTCACAATTCCGTGGAATTAAAAATCAGACTATAGGATTGTGTTGTTGTCGCTTTTTGTTATCTTTTTCTTTTCTAGGTTTTCTAGTTTAATTTTTTTATGTCACACAAAATATTGTTTTTCAATATGTTAAAATACATATTTTTTTAAGAACGTTCATAGACTTTTTTATCGGGAATGCTGTACAGTGTTGTCTTAATGTGACATTAATTTGTGTTTTTACTGTAAAATAAACAAATATATTTTACATTCAAAAGGCTTGAATTCACCCACAAAAAAATGTTCAGTTCTTCTCTCTCTATTCAATCTCACAACGTTCAGCAAAAAGGCCGGAAAGAATATCAAAAATCCCTGCCCTTTTATCCTTAAAGGAATATTTTATATTATTAGTTAAAAAAAACCCTACTAAACTCTTGCTAATTACTTGTCTGCAGAAATGTCTTACTCAATATCTGATAGTTATTAGTCTAACGTTTTATTCATTGAAACGGCATTGATCGCAGATACATCAATGTCCCTGTCTTAATCAAGAAACTTTACAGCCATTCTTATCCCTTTAAAATGCTAAGTTCGTTAATTTAATTAATTAATCTGTATAAAAGATGTCGATCGACTAAATTATACTTGATTGTGTTGAAAAGAAACAATTGAATTGTTTTTTAAATTAACTGACATTTTTAAAGTCAGACTAAGAATTCAGAATTTTTCTTTAGTCTGAGTTTTTAAACTAAGCAACTTTAATTAATTACTTATTACATCAGCGGCTTGCTCTTGTTACATTCCGATCCCCTAGGTACCTTTTGTATTTAGAGTATTATATACAGCGCAATATTTTGGCAAATTTTATTACTAACAGTTATATCCTATGGATAGGATATTTGCCAAATACGCCCTATATTTTAGCATGACGGAGTAACACACAAATACACATACAAACTTTCGTAATTGAAATTAAATAAAATAAATAATTTACATGATAAATGTACCGATCTTTAAAAGAGAACATTTAAATAAAATAGAAAACGTCTGTCAACATTTTAGCTGTTATTACGGATGGATGAAACAATCAAGACAATCGTTTTGTCTATTATATTTAAACGAGCAATTTTTGTATATTTATTTATGCCGACGATCTCGGAAACGACTCTAACAATTTCGCAGAAATTTGGTGCGAGTATGTGGGGGTTTTCGGGGGCTAAAAATCGATCTAGATTAGTTTTATGTATGGGAAAACGCGTGTTTTCGAGTTTTCATGCAGTTTTCTTTTGCATTATTCCACGCAAAATATGGTCGCTAATTCGCACGCTCGGGCATAAGCAAGCGGTCAAGCGACCAAGGCGCAAGTTTGACAACCAAAGGGTCCAGGTTCGTATCTCGGTCGGACACAAAGTTGTATTTAATTGTTACTTTGTTTTTTTTTTAATTGTACTTTTGGCCAAAAACTCCGAGCAAACCTCAGTCGCCCAGGTACTATATATTAATGTATTCTATAATTCATCTCAGGTGACCCTCCTATGGAAGGACCCGCGCAACGTGGGGTGGCGCGAGCGCACCGCCTACCGCTGGCGGCTGCTGCACCGCCCCAAGATAGGCCTCATACGGCTCAAGATATACGAGAACACGCGCCTCGTGGCCGACTCCGGCAACGTCTACGACTTCACGCTCAAGGGTGGCCGCCTTGGAGTATTCTGCTTCTCGCAGGAAATGATCATCTGGTCTAACCTCGTCTATAGATGTAATGGTAAGATCTTTTTTAAACTGAAACTTCTTTAAAATCGTTGTGATTTGAAACTCTATGAAATGAAAATGCGGTACTAAAAAGAGACCAACTAATAAAATATAGGATTAAGCCGGCGAGAGAATGAGATATAATACAATGTCATATTGCCGTGGTAACCGTTGTTATTGTCTGACCAATATAAAATAATACATTCTTTCCGTATATAATATTCTATAAATACGTGAGTATAAGCACAATTTATTAATTCATTATTTTTTCTTTTTATTTTAGATAAAATTCCAACCAATATTGTGTCAGAGCTGCCTCCGAGGCTACTCAAGAAACTGGATATAGATCACGATTTTGTATATCTTTAATTATAGTGCAAAATAAATGAATTTAAAAAAAATAAACGATTGGCTTAACATAAATTTGGTAAGAAGAATGGTAATAAAAATTATGCCGGATACAAACTAATAACAAACAAATTATATACTAATATATAAAATAATTGTTCAAATTTTCTAATAGGTTAAGTTTTAATGAATAAGGATTAAATGTAATAAATAATTTTTATATTTATATGTGTTTCAATTTCAGCCATCCCTAACCTTGTTATGTATATAAGTATAGGCGCATTTTTCGTACCGTAAATGTTTTTGAGCACACGTATTATGTTTAAAAACAGCTATAACACATCCGTCTGTACAAAGAGTTAAGACTGAAAGTTCTGGTATTATAAAGTTCTGTATAAATATTATACACAAATTATCGAAACGGGTTCAAATCCCGGGTCTCGCACCTCTGATATTTTCATGTGCGAATCATTTCCAACATCATTACCATTTGTCTTACTGTGAAGGAAACCTGCATGTCTGAGAGAACCGAGCAAGTGTTCGAAAGACATGTGAAGTCTGCCCCGCACTTGTCCAGCGTGGTGGACTATGGCCTGGTCCCCCTCGTACTCAAGGGGGGCAGTGTCTAGCAGTAGGACGTTTAAAAGGGCTGAATATAATATAGTATTTTTAAAGAAATGTCTTCTGTTTTATTCAAATCATGAGTTTTAGACCTTTTTAATAATTGACATTGCGAAAAAAAAAACTGAAAGAAAATGTCACATTTAAAAGCTGAGATTTTGAAGTTCGATTAGAATTTTGCATAGAGTATATTGCTACATATATAAAGAATTTTGAAAGCATTTACATATTTTTAGAAAATTCTTTAAGGAGAAAATGGACGCTTTTGATGATTATTTTTTTGATGCTGAGACAAATGAAACGAAGGAGTTGAGTCAAATAGATCAAAGCAATCAGGTTAATGATTCAGTGGGTGATGCAAAAGAAATTGTACCAAAACCAAGCCCCGTAGGAGATGCGCAAGCTAGCACCAGCAGAATTAAAAAAGGTAGAAAACGAAAATTTATACCAATCAGACCGATCATACCGAGAGATTCAAAAAGCAAAGCACTATATTTAATAAAAAAAATAACTAAAGGAACATTTATAACAAAAGGCGCATTACAATTTTTTTCACTTCGTTCAAATTTTAAAAGGAAGGCAGGCAGGTCGGACTCTCTACTGCGGAAACGCTTACGCAAAAGTGTACCGTCTCGGTCCATGCTGGAGCTTTGCCGCCAATGTGGACAATTCTGCTGCAAACAAAAAATTATTTGTCCTTAAATGTAATAAATAATTATTTGTATTTTGGAAATTATAAATTATAATTTATTATGGACTCGCTCTTGTTATTCTTATATCGCATCTATAAAGAAAAATGGTAAAATAAATTAGAAAATTACCTTAATTCACTGGGTTTGTACAGTTGTGACTTTTTATCGTCCACTTTAATTGTGGATCGCCATTTATTCTTAGAAATGAACTCGGAAGGTTTCATTTTTATAGTAGACCAGGAGTTACTTTATTTTTATTAATGTACATACATATTATGTACAATGTACCTACATAAATGTGGTGATCCACACTTTTGTAAGTTTTAGTCAGAATCAATATTTTAGTTATAATAATTGAAAAATAAAAATGTACCAGCTTCCTGATTCTTATAACTTAACTAGCATTGCCCGCGGCTCCGTCCGCGTTCAGATGATCAAAAACCGAATTCTTAGGTTTTACATATTAGTATTCTCTTACAATGCAGTTTTTGTATTTTTTCTCAGAAATGAGACATTTTCCCGCGGTAAAAAGTATCCTATATGTTGACCCGGATAACCAGCTACCATCATACCAAATTTCATCAAGATCTATCCAGTGGTTTTCCCGTGATGCGGTAACAGACAGACAGACAAAAATTCTAAAAACTATAGATTCGGCCTCTGTATCGATAATAATGTCTATTTCACTAAGATTTTCCAAAAAATATTTAATGTACAGATTCGGCTTAGTTGCAATTTTATTATATGTGTAGATGTCTCGACTGATTTTGTTGAATTTTAGTGTCTAAGGAATTTTTTGAATCTTGAGTTTTTTTAAATAAAATTAACCTCTAAATGGGTATAATGTTTATGGTATAAATATGGCTTTTTTAGAAAAGTTTATTATTAGTAGCAATATGAAAACTAGATTCATATTATATTTAATATTTCTATGCATAAACAGTTTTTTGTTTACGTAAACAATCTAAACCTTCATGAATTTTATATTGGCATCGCATTTGCGTTTGCAAATATTGTCATCGATTAAAGCTAGATTGGCTCTTAAACTACAGTGACAGTACAGTAATAAACGGAATGGCTGACCGTCGTCCGGTCAATTCGTAGTAAGTGCCTCCAGCTACGTGTTTATTCCTTTTGAAGACGGGCTTCTTCCTTGAACTCTTACACTATTTGATCACTGAAAGTGGTTACTAAAAGGCTATTACAATTTTGTTTAAATTTAAGTTTTTTTTTGGTATTTTTCTGTTATATACTTAATTCAATTTTTGCAGAAGTAGGTTTCAAACTGTGTAAAATATTTCATAGTCACAATTATTCAAGAACGTTTGTAATTTTATTCATGTAGATATATAAAGTTAAATTTTTATTTAAAATCTTATGTAAAATCAGTTCGTTCTAATAAAAGTAAAAAAAAAAAACAAGAAAATTGCTTTAATTGTCTATACCCGATTGGGTGAACTTAACAAATGCAAGTGAAGTATAATTAAAGATGGAATTATATTTAGATGAGTGATTTTGAAGGTAAAACCTATTTGCAATTATTCTATTGACCTAGATACGTGAGTTTTCAGATTTACAATGAAAAAAATGTATTATACATGTATGTAATGCAAAGAATAAATACTTATTATTTATTCGTAGATGTAATGTATATTACTAATAGTACATAGTAAATTACTATCTAATTCTATAGCCTAATTAGCGACTCTAAGGTGATCCTTAAAATTGAGATAACTTTTTTATTTATTACTCGATTAATTTTCGTTGAGTAAAGTTTACCACAATAGGTAAATGAAAACCGCACCCAAATCGATTACAATACGCGCAGACAAACAGGCAAAAATTCTAAAAATCATTGTTTTGAGTTCTACTGCGTTAATAAAAAAACCCCACAGTAGTTTTTCTCAAAGTCTATGTACAGATAGCGATCAGTTACATTTAAATTATATGTATAGATTTTGTAAATCCAAACTGAAAATGCATTTTTGATATAAACGTAAGATTTTTATTTCAAATAATTTAATTATGAATAAAAATGATCTCTCTTTTTCAATGGGAAAGGAACTAGTGCTTAAAAATACATAAGTAGGTATATCTAGAGACTTACCCTCCCTTCGCTCGGGTTCGTTCCTGGCTTGCTTCCCAATACAATCATTCATTCCCATTTTCAACATTTAAGGGATGATTTCCGGGATAAAAAGTATCCTATGTCCTTCCCAGGGTCTCAAACTATCTTCTTACCAAATTACATCTAAATCGGTTCAGTAGATCCAGAGATTATCTCCTACAACGTCACAAACTCACAAACTTTACCTCTTTATAATATTAGTATAGATTAATTTAACTATTAGGTACAAATATCGATTTTCCCTTATTCTTTAAAGAAAGTAAACGATCTGGTTGACGAAATCGAGAATAGTAGCACAAGCAGGAAATGACGCTACTATTTTTCACTTTGACGTTTATTTCGGTGGATTCCGTCTATATAATTCTTTAGTCTGAGTTTCAAAAGTATAGCCTTTATAGTTTCTGTAATAAGGGAGTTTTGTAACACCTGCTGGTATAGCTACAATGGACCAAAACTGGTCGACGTAGCTAGGGCCGACCTCGGCACCAAACCCAATACAATAATGAAAAAAACCTGCTGACTGTTAAATCTACTTTGTATTTGGAATAGAAATTTCGACTTCGGACCCGCGGTTACGTTGTTTTTTTACACTGGTGTAAAACAAAGTGAGGTTTGTTACATCACTTATAACTCGAGAACTGCTGGACTGATTTTTATGATTTTTATTTTGTTGGACATGTCTTCACCCCGAATAGCAGAATAACTATTAAAACATTGGAAAAATTATTGAAAATAAATTGAAAAAAAAAACCATACCAAGCGTCAAAACGTACCTAGGGACGAACCTGAGCAAAGCAAGGGTGAGTCTATACCATGTATTTTAAAGGCAAGCATTTATATAATTTTCTTTTATTTTAAAATATTTTGTTTAAATTAAACTAGGGATGTGGAATAACAAATAAAAATACAATATTATCACAAATATATTTATTTGTATCATCCATATAACACAAGGTACTTTCACTCAGAAAACTGTTATCAAGGAATCCCAATAAGGACAGACTGTAATAGCTTTTAGGAGTATAAACATTGTGCTAAAGCAAATTGATTCAATTACATCTATGATATATAGTAAGTTGTGCTTTTACTTAAGCGTTGGGTCACAATATTGGTGAAGTGATAACGGAACATTTTTCTTACATTTATTAGTTTATAACGTATGTCTATTTGTAAAAAAAAAAGAATGTTTCGCATAAAACAATATACAATGTTTTATTTAAAATTTAATCAATATAAGCAGCCCATAATACTTTCTTAGATTTACACGAATATTTGACATTTTAAATAAAACTATCTTTTCGGATTATTTCGCGGATTTACTGTTTGAGACGTCTATAACCTTAGTCTCTCCCGTAACCACGATTGCTGTAAAGCATTCGAAACGTCGGGAACCAAAAATCAAAATAAATCCGCGAAATCATATATCCGCGAATATAATCCAATTATATTCCATATAGAAGCATATGAGTAAAACATATTTAAGGTTAATATTTTTATCAATTTCTTAAAGAATGACCATAAAACCATTAAATTCTAATAAATAGTTATAAAATTGTTTTCAATTACATAAAAATAAATTATAGTTGTATATTAATAAAAAAAAACGTATCCGTTATCCTTTCACCGACAAACGCAAAAGGAAGGTAAGGTACACGAGACAGCGGTCAGCTCTCATCACAATCACTTCACACGGTATAAAACAACGCTTCATTCACATACCGTATATACATTTATCAAATCTACTATCATATTGGATATTTCATCGATCTAATTAAAATTCAAATAGAAATGTCGAATTCCTTTTTTTATTAAGACTAGTTTCAATTATTGCAACAAATTTTGAAACATCTCTTAAATGATTAGTTTTCACGTATATTACGTTATTCATATATTCAAAAATTCATTGCACGATATTGATATTTGTTTATTATTTAAAAAAAAACACACAAATTTTATTTATATTCAAGGTAATAACATATAACAAATTAAAAAAATATATTGGTCAGTGTTATAAAAATAATCGTTGGATGGAGCTTATTCTGTTCAATATATACATACATACATAGATGATAATCGTCTGTCTGTGGGTGACTTGAACTAAATATTTGGTATAATTGAACACATTGTGATGAACTTTGCTATTTGATCAAAAATAAATATGGTTTTTCTTCCTCCGCCATATTAAATCTAGCAAGAGGCTAATATTCTTAGAAAATTGATAAGCAAGGGATAGCAATTGGTCAAAGTTGGTTGAAATTTGGCCTAATATAATTTATATGGGAAATTATATGGAAAAAACTTGTAAGAGCTAGTGCAAAATTTAGTTCACTCTTATTTGGTTGGAAATTAGGTTATATACAGTTTTCTTTAGTAACCATTTTACAACCAGCTTTTGTACGTTTCGACGTCCTGTAAATAATATTCTATTTAAAATGAGTAAATATACATAATAAGTACATTTATATGTATTATAATTTTCTAAATAAAATACACCTTCCGACAGCTACAACATGATTATGTATAGAAAGAATTGCACTATATTTATAATCTGTACAGATTTTCCGATATGTAGAGTGTAAAGATTTAAGTACATATTACATTAAATACAGTATAAGATTTTAGAAAAAGTGCCAAGTTTTAAAAGCTTTAATAGACAATCTTAAGTCATAGATTAAAAAATTCAATTTCTTAAGGGTATTATTATATACAGGGTAAGGGACAGTGACAGATAAGATAGAATCCGTATATTTTCTAATTCGCCCCCTTGGACAATATGACTATCTACAATCGACATTACTAATAGAAAAATTAAAAAAAACATATATGAATGGCATAATTTGATCACGCCATAAACTAATTGAATAATGTCTTTTCTATAGAATTCTTTTTCTATTAGCGATGTCGATTATAGAATGTCAACTTTTCTAAAGTTGGCCATACACGCTAGAGTTTGTATATTATCTTGCTTGTACATTTGAACTTAATAGCCTGCAATAAGCCTGATAGAATAGTCGATGAAAGTGGTACGGATGACTGCTACAGACGCTCTGGTTCATCTGCACAGTTATCTGTACAAGCAAAACTGCACAGGTATACTCTGCAGTGGCGGAAGGTGGAATTTTAGCAGAGGTACAAAAAACGTTGATATACAATTTTTATATACGTATTAATGCAAAAAGAAATAAAGCTATTATATATCCAAAAGAACATTTATATACTTAAAAAATTCAATGTATGTAAAATTATAGTAAAACACGTTAGGGTAAGACGTTTTGTATGATGAACCCTTCGCCACTGATACTCTGTATATAGGGTATGCCTACTTTTAGACGGCAATTTCCGGTAGTTAAAGTACCTAGTATACCTGTAGAGTTAAACCTTAAGGTGTATAGCCATTAAGTAGGACTCATTCGCAAAGTCGCATGTTTCTTATCTACTTATTTTAACTTAATCTTTATCCATACGCTGATATTTACACCGTGAGCACTAAACGTTGTATTGTCATTGTCTAGATAATATACTATTCTGTACAAGAATTTGAAAAGCTTTTAATTAAATCAACGGCAATCTAGGAATTCAGTCCTATAATAATTTAATAAATTATAGAAAGTTTGGTAAAGTTTTTTTGATGTCAAACAAAATGTCAATACTCCTTAATTTAACAGCATAAAAGTTAAATAAAAATATTTAAATGAAATATTATCGAGTTTATTATAACACAAGGAAAGAAAATGACAATGAAATATACAGTCACGTGTAAAGTTCAATAGATAAAATTCGCTAATTATTCCTAACTCTTATGGCTATTTCCAAAAATCATAAATACAAACATAAATAAATACACAATCAATAAATATCACCATAAATATTATTCAACTCGGTTTTGAATCGACATGTTAAAATTTTAAAACAAATAACCCGTTTTTATCAATTACTGCATTGCTTTTGAATAACCAATAAGAATTTTAATATTTTGTCGTAAACATTCATTCGTTCATCAACATCCGGATCGAAAACGGGCAGAGATAATAATTCATATTTCGCTTGACATCAAACGCTTCTTTTATCTCCTTGACAGATTTATGTTTATGTTAGACTGAATAAAAAACAGATCACTCAGCTTTATTTCTACCATTCGTTGTACGTCCATATTATGTCAATATGATTTATTATTAAAAAAAACAATCTTCATTAAATAGTAAGTATTCGCTTTTATTTCATTATATTATGTACGTTCTTAAGTACTTAGATATCGGTAGATATGTGAATAAAATATTTAATTATTGATATTGATATATATTGCAAACGCCGACACAATTTGATAGTTTTTTTTTCTTTATAGACAAGCGGATTTGGCGCTTAATAAATGACAGCTGTCATGTTGACAGTTATCTGCCATTTTATCCGCCATTTCTGAGTTAACGCGTTTTCTAAATTGAATTTCCTTCCGTCACATTAACTACAGAGTCTAATAACATAGTTTCATCTTTTTTTATTATTTCACATTAAATAAATGGTATTTACTAATTATTTTGAATGATTATGAATTGTTTTATTGCTAAAGTTCGTTTTATATTTAACTAAATGTTTTTTTTGTGAATCTACTACAGTCTCGTAGAGATGCGTCATTTGGTAAAGGGGTTTCAAAATGGCCTTCTTAATAGGAGAAGTTGTTAGAGTCAATTCTCATTACGTAATTACGTACTGCCATAACAGTTACATGCTACCGATTACTTTATATAAAATTTACTTTTATTTGACAGTCAAATATCAATTGTTTCTAAAAACGAAATTAGTTTTTATATGTTATAATCGTTCACAATTAAATACTTATTGTAATATTTTTTGGTATCGTCATTTACAGGTTATTCAATTAATTTTCAGTTACGTAAAAGCATTATAGGTCATAAGTTACCACGCATCTCCTTATTTGAGTAATTATGTTGTTTCACTCACTCCATAGCGATGCGACGTATTAATCTGCAAATTAAAATGTATTTTTTATATATAAAACTAGACCAAATGTAAAATAAATAAGGCAACACATTAAATCACATTGTGTAGGGGATACATAGAGCTCGCGTAGAACTACACACACTATACTACTTATATGAACGTCAAATATAAATATTATTCGGGAGCGGGACTCGAACTTTCCACCTCCTTAGTAAAGACACAAAGGCAGATCCACGTGACTCCCGGTCACGAGAGACTAACCATGGTCACTTTGGTGATTGGTCATTGAGACCATTGTTATACAATTTTCACTGTTATTCCCCACTTACTGACTTCAATAACCTACATGATTTTCTACACACATTATGTCCAGCTATTATATTGTACCAATTGTTAGCACAGTCGTGGTTTCATGTTTCCTAAACCATATCATGTTTTATTACTTACATCGGATTTTTTTTATAGAAAAAAGGGACAAATGAGCAAACGATCCACCTGATGGTAAGTGGCTATCTGCAACACAAGAGGAGTATCGAATGCGTTGCCGGCCTTTAAGGGTTACTCTTGAAGAGCCCCATGTTATAGCGCTCAGGGAAAACCTCGGGAGGAAGATCATTCCACATCTTGCACGTGCGAGGTAAAAATGATCGACGCACGTACATTTGTAGGATGCCAGGCATCTCAAACGTGTGGATGACATCTAATCCTACAACGAAGGGTGCGATGATAGAAGCGCGACGGTGGTACCATATTAAAATGTTCATCAGGACTTACTCCTAGCACATGGTCTCGGGGCGCGCGGGCGGCGCGGGCGGCGGCGGTGGCTGCTCGGCCGAGCGCTGGCGCGGCAGCTGCGACGAGTCCAGCACGATGGACGGCCGCGGCGGGAGGTTCTCGCTCACCATGTGCGACAGGGAGAGCTCGCTCGACGCGTTTGTGTCGCCTGCTCGAACATATAGCCCGTGTAGAAACAATGGGATCATATGCAGCCTTGGATTTACACTAGGGGCACTCGGGGCTAGTGCCCAGGGCGGCAAAATTCGGAGGGTGGGAAAAAAAAATTCTTCGCGTTATCGAAAATTAGAAGATTAACTTGTAGATACATTTTTCGAAAAATTGCTATCATTTATAAATTATTATTTTTTTGCATTTTTCGAAACATTAATAATTAAAAAATGTAAGCTTTCAACAATTTATTCAAAATTTCGATAATAGGGCGGCATTTTTGGCAGTGCCCGGGAGTGGCGCTAAGGTTAAATCCGGCCCTGATCATATGTATAACTAGCGACTCACCCTAGATTCGCTCGGGTTCGTCTCTAGGAACATTTTAATTTTTTTTTGAGCGGAACCCTAATTCTTTTACTGAAATAAAAGTAGCCTAAGTTAAGTCAGTGTTTTTTTTTTTCAATTTAAACTAATACAAATCTATTCATTCAATCAACAATTCAAGAACAATGAGTATTTCATACTCGTAATATATAAAATCTCATTCAGTAAGACAACTGGAAAAATTCAATATTCCAACATCAATTTTTAGCATAACCTAAGTTTTAATAGAAAACCCAGATGCGCATTTGTATTTATACAAGCAGAAACAAGATATTTGCGGAACTCAAACTAAACCCGGACTAAAAAGTTTTCGTGTTAAAACTTTCGCACCCCTTACATTGTCGTCAACAGTTTCCCAAACGGCCACAGCAGAAAGAATAACTTACGAGTATGGTCAGCGATTGCCATCTTAACTGTATACATTCTATGAAGATATATAAAATTTGAAGTATCTGTTTGTAATATCAAAATAACAAGTTTTTACTAAATGCATACGAAATTATATACGGTACTTATAACAAAAAACGTGTGTGTGTACTTATTGTACGCTAAAGATTTCATCCCGTATGTCACAACTCCCTGTTTGTAAAAGGAATGCAGCTAACTTTATCATGTCGCTTTTTGGCTGTCGGTGTGCGCGCGCATCGTAAAAATTTTACTCTCATATTTTTTCCAAACGTGCCAAAAGAAGTTGGAATAACTTCAAAAACATAACTTTTAAAAATGTTGCCTATCTGTCTGTCTGTTTGTTCATGCTAATCTCCAAAACGGCTGGACTAATTTTGACGGGACTATCGCTGGCTAGTTAATGTTATAAGGAGTAACTTAGGCTATATTTATTTTAGACAAAGATTTAGGATTCCGCTCAAAAAAATAAAAACGGACCCAGGCACGCACCTGAGCGAAGCAAGAGTATGTCGCTAGTATACATATATAATCCATTTAGATTAATGTAGATCGAGATATTCTACTATGGAATATTATTTCAGATCAGCTCTAGCTCTTGTATTTTACTTAGATCCCAAGGAATCAAACTACAGGTATTTTGAGTTTGATTTCTCACTGAAAACATAATGATCTGAATAAAATAGCAGGTATCGCTAATAATTATTATAATGACGGATAATTGTTATTGATTATTATCACGATAATCTTATGTCATATTGAATAACAACTTTGGGGAAACAGTTCCGTATATAGGGATACCGTAATTCATGTTAAATAATAAATTCTTCGATGATTCTAATAAATTCTAGTTTCATAATGTTCATTTCCTGAATGGAATAAAATAAGTAAACAATTATTATAAGTATTCATTACAAGATATTTATTATAAATATTGTTTTTTTTAAAGTCTAAGGAAAAATGTGGCTTCATATGAGTGCAACCATTTTTAGTAGTTTCTAGATCAGTAGTTCCAGAAATATATTGAAATTAAGTAGTATGTTAGTTTAGTAAGTCTACATAACCTGTAAAAATATTATAAATGTGAAAGTTTGTATGTATGGATGTTTGTTACTCTTTCATGCCAGAACGTCTGAACGGATCAGGATGATAATTTGGCACAGAGATAGATTATAGTCTGGAATAACACACAGGTTACTTTTTATCCCGGAAAAATTCCCGAGGTATAGATTTATTTTTGTTTTTTCGCACCAGAGCAAAGCGAGCGCGAGCCGCTAGTTACTAAAATAAATTTCAATTTATTGTAGTAACTTTTGTTTATAAAAATTAATAATATTATTATATTCGGCGACACGTTTGGTTCAGTTTATAGTGATCCTACTGGCTGTGCCAGCGGTCGCGGGCTCGAGTCCCGCTTAGGACATTCATTTGTGTGATAGGCAGGAATATTTTTACTCCAGTCATGGTTGTGTATGTATTTAAAGTTATATATGTGTAGTGTATCAACTATCTGGTATTCATAACACAACTCTCGTAGCTTATCATGGAACTACTTGGTGCTGTGTTAAAATCCCGACATATTTATTTATTAAAATTAATAATATTATTAATATGCATTTAATAATATGCGAAATATACTAAGTAAATGAAAAGAAAACAGGGCTACGTGTATGAAACGTAATGTTCATTATGTTTTCATAAGATACTTATACTTTGATAATATTTTAAACAAGAAAAAAGTGGATGCACACGAAGACCGTAATATAAGTTAAGATTCTTCAACTAACAAGGTTTCTTGAGATTTAAATAAGAGTTACGAGGATGCATATTTTACGTAGAACAAGGTGCAGTTTGCAAGATATTTAATGCAGATTTAAATCATGCTACTAATGAATCACAGTACCGTTTGTTTTGAACTACCGCAGTATAATATCGAGTTGGTACCATTCTTAAAGCCGATACTCTTCATCATTTGTCTTTATCAGAAATAATTTTTTAATCCCTAATTATAAAAAAATTGAATTACACCTTTGTGATTTCAAAACATTAACGCCATTTAAAGCTCATGTTTGGGTTATTTAAGGTTATTTTTTGTGTCCGTCTGTTTGAATTAGCTCCACCTGTTTAAACCCCCAAATGTTGTTTTTTTTTTTAATTTAATTTAATTTTTAGTTAATGTTTTAAATTAATTTTTTTTACATTTATTACATTTGAGGTTTTCAAATAAATAAAACTATTTTAAGGAAATTTTCGTAGTTCCATTTTGATATTTTATTAGTCTTAGCCTCTCTCGTAACCATATTTGCTGTAAAGCGTTCGAGACGTCGGAATCAAAAAAATCTAAATAAAACCACAGAAAACAAAGTTAAAAATTGTTTTATATAAATTGAACCCTTTACTTTTAAGTGTGTAATTATTCATGATGAAGATAAATGATGAAAAGTAACTTCGTAATCACAAAAAATCGCGGGCAAAAAAATCGGTTGAATCTCGACGTAATAGGTATGAGATTTACAATTTTTTTTTAGAATTGACCTTCGAATCACACGCAAGGGCGAGTCCCTAAGGCCTACAAAGAAAATACGGTATAGGGGAAGGAAATGTTTCTTACTCGAATATAGTCTATTTACTGTATACTATTACGGTATCTATAGCATAAATGTTAATAATGTTGGATAAGACATATTGTATAATTAAATTTTTGAAAGCTTTCTCAGGAAATTCTGAAAAAAGGTCGAACGCATATTGAATATTTATAAACCTTTTTGTTGCTTACTCTTGCATCTCAATACTAAGTAGGTTATACATATGCTTAGTTTATCAAACTGGGCGGTGAGGATCTTTTTAACTTTGGTTTCTCAATGTGGTGTATATCAAAATAAATGATACACCAGTACAGAACAGTACCTGCTCGTCCAGTAGGTCATCATCCATTAGCGACAATGCAAGTACCACAGACATTTACGAAATGACGCTATGACATCGTCAGCATAAGAGCAGATAGAAATAGACTCTATTATAATAAATTATAAAAAAAGTTTTTTTTTTGTGAAAATCTTTAGATAACCTTAAAAAGCAAAACCTTATCTAAATACAAAATTTGATTCAAATCGTTAAAGCCGTTTCCGTTATAATACAAAAATTGCTCATTAAATATTATAAGATATGTGTTCCACTCACCAGAAGGCTGTCTCGGCACTGGGAGCAGTACTTCCCCGCACGCCTCATCCCCTAACAGCGGCTGTAGCGGCGAGGGCAGCTCGCGGGTGTCGATAGCCGACGATCTCCGTAGAGAGTGCCTTCGAGGAAAATCATATGAAAGAGTGGATTCAAAGAACAATATTAATAATTACATTACAGTATAAGATATAATGTGCCTTGAATTGGCAAGTGCATTATTCCGACTTTATTATATTCTTATTCAAAGAAGGTACCTTTGATGCGGCAGCCTCCTGTCACTGACAGTGAGCAGTTTGGTCTGCGGAGTATCCTCGGCGCTCGTGTTCACACACACGCTGATGCTGACTCCACTGATGCCTCCCTCTCCCTCCCCATCTCCCGCCTCCTCCTCCTCGTATCTGCCCAGGACAGACTCCATTTCTAGGCTACAGTTGAGAATTGCCCCATGTATTGTTGGTATTGTATGTCAGTGTGGATGTTATTGTTAATATATATTATGTATTATAATATATATAGAATATATAATATGTATAGACAGCAAAAAAGATGGCTTGATCATTTTGTTTGTTTAAACCATTTATTAAATATTTAGTAGATATTCTCTCGATATACACTACTTGAGAAATACAATATGTAATTGACAGTTAACCGACAGTTATGTCGGTTTTTTTTAAAGTGAAGTGCGTATAATATTTCAGGGAAAAGCCAAAGTTAGGCATTGATATGTAGGAAACAATACAAAATTCAAAGAAAAAGGGTTAGTAAAATGTAAAGATAGTTAAATATACATAATTGTGCTATTTAGAAGAAGAAAAAAGAATTGTCAGTCAAATTATTAGTTAGTTGAGAACATACAATGTTAAATATTTTGAATTATGATGACCTAACATATAAAATATAAGCCTGAAAGCTTAAATTCGTTAATAAACCTTTTTAACCGACTTCCCAAAAAAAAGGAAGGGGTTCTCAATTCGCCGGAATCTTTTTTTTAAGCTTATTCATTTTAATGTCATATAAGTTATTTGAAAAAAACCCTTGCCATAAGATACATAATATAATTTTCTGGTTTGCGTGGTCATTATAATTCTAAATATATATACATAATGTTGACGAGTGTGACAGTCGTGTTAGCTCAGTGATGGGTGCATTTCAACTGTACGGTTTCATGCTTCATTTGACGTTTACATTACGATAGTCAATTAGATACAACGCCATATATTGAAACACAACTTATGATATCTACCTATATCTATATAGTTATATAAATTGGATATTAATCAGTAAATTAGCCTAGGAAACTAGCTTAAGTAAACTAGCTTAGAAAGGTAGCCTATATCCGTCCCAGGCTACAATTTATGTCATTGAAATCTGTTCAGCGATTTAAGGTAACAGACAGAATTACTTTCATATATTTAATATTAAGTACATTGATATATAAAAACATAGATACATATTTCCTAGGCATATAATTCAAAAATCCAAAGTTCTAATTATCTAAACACAAATTCATACTTACACACACCACATAAAGTACTTTTTTAAGCAAAACAACGTGCGTTATAATTTTGTCGTTCCAAAAGCAATGAACAATTTATTTATTTATTTATTTATTTATATATTTATATATTTATTTATTTATTTACTTATTAACTTACTTACTCACTCACTCACTCACTCACTCACTCACTCATTCACTCATTCATTCATTCATTCATTCATTCATTCATTCATTCATTCATTATTTATTTATTTATTATAATATTTATTTATAATTACAACATGCTATTAAATTAGTACAACATTAACATCTTAAAGGACAATAAAAATATATACAATTACACACAGTTAATAAATTTTTGTGACAAATAAAATAGAACAATTAATTAAAAATTAAATATACTATTGATTAAATTGTGAATTTATTATATTACATATAGGGTGATACGATGAATGCGATTTATATGATTGAGGAATAAAGAAAGAGTATGAAAAATTCATTACATTCCATTCAATTAAGTATACTCAAAATTTTATTTTTAAAATCACCGGGGCTATCATGCAAGATGTCAATTCCCTTTTTTAACGATATATCATTGTATGTGTGTGCTAACCTATTTAGAGGCGTATTTTTTCCTAAGATGGTCCTATGCCTCTTAGTACGAAAGAGAGGGGCATGTTTCCTTGGAATCCTTACGGGTATGTTAAAGTCGATTAAAGCGAGCAACAGCGGGCAGTCATTTACATTATTTAAAACTTTATGTAAAAACGTCATATCCAGTACCTTACGTCGCGCTTGTAACGAGAGTAGACCCAAAGATTACAATTTGTTTTCTCAATTCTGTTTATATGAACACTGTAATGAGGTGACCAGACTACAGAGCAATACTCCAACTTACTTCTCACAAAGCAATTAAAGAGTGTTATAACAGTTGAGATTTTTTTAAACTCTCTTGCATTTCTAAGAACAAACCCCAATGATTTGAGCGCAGCACTCGCTATATGCTCAATGTGAGCAGCAAATTGTAATTTGGAATCCAAAAAGACACCCAGATCACGAATAACGTCAACTTTACAAATAGGAGCACCAGATATATTCGCTTTTTATCTTATGTTTTTTTCGTGTGAACTGAATATGATAGCACTTTTTCGCATTCAAATACATATTATTGTTATTGCACCAATTACATAGTTCGTCCAAATCTTTCTGCAGACACATGACGTCTGAGTACGTTTTAATCTTGCGTATCAATTTAAGATCATCTGCGTACATAAAGACTTTAGAATATTTAAATATAGACGCAATACTATTAATAAAAACGTTAAAAAAGACAGGACCCAGAATAAATCCCTGAGGAACTCCAGAATATGCAGTAAACGAGTTAGATTGGTGTCCATCAATTACGACACTGGATGATCTCAAAAGGAGATAAGACCTACACCAACTTAACAAATTACCAGTTATACCAAGGGACTCCAGTTGTTTGATTAATAATGTGTGGTTAACTTTAACAATTATAGAGATTTGAAAAAAGTGCATAATTTCGATTTATGTGCATCTTTTTGAGGACATATTTGAGACGCTAATTGTGTATGGATTTTATTCTCTGATAATCCCATAAATATAATAAATGTAAAAGTTTGGATGGATGGATGTTTGTTACTTAATCACGCTACAACAGCTGAACGGATCTGGATGAAATTTGGCACAGAGATAGATTGTAGTCTGGAATAGCACATAAGCCACTTATTATTCCAGAAAACTGTATCGTTCCCGTGGGATAAATTTGTTTTTATTTTCCACTAGGGACGAACCTCAGCTAAGTGAGGGTGAACCGCTAGTGTAGAAAAAAGAGACTGAACATTTCTATTTCATTCCATTAGACGGGTCATAATATGATTTTAACAAGATATCTAACTTTATAATTTATTCAGCGATTCCATTACGAAATCAATTCAACAGTTAAACTTTAGATTTACTCCCCAGTGAACTTTAATTAATAATAAATAAATGTGACTTTAATTAAATATCACAAGTATTTCCAATTAGATAGGGGAAATGCGACGGATTGATTAAAACCTCAACCGATTCATACAATATCGTGAATAAATGAGTCATTAAATGTAACATATAAAAGGATTAACATTGTTATTGCTACAAATCATATCAGTTTAATTGAAATACAATTGCTTTAACTATATATTTTTTTAAACTTTATTGAAATTTTTGAAACCTAAGTGTAAATAACACTTAAAACGTATCTGAACAACACTTATAATTGGGTCGGTTTGCTCTTATGTTAAAAACTAGCGATTCACCCTAGTTTCGCTCGGGTTCGTCCCTAGGTGATTCTTTAAACTGAGATAACTTTTTTTTATGAACCGATTGAAATAAAACAAATACTCAATGTTAACATTGAATTGAAGTGAAGCTTACCAAAATATATTAGTGAAAATTGCACCCAAATCAGATAAGCCGTTTCTGAGACTAACGCGCACAAACACATAGATAAACAGACAAAAAATTTTTAAACATTTTTATTTTGGGTTTTATTGCGTTAATAAAGACCCCAATAATAGTTTTTCTCAAATATCTTCCATGTACAGACAGAGATCAGTTACACTTTTATTATATGTATAGATTAACAATTAAAATGATTAAGGAAGCGCTAGGCATAATATTTATTCCTATTTAGCGGAGCGAGGATATATATTATATATTCATACATACAAAAGGACAAATAGACAAACAGAATTATTTGTAATATATACAAAACATTAGACTTACCGGCGTTGAATTAAATTTTCCATAATGATGTAGTCATCTTCCTCAGCTCCCCGCAAATGTTCTTTTTCCATGAAAAGCGCAAATTCAGGGTTGGACATTTCGCTCGCGTGCCGCCGCCGCGTGGAGGGCGAGGCCGCGCGGCCGGGGGACAGCAGGCGAGTGGCTATCGGCGTTCTATGAAACCAAACAAAGGAATGCTTGTAATTTATTTAGCGTTCTTATTACCTTTTCCAACGTATTACAAAGGAATGATGTCTACATCAAGAATTAAAAATTTAAGTGAATTTAAAACTTTATAATTCTTAACTGACTTCCAAAGAGGAGGTTCTCAATTCATCGGTTTTTTATGAATGTATGAATGTTCACCGATTACTCAAAGACGCCTGAACCGATGTGTAAATATTTTTTTTGTTTCGAAGGGTATACTTCCTAGGTGGTCCCCATTTAAATGTTATCGAAATCGGTCGAGCGGTTTTTTAAAAAATCAACAAATAAATGATTTTTTTTAAATAAATTGATTAAACGAATATTAATAGGTGTTAAAAACTTTCTTCTTACAAATTACCTGCTTATTACGTTTACACTAAAAATGAAAAAAAAAAAACCGACTTCCAGGCACTATTATGCAATAAATAACTAAACGGGGGTTTTAATTTAGAATATCAAATATTTTCGAAGTCGGTGCCAGCCGATGCAAAGCAAATGTAATATATTTCAATACTTAAAATCACAAATCATATTTACCTATTAGATATTCATATCTTAAAATATTGTCGCCCGGCACCGATTTCGAAAATATCTGATTAGGTACCTATTATAAATGAATTGGACGGATTGGCTTGATTTGTGTGGAGATTTTGTTAATTTTGTGTATTATCTCATTCCGATGGGAAAACACGTTATAATACAACCCAAAACACCTATGTACATATATATAGTCTACCTATTCCATACTAACTATTAAAACGTACCCAGGGTGTGTGGACAAACCGAGGGTTAGCCGCTAGTATAACAATAATTATCACATTTATTCTTAATGAAAATAATATATTTTTCTTTTTTTGCACTTAAAAAGCTTGACTGCATAATAAGAGATTAATGGTTTTTTTGTAATTACGATGTAAGCATTAAAGTTTTATGAAAGAGAATATTTCTAGTCTTCGCGAATGGCGAAATCTGTGACAATGTGGATTAGCGAAAAATCTTCAAAGGACTAAGTCGATTTTAATAGAAACTAAAACGAAATAAAATTTCAAAAAAATAATTTTCCTTAATCCGTCAACGACCGTGGATACGCCGGCGTTATAATTAACAATAGATTTCTTAGAAATTTAATTAATTTCTTAGAAATTTAATTAATTTCTTAGAAATTTACCTGGAGCTGTTAAACTTAATTTATTTTTTAATTTTACAATGCACCACTTGAAAATTACGCTTATAAGTATCAAATTCTGCATATTAATTACTGATATTCATACAGCAGACGAAAAGTGTTTATTTTAATTAAGCTTTTATTTTAAAATTATATAGATGCTAAAAATTTGGATATTGTGGAAATTTTTATGTGTGCATATTACATAATATATTACGTTAAAATGGTTTTTTGTATGAAAGTGGTAACATAAAAGTTATTATACAAGCAAGGAAAACATTTTAGCTTTTGTTCCTTTAAAGACCTTTTAAATATATTTTTTTTTATTTTCGTTATGCATGCCTGATAAGGTTTTAATTTTTTAACGAGCTAAAGTTCTGAAAAAGACAGAAAAAGTGTGTGGCTTTAAAGAGTTGCATGTACGAGTAATGTATGAAAATTAGAAACATTTTTTCAAGGAGTCAGATAAAAAGTATTTTTCTCTATTCTAGAAGTTTAAATAATTTAAGTTAGAAAGGCACGTGGTATCGCCATTCTCTCAAAAATAAAAATAAATATTACTCATAGCAATTATAAAAAAATAGAAATTCTTTGTACAAAAACATTATATTCTCGAATAAAAAATGTGTTTTGTTTTAATACTAACGTATATTTGTAGCAAGAATATGCCAAAGAGAAATAAGTAATAACTTATTTATATAACACTAGCATTGCCCGCGACTCCGCCCGCGTTCAGATAACCAAAAACCAAATTCTTAGGTTTTACATATTAGTATACTCTTACATTGCGGTTTTTGTATTTTTTCTCAAAAATGAGATATTTTTCCGCGCTAAAAAGTATCCTATATGTTGACCCGGATAACCAGCTATCAATCACCATACCGAATTTCATCAAAATCCCTCAAGTGGATTTTCTGTGATGCGGTAACAGACAGACAGACCGACAAAAATTCTAAAAACTATAGATTCGGCCTCTGTATCGATAATAATGTTTATTTCAATAAGATTATCCAAAAAATATCTAATGTACAGATTCGGCTTAGTTACAATTTTATTATATGTATAGATAAAAGTCTTGTAAAAGAAAACGTTATACTCGTATATAATTCAATCCAGTCGAAATAAACTCGTACTGCGAGTTTTTATGATTAACAAAATATATCCATACAGAAATCGGTGTTTACTTAAACGATCTCATATCATGAAAATATTAATTAAAAAATGGGCTTATAAAAGTGAATTTTGTAATATATTTTTAGTATAATATACTAGCTGTTTTACGTCGATTCTTTTTCATGGTCGTTTAAATGGTTTATGAAAATAAAAAAGCCGATGGGTGAGCCATAATCATAATAATTTAGATCATAGATTGTATAATATTATGACTTCTGACTGACTGATGGCGACGGCAGCCAATCTTTTATCTTACTCATTTATAGGCTAGCTACATGTTCAGGAGATATAGTGCATACATGTGCGCCACCAAAATTGTACTCTCTGTTCTTTTCAAAGTTCGATAAGCGATTCGACACTATTGGTAAGAGATAAAGCGTAGGACCGACAGCTTTACATGTTCTCCGAGGCATGGGGATGATGCTGTCAACTTTTCAACTCCGGGCTGCTACTGAATATCTTAACTAAAACAGTCAAAAACTAAAATTGGCCCGACCCGGGACTCTAATCTGGAATCTCCGAATCAGCAGCTGTACGTTTTAGCCACTAGACTAAATAACCACTCAATACAAAATATCAATACACTTGACCTAATACCCTATAGTCCGTAATATCGAACAAGGGCGAGTTACAATCGGTTAATTAAAGTATAGATATCTAAGTCAAGAAGAAAGCTATTGCTGTATGAATTTAAAATAACTTGGAACGTCGTTAATTAATTTTAATTAATATTTTTCAATCCTACTTAATGCTTCTCGGTTACAGCTTATTTGGGACGTACTCAGCACTAACTTGATTGTCACTTACAATTGATGTATAGAAAGAAATTATTTTATTGAAGTTATACTTCCTTTGGCACGTTTGGAAAAACAATATAAGAGTAAAATTTTTACGATGCGTGCGCACACCGACAGCCAAAAAGCGACATGATGAAGTTAGCTGCATTCCTTTTACAAACAGAGAGTTGTGACATACGGGATGAAATCTTTAGCTATTTTTGTTCTGTTACGCCAAAGAAGTATAACTTCTTACGTGCGTACATAAGTACACACACACGTTTTTTTTCAGTTGTTTTTGTTTATTGCTTCATCCTAATTTTAGACTGCATAGCCTTACAGTATGATAATATTGTGTATAGGTTTCTTTATATCTTAATACATCCAAAGTTCTGTACTATTAACATGTAGGTAAGTAGAAATCTATACTCGGACATATAATAAAATTGTAATAAGTCGACTCTGTACATTAAATATTTTTTGGAAAATCTAATTGAAATAGACATTATTATCGACACAGAGTCCGAATCTATAGTTTTTAGAATTTATGTCAGTCTTCGTCTGTTACCGCATCACGAGAAAAACAACTGGACTGATTTCGATGAAATTTGGTTTGATAATAGCTGGTTATCCGGGTACTTTTTACCACGGGAAAATATCTTATATCTGAGAAAAAAATCAAAAACTGCATTGTAAGAATATACTAATATGTAAAATCTTAGAATTTGGTTTTTGGTCATCTGAACGCGGGCGGAGCCGCGGGCTATGCTAGTAATATATGTCACACAAAAATAAACAATTATGTATATGAGGCTCAGCGAGCTTATTAACGTTAAAGGTATACTGACTTCAAAATTACCCCTTAGGTAGAAATTATAACCTTTTTCGTTAAATTTATACATATAATATGGCTTCACTATTGGGGATGAAATCGTGTAATATACGAAAAACTGCACACCCGAATTGAGTAGTTGTTTTGATTCTGTCTGTCAAAAAGAAATAAAATTAAATTTTGGATTTTTTCGCGAACTTATTTAGATTTTTGGTTTTTTTTTGACAGACTGAAACGACTGATAGTCTCTTGTGATCACGATTGCTGTTATTAAACATTTGAAACGAAAATATTCGAAAAAAAATAATTATTACATTAATTGTTAAATATTCGCTATCTATATCGTAAATTGCTCCGGTAGCCTAGTGCCTAGCATGTAGTAGGTTTTGGGTTCGAATTCCGGGTTGGACCAAATTCATTTACCGACTTTTTCTGTTAAGATATTCACAGTTGTAGCCCGAAGGTGTGTCACTCCCGTGCCTGGGAGAGCCGTCGGTCCTTTTAATTTATTAACAGCTTTAATTCTCACCGTCCCTGTCAAAGCATCGTCCCATCGGACTTTGAGAATAAAAGGAATAGAGAAGCGCGTACACTTGTGCACTATAATATCTCGTGAGCATCTGGCTAGTCTCAGTGAGATTGGCCGCCGTGGCTGGAATCGGTCAGGAAGTCATTATTATTACTCGCGTAAATCTAAGAAAGTATTACATCTAAAATAACATTACAACTAAAAAAACTTACCTAGGTGTATGAGGTGGAGAGAACAGACCATACACGGTCTCCAATTCATCAGTGATGCTGGTATACTCGTGCATGGCGAGCAGCAACGAGCGCGGGGCGCCGACGCGCGCGCGCCCCGACGACACGCCGGCCGCGCCACCCGTCGCCTCCCAACCTGATTGTCGTCCTGAGTATTTTTATCCAGATATTTTGATATACTTTTGGGATTATCGTCTTGTTAAATTAATTATTTAATATAAATCTTAAATACTTCTTATCTAATACTATGTATGTATTGTATGTATTGAGCTCTTTTTAACGTCCTACTGCTGGGCACGGTTCTCCCTTCAATACGAGGATGATCAGGTCATAGTCTACCACGCTGGCCAAGTGCGGATTGGATTAGTCGTATCTAATAATATCTAATAGTTCTTAAGTACAAGAATTTAGCTTCTTTATCTTCGATTTTTGGGCACGTTCCCTACAATGCGATGGAAAACAGGCTTTAGTCCGCCACGCTAGCAGTTTGCTGAATGGCGGACTCTACACATTTATAGAAAATGCTTTAGTGCCGGTGTTCGAATTCAGAGTTTTCAAATTTAATATTAAATAAAAATTTGGACCAGTTCAGGATAAGACAAAGTGCGTGTTTTGATGTTTTACAAGTAAGCAGCAGTATGTAGTCTACGTTCGTATATATTAGTATGTCTCCTTCATTGTGAAGCTTACTGGACTATAGTTGATTTACCTTACAGAATTAAAAAAAGCTGGCAATATTTATGTACCAGAAATTCAATCAGTCCTTCTCCAAAAATATACGTGTCAGGTGGCAGACAATCAGAAACCAAATTAGTTATTCGATTTATTAATATTGTTATGAAATTTAATAAAGATAAAATATGTGAATTAAAATTTGTTTATTACTTACGTCTTAATTATTGAATGCCTTCACTCGTATTAAATCTCTAACCAACACTTTTCAAATGAAATCGTTAAAGGGGCAATTCTTAGAAAATCATAAACTTTCCCGTCTATTGGTTTTTTCAAGACTTCTTTGTATTTTTTTAAACGGACGGTGTGGTTCATTAGAAACTTTTTAAATTATTTAGCATTTGAGTTCAGCTTTTTCCTACAGTTTAATGAAAAATACGCTTCACTTCAACGAAAATTTCAAGCTCCCGAGAAAATGGTCGAGTGTTGAGCACTGATAAGAGGAACATTTTGGGAATGTAATTTAAATAGATTAGGAATCAGTATTAAATTAAAAAGCATCAATCAAACAGTATAAATCTGTACAAATAATAAGAATTGAACTGTCCCGTTGCTTACTTTAATTTGTTATTTTTTTATTTTTTGACAATTCTTATATTTAAACGTTGATTGTCTTATAGCAAAATAGAAAAATGTACACATAAATTAATCCTATCTTTCTGTTCTTGAAAACATTTAAAATCAGTCCAGCTTTCCCTGATGAACTTAATATTATAAGTGAAGGGCAGTGGTAGTTGTGGTAACGCGCTCACTTGAGAAACCGAGTGAAACGGGTTCAAATCCCGGGTCTCGCATCTATGATATTTTCATTTGCGATTCCATACCATACCATTCCATTGATTTCCAACATGATTACCACTTGTCCTACAGTGAAGGAAAACATCGGTAAGAAACCTGGATGTTTGAGAAAACCTAGCAAGTTTTCGAAAGACATGTGAAGTACGCTAACCCGCACTTGGCCAGCGTGGTGGACTATGGCCTGATCCCCCTCGTATTGAAGAGCCCTTGCCCAGCTGCGGGACGTTAAAAAGGGGCTGAATATAAGTTAATAGAAACGAAATTACAGGCATAATATCTGATTAATTTTACCAAACAAAAGAATTCAATAACTAAAAAATATATATCAAAAATAAACAAAATTTGAGTATAACACAATCACTACTTATAATAAGTACTTAGTATACTTACCCGTAACAGAATTCTGTAGGGAACTGGCGTCAACTGCGGAGTTGTCTGGCTCAGAATGCGTTTGACTGTGCTGTCGCCGTGGAGCCAAGTGTTGCGCAGAGTGATGCCCACCCATACCACAATCGTTACCACCTTCGGATCTCCTGCGAATATATTACTTCTTGGTATCACAATATCATGGAATTGACTGCGCAAAAAAGAGTATCACTTGAATCATTTTCTAGTTCTATTTGTCTTGTATATTTGCGAATAAGAAACTGAGTGTTGTGTTTCCTTTTTTCCGCAGTCTTATTTTTGTTTACAACAAAAGCGGTAATATGCTTCGAGTGTCACGTGTCGTATTTGTTTATAGATTGATGCTGTAACTGTGTTTTTGTTTGTTTTATGTGAAGCCCTTATAGATATATATATCAGAATTTATTGGTTAAAAGTATAAAGATACTCACCAGGGACAAATATTACCATAATTTCAATAAAATGATTACCTTTAAGTAACTATCTTACCTTCAAAATCAAGAAAATATTCTACGAGCACAATTCATAATCAACTCTATTACTTATCAAAATGCATTACGAAATTGAGTTAATATAATTATATACCTACAAGTTAAAGACAAATATTAGACAGTTTATTTAGAAATAGAGTAATAAGTAACTATAGTGTAAATTGCATTCAAAAAGTTTTTATTAAAGGCTTCCTTTAATTCAATATTTATTTAGACGATTTTATTAAATAATAAGTACGAGTAGTAAAATACGACATATACGTGTTTAAGTCAACGAGATTAACAGATGTAGATGTGACACCAAACTTCAAAGACAATATTTGTGTGTTAGTGATAAAAAAGTGCGAGTTATTGTGGATATATAAATAAATGAGCGTGTGAACTAAAGCTAATATTTTAATAACATTTAGACCAAGGCTAGGCTAGAACTAAACTACATCGCTATTTAAAAGCTAAGCCATTCGCCAAATGACCATTTGACTTACTGTTTCCACAACCGTCTCCTAACCGATGCAAGAAAGTAACAAAAAATAAAATTATAACAATTATGGCGATGATAAATTTAGAACGAGATATATTGAATTTCCGAATACTATGAATGATCAAAAATAATTAGTTTTATCGAATACTAAACGTGAATTAACTGAAAATGCTAACATGCTAAATTAAATTGTACGAATGAATGGAGCTAATTCCTATAAAGCTGTCTGTTCAGAGCTGAGAGTCTACGGAAGTGTGACAATTTACGTACTAAATTAATGTCTTATTTCTCATTGGCTTGTAACAATATAATTCATTTGACTGGCGGTGTTGTTTCAAAGTTGAAGTTTCTCAAAATAAAGCTAACTTCTTCAACCAGCTTTGATTATACTCGTAGTTTACATCATTAAAAAGTTATATAGTCATAAATAAGTCTTAAAGTTTTCTTGAATTGAGCACTTGTTTTGAAAACTATTCATTAAATATTATTTTAATGTGTTTAATGTAAATAAAATTACCACGCTTACAAAATGACATAATTAAAATGGTAGAAGACCTAAAATAATTGATGAAAATTTCGGCATTTATCGATTATGATTTTCGATATTTAGTACTTATACTTTTTGAACATTCTCCATAGAGAATAATATGACCCGAGTTAAAGAATCGTTAAAAACTAATTTATAGCACATCTACCAAAAATAAATTATGTTTTTTTTTACTTACCGTCTCGTATTTGCTGTCCTTCTGGTGCCGGCTGATGTGGTGCGAGGACGTAGGGTTTGTAAATCTGACGGCATTTCACGCACTTCTGGCAAGAATGCATCGTCAACGCTCGATGGAACTATATTCACGGTTAATAATATAAATTTTTCATTTTGCTTTTAATTTTTCATTGATTATCTAATTGCTATTATAAATTTATATTACACTTAGAAAATATTACATTTTAGTATGTACTAGAATAGCCTAACTTGTGATAATTTTGATATAATTATAACTTACAGATAATATCAAAGAAAAAGTCTAAATAAACTCATATGTTCTTCATATGCCTAGAAAATGTAATATTTGTACTATAATAAAAATAAATATTTCTTTAATGCACACGAATTGATTGAGTCTAATATATCCTACAAAGCCTGGCAAAGTTAGGTCAACTAAGTACTAACAGTTGTTAATGCTGTAATTAAAATAATATCCTTAATTAAAAAAAAACATCAACAATGAATACCTTTCTTTTCATCACTAGGCTCAGTTCTGTTGCTATCAGACGACCTTTGTCGAGCGGGTGTGACGGGCGCAGTAGGTCTGACGACGGTAACGTCTGGTCCGGCTGCACTACCAGCTGAAGATGTTGATATCGAATCTGCCTCTGCTTCCTTTTCGACCACTTCTGGTCCCGAATGGGGTAATTCTTCCTAAATTCATCATATAGCTACTTAGTCGCCAAGCAAAATGGTAAGATACTAATATAAAAGTTCAATTTGTCATTTGTAGAGAAATGACGTTTACCTATACAGTAAAATAATTTAGCATATAATAGATATATTAAAGATTAATAATGTAGTAAAAAATTTGACTTGTGAAGGTTACATGCGATGGTGTTTTTTTTAAGGTAAAATAACATTTTTTTAAGTGTAAGTGGCAAAGGTGACATTTATTGTAATTAACGCAAATATACATAGAGCACAACATTCACATATATCGTGGACCAACAAGTGATATGAAGTCTTAAAACGCGTATGGGGTAGTGTTAGAATGCAAAAACAAGACATGAAAGATTCAGAAAGAAGCAAAATGTATTCATTAATAAAATAGAGGAAATAAATGTCAAAAACACAAATCGGTGCCGTCTCACGCGACACGAAGCGCTTTGATTCTCAGATAAGTATTTCAACCGATCTAATATTAATATTAATTAATTTTATTGCTAACCCAAATTTATTACGTGGTTTTACTGCCCTATATCGGAAATTGTACAAGTCACTTTTTTATGAAAACTACATCAAGAATTCTACGTGACACTAATCTGTGCTCAAATGGCACGCTTTAAAGTCATTAATAAGAAAATTAAATTGAATCAATAATAAAAAAATATCTGTTTTTTAACTAATAAAATTGAATTACATCGAATTTTAAGTAATATATGGCAATAAATCGCGTAACGTTAGGTTTGCGCTTACTTCGGAGGGCTGCGAGGCGTGCTCGTCCTCCTCCTGCACGGGGCGCACCACGAAGCGCGCCGCCCCCGTATCGCTGTCCGACAGCACCTGCCGCGCCACCACGTTAACGTCAGCAGCGCCGGATTTACACTATTTAAGTATAGGCCACTTTGCTTTCTACCGCCAATATCGACAACCAGTCGGTATTACCACAGTATAAAAATCCATACAGTAGTCCATCGCCTATAATTTTAAACGAAAATGCTGTCAAATACACGGGTTGGCAATATTTTCGTATTTATAGCACTCAATAGTGCCATATCCGTTTCCCAACTATTATATAAAAGTATGACAGTCCAGTGCGCTTAGCCCACATCTCACCTTGCATACTTCTCATGATTACTCTGTCTAGACGCCTTCGTTACACGCCTGTATGGATTAGTAGACTGTGGTATTGCTTTCACAATTACGCACACACGTGGCAGATTACCAACACTGCCTCTGCCTCAGGCTATGGCCTATACTATTTAAATGCAAGTCCAGGACTGCACATCAATGGTGGATTTACATTTTTTAAATTAAAATTTATATTTTATCCGGTACACTCAAAAATAAAAGTAAAGTATTTGATCTATTTACACGTATTTGTCATTTAATTTGTATAAAACCACTAGGGACTCACCCTCGCTCCGTCGAGTTCTGTCCTAGATAAGTTTTATACGGTTAGTATGGAATAAATAGGCTATATTTATATGATATGACAACCTATAGCCTTTCTCAATAAAAGGCTATCTAGGGCAAAAAGAATTTTTAAAATCGGATTAGTAATTCCTGAGATTAGCGCGTTCAAACAAACAAACAAACTTAGCTTCTTTATAATATTAGTATAGATTAGTAAAAAAATTTGATACGGACAGGTTTACAATTCCATAAATCCACCATTGCGCCACATCTAGTCATCTGTGATCCGTGTTCGAAGGTGAAAACAAGATTTTACATTTATATAATTTGTTTGATGGGAAAAGTTTACTTAAATTGATACGTTTGATTCAACAACTTCTTTGAGTTCTTCATCATTTTCTCAGAATTTGTTGTTTAAATTAGGTTGGGGATGATGCTATTTAGTATTTTTTTTATTTTATCTTGTATTTGACCTTATTTACCGTCTGACTCGAGTTCACAAATTATTATTTTAATAACTTCTTTCAGAAATCGTAAAAAGTATTTTATATTAAGTACAAAAATGTGCAACAGCTTAAAGATTTAGAAAGAAGAATCAAATTTACTGAGACTTAAAAGATTTTCCTCGGTAGATGTTAAAATATTTCTTTGTCTTCTAGACTGAAGTGAGGCTTAATGCGTACATTTACATTTTAATGAAGGCTCTATAGTCTATGGCATACTTTTGTGGCTTATTAAAAATTTAGGGCGCTGTTCCAAAGGAAAAGTAGCTTAGAACATGATATAAATAAAACGTCTTGACATAACATTTTGAAATTTTTCATGCTTAGATAAATTACTAGAAAAATGCACTATGCATGAATAATAATAATTAATTGTGAATTTAATCAGCAAATTTTTGTTTTGCTCAGAGAGTTGAATATGGAATAAGTTGGAGCCTCAATTATCGAAATCAGTTTTGAAGCTACCACATTTTATTCAAAGAACCTAAGCCAGCATATCTTAGAATAAATTTAATATTTTATTGTGAAAGGAGTTTAAATAAGCCTTCCTAAGAATTTGTAAGTTTAACAAGCGCTTTTAAGGCTTTCATATTTTATCTAGTTCTTGTATTATCTGCATTATTTGGAGGTAGTTATGCAAAATAGATCCAACCACAAAAACGTACTTTTGAGAAAATAGGAGTTTTAATAAAATTGGCACCTATATAAAAATAACAAGACCGTAGTTTTTTCAAATTCCTATTAAATATTGGGTAAATTATCAACTTTTTATATATAAGTTGATATGTAGGTGCCATTTATGACAGTAACTCAAAAACGGTTTTCGTGGGCTGGATCAATTTTGTATAACTACCTCCATTTATAACAAGGTATTAAAAACAATCCGAACAACAGATCACAAAACATCTAAAGCACACGGAATTCCAGAAGAAATATAAAAAAAAAATGCGTAAAAAAAAGAATTTATTCTGGAAATCCATCGACAAACAAAACGTGAGTAAAAGAAACACAAAACTGCAACAAACATATAATACTGAGAATGTTAATAATGAACATGCTCAAACAACACATTGATAAACTGTAACAATACTGTGATACGCTCGTCCATATATTGTAACAATTACGGAACAATTTAAATCTTAGCAAAAGTGAAATTGGATTTGTAGTTTATATCAAAATAATTTCACAAATGTGTAATATATGTACATATAAATGATTATTATTTAAAACAATAAACATATTCCTATAATACTTTCTTTATTTACGCGAATATTTGACATTTTAAATAAAACTATGCTTTATAACAATCATGGTCACGGGAGAGACTCAAGACTCAGAAGACGAGATTCTCTCCCGTGACAATTGCCGTAAAGCATTCGAAACGTCGGGACCAAAAAATCTAAATACATCCGCGAAAAAATCCGAAAAGATAATTTTATTTAAAACCTCTTCCTTTCATATTTAAAAAAAAAGTTAATCTGGCATTTATTTTACCTCACTAAATTATAACTTTACATATGAAGATTACAATTTGCTTACCTCAGATCTGTCACTAGCCGTTCTCAACCTCGGACCACCACTTTGGAAGGTCGGGGGTGGAGGGCCCAAGGTGTCTGTAGATCCACGATTGACCAAAGACGGATGGGTGGCCATAAACCGATGGATTACTGCGAGGTGATTCATGGTCTGTTCAGCTACATCCTCTAACTTACGTAGCCTGAATTCCACACTCTAGAAACGTTTATAAAGGTATTATGAGAAATTCTTCTACTTTTTAAAATTAGGTATATGAAATAATTTGTAAATAGATTTTAATATATTTGTATTTAAATATTTATTATAAGGAATAGCATTAAAATGCGAAAGTTTGTATGCTTGTAGCTTCTTTACTCAAAAACGACGGGACGGATTTGAATTATTGATAAATTATTATACTAGAACTACATACGAACACATATTATTATGTATGTTCTGTAAGAAAACACTAATAAAACTTAGAGATATTCCTTGCATATATTCTTATATTCAGTCTGGAAGCTACCACCGGCTCGGGAAGCAGTTCTGCTGAGAAGAATCGGCGAGTAACTCAACAATTACTCTTTTAAATAATAAGTTACATAACTTATAATAATAATTTACAGTATTACAAATAATTCATAACTAGTGACTACAAGATGGTACCGATATCTGTTCAAAAGCGCGGGAAAACCAATCAAAATCGGCGCCCTTTCTACTTTTTTTTAAATACATTCCCAGCGGCCAAGATCACATGAATAAACACTTTATACATAAATCATTACAAATTAATCAAATATATTATTTTTTCCATAAAACGCTCCTACATAAAAATGCAACCTTACATTATATATATAATATTATTTGAACATTTTATGTCTAAATCGTGCCTAATAAAAAATATACAAGAATAAATGTTATATTTATTAACGTACATACGAGTATATCGTACATTTATATCTTCAAATTATTAACTTAAAACTTAATAGCGTTATATTAGCGAAATATTTGCTTTATACGTTCTCTTTAAATTTAGGCACATCTGTCATGGACAGGCGTCGACATCGACCCGTTACCCGTTTTTTATTTCATACAGTGAAAGACGAGGAAGTGGAAAGTCATTACTAGCTCGATTAATTACATTTTTAAAAGCATACACTTTTCAGTGAGAAGCGAAAAATATGCGAATGGTTCTTTTTCGTAATAAAAGAGTAAAATATGTATAAGGATTTTTAATCTTGAAATTATCACTCTATTTTATACGATTACCACAAACGTTATTATGTATTATTATTGCTTCCTTTGATTATTATTCTACTTGTTGTTGAAATATTTTAATATGTTAAAAGCTGATATTTATTATTTAGAACTTAGATTATTATACTACCAGAAAAAAAACACTACTGTTTTTTTAATCAAACAACATTTAAACCCAAAAATAATATATGGTGTTATAAAATATAGCAACGGCGTTAAAAATGACAATTAGATAGTCATCCATTTCTCAGAATGCATAAAAATTGTGGAAATATCTAAATTGATAGAGGTGACTGAGAAATAAAACTATCGAGCTTGGCACATCTGTCGCGGGTCGCTTCAACCTGTTAAAGTTTGTAAGATGCGGAAGCCAATTTGCTACTGAGGCTCGGATTACATGCCTGTCTTTCAAGTTATATCATAAAAGTTCTAAATATTAAATTTTGTAAGGCCTTCTAAAGTAATAAACTTCTGAATGAAGCTACAGCCGGTCGAGTATATTTGTTTATTATTATGTTATTTAAAACTATGTCTTTATTACTAATTTTAATAAATAAAATTTCTACTGCCTCGGTGGTGTAGTGGCTAGAATATACTAATGTTAAAAAAGCAAATTAAGAAGATTCTCATTTGTAGAATAATAATGAACCTCATTATTACACAGACAATTTAGAAACGCTTCAAGCCGTGGCTTTTCAATTTTATCAGTTCAAATTCTTATCAAATATGAGAGCATTTGAAGCGTTGAGTTTAAAACTTAAAAAATTTTTTTTTTTGTAGTTATTTTCAGAACAAGGACCTTTCTTTCAATCTGCTAGTAAAGTTTTTGACAAATAAAACGTGTACTTCTGAAATACCAATATTAAATCAAATATTTAAATTAATATCTACTTATAGTACCTGCATCGATTGTATCTGGCAATTGGCTTTCTGATTCAAATCCTCCATCTTGGTCGTGATATGTTCCACTCGATCTGTTGTGTTCCTCACTCTCTCTTCTATTGAATTCGATAACTTGACTTCCTGCGAAATTACCAAAAATATACTAAAATGTTATATGTATGTACTCGTATGTACATATATCATATTATTGGGTATATACGCACAATGCACATGTCTAAATTTTTGACCATCTACAAAACGTCGGGTATACTTAATTGAACCATTTGAATCGATTTTTATAATTCTTTATTTAATAAATTTTGAATTTTTTTTATTAAACTTAATTATACTCCATTTATATTTTATAACTCCAGGAAATGTTATAAAGTATAATATCAATTTATTTTTAGTTTCAACCTTTAATACCAATATCATCAACATGTACCGAAACGATCATATTTTTATATGGCCACCAGTAGCCAATATTGTAAACATTCATATTTTCACATACCAATTTGCAATTCAAATATATTGCCGCTAAAAAATCTGCACAGTGTGAATGAAATTACACTATAACGCGACAACGTGCAATAAAATACAAACCACTGAATGAATAAAATTGGTATTTTATATTTGGTCCTTATTTTAATTACTATGATTGTTTTTAAATCGGTAGTTTCCATGAAAAATGTGTTTTTAAACGTAAAATAACTTTTAACCCCAAAATTTGCGTGAAAATTTACCGGAATTATTACTGAGGAAAGTTGCTTGTACTAAGTCAACACCAACATACACAAATATCAGTCTACCTAAGTATTAAATATCATTAAGTATAAAAATTATAAGTATACAATAATTATTAAGAGCTATAATGATACCGAGATTGATTTAAAAACAATTTAACCGTTTGTTTAAACTTAATATCTGAACTTACTTGTTCCCTAAAATATCCTTCGACGCATTCCTCTTCAAAATCATAGAGTCTTTCCATGTCCTCCTTCTCTAAGAACAACTTTAGTCCGTTGTCGTACTGAAATCGTTTGTGTGACACGTTCCTCGTCACCCACTTGCACGTTGCGTAGATGTGGCAAAATATTATTAATGGCGGCGGTAAAACTGGCTTCTGTTCATATTCCATCACCACAGTGAATCTTTGGAACATCCATACCTATGGATATGAGGTTCGATAATATATATGTATTATATAATAATATGACGATAATATTATATAAAAATATGACGTTTAATTCTGTTGAATATATAAAGAATACTGGTAGTAATTTCGATAAAATAGCCATTGTCTTGCTCAAATATAAAAGTTTACTCAAATCCGTCAAAGTATTATAGCAAGAAGAAATAACAAACACGCTCACCTATAGAGTGTTAGAGGTACTATTTTTAATCGATCCAATCTATTTAAAACCTCATGTTTTTGACCGATATTTCTTTCATATTTAATTATTTATATTGTATACTATTTATTACTATATTTAACATATTAAAAGAATGTTAATAAAAAGCTCTTTTCACAACATTGAAAGCTCGTTAAAATGCCAAAAGTGCTTCAGTCTAATACTGTACAGAGTATGCTTTTACGGTTAAATCTGTCACGTTTTATGGTTTCAGACAATGGGCTTCGAAGTCCGGCAAACGTATTATAATTTACATACAAATTGCTATAATAATAGTGATACAGTTCCTCATATACTCGCTTATTTTGGAAACAACGTTATTTGAATGCTATTTTCTTTTAGGATTTAATTAGGGTATGATTTATCTTACGTAAAATGTTTATTAAAATTGTTGCAGAAGTCATTATAATAGGCTATATTCAGCAATATTATTATAATATAGACTACTAGCATTGCCCGCGGCTCCGCCGCGTTCAGTTGACCGAAAACCAAATTCTTAGGTTTTACATATTAGTATATTCTTACATTGCAGTTTTTGTATTTCTTCTCAGAAATGAGATATTTTACCGCGATAAAAAGTATCCTATATGTTGACCCGGATAACTAGCTATCATCATACAAAATTTCATCAAAATCTGCCCAGTAGTTTTCTCGTGATGCGGTAACAGACAGACAGACAAACATTCTAAAAATTATAGATTCGGACTCTGTATCGATAATAATACCTATTTCAATTAGATTTTCCAAAAAATATTTCATGTACAGATTCGACTTAGTTACAATTTTATTATATGTATAGAAAAAGATAAAAATGTCAATGCAACTTTAAAGCAAACATAAGTAAGAATAAATATTACTTAACATTGGTGTCTGGTCTGTGCTCAAATGGCACATAATACTTTTTTGAAGCTATTAACAAGAGAATTGAATTGAAGACTTGAAAAATTACACAAATTACACGTTATGACGCTTAACCACTGTATGTAAATAAACGTGTTGAAAAAAAAATGATTAATCGATTTTAAGTAGTAATAACATCAATTACTAACTGTACTATTATAAACTACTTTAGTGATCATGCAAGTTTGTTTCAGAATTTAAAATGTACATAATATTAAAATAATTACAAAATAATAAAACTTTTTTATTCGTACGTACATAAATTCGCACCTTAACAATCTAACTGAAATAAAAAAAATCTGAAACAAACTCAACAAAACAAACCAATCAAAAAAAAAAAAAACAAAAAAGCAAAACCAAAAAAAAAAGGAAACCTGATGCGAGACTTCATTGACTTCATTAAATATGTTATTAAAGACCGCAATGAGAAGGTTTATGAGCAGTATATTTGCGACCAGGAGATACACCGTCATCGCTATGGGCGTTATCCACCGTCCGGTCACGCATTTCGGTTCGCCGATCTCTAAACCGCATGGTGGGTCGATCTCTGGAGCGAACACTTCACCATACAACATGAAGTACGGTTGGAAGAATATCTACAAACAATAGCATCTACTGATCTAAAATAATCAAATGGTAAATGGCACGACGGTTTGGTTTGGTTACTTTTGGTTGTTTCGGTTCAACGTTCTTGATTTGGCTCCAGTTAAAGGGGAAATACTACTGATAGTAGGTGGAAATTCAAATCATTTTTGCTTTTTATTGGAGCATTGGTGAAAATGTAAGTTGTATATTTCCCGACTTCAAAAAATGAGGAGGAATCCAATTCAGCTCTGTTTTTATTTAATGTATACGTTACATCGTAATAGCGATCCCGAAATTTGTAAAAAAAATTCCATCGTCATGGCTGGAATAATATTTTTTTATTAAATTTTTGAAGTCAGTGAACTTTTTTAATTTAAAACATGGATATTTTTATCAGTAACAATCTATTGTTGGCTTGACGCCAGAATCGATTTAAAATCTACCTTCAACCGTTTTAGTAATATAGTAACCGTCGTGAGTGAAAATGAAAAAATAAAATAAAATTTATGTACAAATAATTATTGGTAAGGACAAGCAAAAATATAATAAACGGGGCAGTTAAAATAAAAACCTAAATTACCTACGCAACAAAAAATACCAAAATAAACTGTAAAATAAAGAGTACAAAACTAGCTAAATAATGTAATACAAAACTACTTCAATTTACATGATACCCTCAACCAATCAACAGTGTAATCAAATCTCGCAACAGGCAACTAAAACATCGATAGATCAGGAAAAGTGGGTCGTATTGTGATTATTTTAACATTGCTTTGTTCTAACTTTTAGGAAAACTAATTTTACAGATGCTACATTTCTATTTGTATTTACTTTTAAAGTTATATTTAGCCTATATATTATTGAAAATTATAACAATATGTACTGTATGTATATATATATATATAATTAATTATGGCAAAATTATGGCTTGTAATTCCTATTACAAGTATAACCACAATACAACCCACGTAGCAAATAAAAACTAGGTAACAACGATTCCAATTCAATTTATCAAGAACCTGATGCGACACTCCGTTGACTTCAATGAAGATGTTATTAAATACTGCTATCAATAGGTTGACGAGCAGTATGTTAGCTATCAACAAATATATACTCATGACCACTGGGGGTACCCAGTGACCCACGCGACACTCCTCGAGGCCGGGCAGGCCGCAAGGCGGTGCCATTTGTTCAGCAAATACTTCACCGTACAGCATAAAGTACGGTTGGAAGAACACCTGAAATTGTTAGTTTGATGGATCTAGTGGTTGTGGGTTCGATTATTGTTAGGTTTTCATTATTCGATGTGTTTTTGTTCTTTTGACTGTAATAATGTAATTAATTGTTTGTTACATCGTCTCTTGTGTATAAGACCATATAAGCACAGTATTTTTCTCTTTAAAACTTGTGAATCGAGTATAGATGCTTTCATGCCAAAAATTTTGTAATGGGTTCACGAGTTCGATTAAATTTAAAAAAAAAGAAGCTATTGATTGATATATTAAATAAAAAAATCGATTTTCTTTCGCTAGTATTAATTGTTATTAATATACTTGGACAGAAAGCTATTTTAAAATAAGTTTTATTAAGTTATTTTCTACGGCTGAAGTAATTACAAAATATTAAACAGATTATAATGATGTGATATGTGTTTTATAGATATACTATAGGCATGTTTATTATTACTTCTATCAACCCCTGGATAATATTAAAAATAATTGTAGAAGATGCAAATGAAATCGTCAGAAAGAATATAACCGTGAAATTCATACGAATGATGCAAATGAATGCAAATCTCCATTGCACTTTTTAATTGCGAGCTGACTGCAAAATATGATTTACATTAATTATACTGAATTTAAAATAATGACTTTACTAGAAATAAATTATTCAACGAGATGACTTAAATTATTTTGCATATTGAACTGTTTCTTATGCTCCAATTTCAGTCGTGGCGTTACTTTAGTTTACTATTGAAGTATAGTTAGCGCGTTAATTATAATAATCATATCAATGACTAGCTTGATTCCCTATGCAAATTTTCATCCTCATTTTTACCCCCTTAAGGACTGATTTCCGGGTTAAAAAGTGTCCTATGTCCTTCCCAGGGCCTTAAACTGTCTTCTTACCAAATTCCATCTAAATCAGTTTAATAGATCCAGATATTACCCTCTACAACCTCACAAACTCCCAAACTTGACCTCTTTATTAATATAGATTTAACCACCTCGTTAGCGAGTAACGAGTTGCTGAAGTCATGAACAAAATTATACTATTGATGTTCTAATAAATTGAATTAAAGAATGAACTCTTACTTTTACTAAAACAGACTTATATAAATAAGTTTCTATCGACATCGACTTATTATAACATAGACGAGTCCATGGCTTTGTAACTATGAACTGTGAAGATGATTATTAATCCTAGCAATTGTAATTTCTATTTTAATGGAATATATCGTTTTCATACTCAATTAGAAGTGCTATGGTGGGACATTTTTACCATTTTGTTTTTAATACTGAATATTAAACCTGTGTCATGAGAACATATAATTTCAATTTGAATTTCAAATATAATATGTGATAACTTACCCCTCTAATTAAATACCAACTAGCTTCCTTATCCGGATACAATATCGCCTGTCTCGCGACACCGAACGACATGAGCACAACCAACAACAACACCACGAAGTATATCATATTCTTAACCATTTTACCCATCATTGTGACTAGAGGTCCTGAAAAAGGTATAAATTTGTCGAAAAATCTCGCATTGATGGCATTTCTTCATTAAAACCGAACAATAATCTACGTAGAGCTATATCTAAGTAACTATCATAATAAAAATACGGTTTCACTCTACATTTTTCTCTACTTTTTGTTTTACCAATATCTGAATAGCGTCAGTGCTGAACCAAACTTTAGCCTCCTTAAAACATGAACCTACATAAATACATATTATACCTAAATGTCTTATACTAACTTTTTTGCCGGAAATAAATTCTATTATGCTTATATAATATTAGCGACTCACCTCACTTCGCTCGGGTTCGTCCCTAACCTAATTCCCAATACAAACTGTTATCCCCATTTTCACGTCCTTAAGGGGTGATTTCCGGGATAAAAAGTATCCTATGTCCTTCACACGGTCTCAAACTATCTTCTTACCAAATTTAATTTAAATCGGTTCAGTAGATCTAGAGATTACCCCCTACGTCACAAACTCACAAACTTTATTTCTATATAATATTATAGTATAGATTTAGAAAGATTTAGTTAACATTGTTTTGTCCAAAATTATTTTTATTTTTTAATTTTTCCTAGAATAAAAGGTCACTTGTACTCTTCCACTAACTTTAATAACTACACTAACTAACTAATCACCAATTTGAAAAAAAAACTCAAACTTACCTAAATACTTATTAACACCCAATATATTAAGTATCCGTAGATACCAGTAGATGATATCTACGCAGTATATAACGCGGCCGACGTCCATCGAGCTGGCGCGCAGGCGCAGCGTGAGTCCCACCAGGAAGAATATTATGAAACCCGCGTCGTACGTGTTCCACATGTTCCATGCCCACACGCTGAACTTATGTCTGATGAAAAGATATTTGTTGAAATATTTTTGTTAATTTTTTTTATGTTGAGACATTAATACGCAGCACTATCTAGTTCCATGGTAAGCTACGAGGCTTGTGTTATGGATACCAGATATTTGATACACTACACATATATAACTTTATATACATACATATTATAAATATAAACACCCATGACTGGAGTACAAATATTCGTGCTTATCACACAAATGAATGCCCCAGCGGGACTCGAACCCGCGACCGCTGGCACAGCATGTAGGGTCACTACAAACTGAGCCAAAGGTGTCGTCAATTTATGCTTTACTAATAACTACAGATATTGAACTATTGACCCGACAAACTTTGTCTAGTCTTTTTTAATGCTCAAGAAAATTTGTGATCAATTAAGTCATGCTAAATTCAATAAATAAAACGCACTTTTAGTTTTTCCTGAATTTGTCAATTTTTTAGGATAATTTTTCCAATTCTTTTCTCTAAAAATCTTATTCGGACTATTTAGGATATTAAATATATAAAAAGATATCAAAGTTTGTGAGGATGCTCGTGATCTAACCACATGTAAACTGATGGATAGATTTTGATGAGACTTGGTGAATAAAAAACTAGGTTTATTCCTGGAGCAACAGAAGATTATTCCGAGTTTTTTCCCAATTAAACATTTGCTTAGGATAATAATAATACTACAATGTTATTTGTTAACACTAGTCTTGACTTCCACTTAAAGGGTGGCTCAACCCTAAAACATCATTGATGCATTTATTAGTGACCGGGTAACTTCTGTTCAAATTGACAGGCTTGGGTTATATGAACAAAATGTTTTGTTTATTTCAGATGATAACCAAATTACAAAAGTTTAAAATTTGGTCCAAAATAGTTCGAAGCTTTACTTTCAACAAACATTTTTTATAAATATTTTAAAAATAAAAACATACTCATATAAGTACTTTTAGATATAAGCTTTAAAAAAATCTAACATAACGTATCAAATAAACTTTCAATTAAGATATGCTGTTATGACATGTTAACTTAAATAAATACGCGAACCATTAATTATTGTCGTCTGAAAACGAGTTGTATGTAAATAACAAACTTGATTAAGTACACAGATGAGAGCTTTTGATTTTCTTATTAGCTTAAGTACTAAATTGTATTAATAAAAATTATGTCCTCCAGAGCTTTATAAAGAAATAAGCTTTTAAACAAGCGGATACTAAGAAAACAAACACTGGTACAGTTGAAATTAATAGCGTTGCGTTTAGGCTTAATCGACTCATTTACACTGAATTAGATGAAGAAACCGCCATGTGTTGCGAAGGAAAATATCTTACAATTAATTTTTAAAGCTTTGTGCTTTGTGTGGATAAGAAATGATATATATAATCAAAAGTTATATGTACATAAAATTTTTACGATTAAAGTTTTTGTAGCTTTTTTGTGCTTTAGAAAAATGTTCTATTAATCTAAATAAATATTATGTTTTTTGACGAAAAACAATAGAAGAAAGATCTTGTATGGCTTACAAAAACGAATCACGAAAAAATTATATGTAACAGATGCGTACTTTAAATATTTGATTCAAGCACATATCAACGACAGTTATTTACCGTTTTTATTATTGCATGTATAGAGTTTATATTATGTTAGAATAACTTAGTTTCTGTTAGATAATTTATAATTTTAAACTCACCTAATAGCCACAGGCTCGGACGTAATAATTTCTCTAATCTTCTCACATAAAAACGTTATTATATAACATATGGAGTATATCTCCGGCCAAGACGGCGTTAGGTCCATCTTGACTAATACTGTATAAGTGAACATCAGTAGGAACAATATGTAAGCGATCTGTAAACAAAATACTCTTGAGGGTTTTTGAATAAAAATTATCTAAAAAGAGAAAAAAAATATCATGTTTTTTCTTGTATAATTATAATATACTAGCGAATCACTTCGTCCCTTGGTACGTTTTGACGATAGATTTTTTCCAATTTTTTTTCTTGAATTTTTCCGATGTTTTAATACTTATTCTGCTATTCAGGATGAAGACAAATCCAACAAAACAAAAATCATAAAAATCGGTCCAGCAGTTCGAGTTATAAGTGTTTTAACAAACCCGACTTTGCTTTATATATATTACCAGCATTGCCCGCGGCTCCGCCCGCGTTCAGATGACCAAAACCAAATTCTTAGGTTTTACATATTACGTATACTCTTACAACGCAGTTTTTGTATTTTTTCTCAGAAATGAGATATTTTCCTGCGGTAAAAAGTATCCTATATGTTGACCCGGATAACCAGCTATCATCATACCAAATTTCATCAAAATCTGCCCAGTGGTTTTCTCGTGATGTGGTAACAGACAGACAGACAAAAATTCTAAAAACTATAGATTCGGACTCCTTATCGATAATAATGTCTATTTCAATTAGATATTCCAAAAAAAATTTAATGTACAGATTCGACTTAGTTACAATTTTATTATATGTATAGATTGAAAGGCTTTAATATATTATTGAAATATATTTTAAATCAAGATATTTCAAGTAACAATGAATCTTTCATGCCAGAGATAAAAGTTAATTAAAAAAATTCTAGAAATAAGTCTAAAGAACTCAATTATAAGTTAAAAGATCTGTACTTTCACTAGATAATTGAATTAATTAAATACTAAAACAGTATAATATAGTAAATTAAAATAAAGGTAAAAATTTTAATCTGCCATATTAATATTTTTGTCATATATATATATATTTTATTCGGATATTAAAGACGTTTAAGAAATATAAGAATAAAATTTTTGTTCATTACAGATAAAACAAATTAGAAAAGTTTAAAATCCAAAAAAGTCGTATTTTTACTATCAACAAAAAATAAAATAAAAAAATAAAAACATATATTTTAAATATAAGCTTTCAAAAAAGTTTCCAACACAACGTATGAAATCAACATTAAAATAAGACTAGCGACTCACCCTCACTTCACTCGGGTTCGTCCCTAGCTTGATTGCCAATACATACAAACTTTCATCCCCATTTGTACCCCCTTAAGGAATAATTTCCGAGATAAAAAGTATCCTAAGTATCCAAGGGTCAAAACTATCTTCTTACCAAATTTCATCTAAATCGGTTCAGTAGATCCAATGATTACCCCCTACAACGTCACAAACTCACAATCTCACAAACTTTACTCTTTATAATATTAGTATATAGGTATAGATAACTGTTACGACATATTAACTTAAATATTCGTAAACAATTGCCATCTAAAAACGAGTTGCAAATAACGAACTTGATTAAGTACACATAAACAACGTGAATATTTTAAATTGCCATATTCATATAAAACATTAACACTCATATTAACTCTTACATGAGATAGAAGAATTTATGACGCTAGGCATTCCCAAGAAGCTCTCAACGTATAAGGCCTAATATGGGTAATAACTTTGTATGGCTGTACCTGACTTAATTTAACTCATAAAATTGCTTAACTTAATGATTAAGTAAACTTGGTATACGATAAATATTTAACTCGAAGTACTTACGAGTACATACGAGTATTTAATAAAAATGTTTTTTTTATTTTAACCCCCGAGGCAAAAACGACGGGTTATTCCGAATTATATGTAAGTTTGACGTGTCCGTGTGTCTGTCTGTGACATCGTATTCGCATTTTGTCTAAAAGGTGAATTATTCGGGAGTGTTCATAGAGCTATGTTTGATGAAAATCGATCCAAGATGGCCGCCGCCACAAAATGGCGGATTACATATTTTTTTTACAACTCCCTCAATATGGGTATCACATTAAAGGGCTTGATTAGTAGAATACTATACACTATGATAAATTTCAAATCCAAGATGGCCGCCGCCGCAAAATGCCGAATTGCAAGTCGGGGTTTTTTTTTAATTTTAAATTAAATTTAATTATTAACTAATTAAGACGAAAGAAGAAAATTAAAAGTAGCTATTAGGGATATTTTTTTAAATTTTTATATTGGAACAGCAATAATACAAACAAAATTCAATGTATAGTGTGTGAAATATAAGGTAAATATTTTTATTTGTTAATTTCAAATCACAAGAATATCAAATGTAATTTTGTCCACGAGAGCGTTAAGTGAATTAAATTTTTTTTAAGGATATCGCAGTTGAGTTTAAAAAAAATTGTGATGTCATTCTCTTTCCGATTTTTAAATTTAATGTTGTTCGGTCAAATCTATGTCAGGAATCTGAGAGATTTTCGGCCACGCGTAAGTATGTATGTACGAGTATGTGTATGTACGGACGTATGTAACATTATGTATATATAATATTTTGCATTATAATAAAAGAAGCAATAATCTATATATATAATAAAACTGTAACTAAGCCGAATCTGTACATTCATTTTTTTTTGGAAAATCTTATTGAAATAGACATTATTATCGATACAGAGGCCGAATTTATAGTTTTTAGAGTTTTTGTGTCTATCTGTCTTTTACCGCATCACAGAAAAACTACTGGAGGGATTTTGATGAAATTTGGTATGGTGATAGCTGGTTATCCGGGTCAACATATAGGATTATTATTATTATATATTATTTTTACCGCGAGAAAATATCTTATTTCTGAGAAAAAATACAAAAAATGCAACCTAAGAGTACTAACATGTAAAACCTAAGAATTTGCTTTTTAGCCATATGAGCGCGGGCGGAGCCGCGGGCAATGTTAGTTATTTAAATGGCAAACAATAACTCGTTATGTTGATCTAGTATAAATAATAAAAAAGCTAGAAGACAATTTACTAAGTTATTTTGGGTCAAAAATACAAACGATCGAGCGATTAAAGTGGGAACTGACGTTTATGATAAATTACCGTTTTTCTTCGAGTAAATATACCTAATGTATAAGCAAATGTGTTTGAGAATGATGATGATGAGTATAAGAATTGACTTAAAGTCAATTTATTAAATTCATGTGGATAAACAAAGAAATGGGCAATTAAAGCATGTTTCATGATAAATTACTGTTTTGGTTTAAGTATCTGTGTATAGCTAATGTTACCTACTATATTTAAATAGTACGTGAAGTTTCAAGCTTAAATAAATATATAAATGCTATTTTTAATATAATTAGGTATATAATATTTAAGAAAACAAAAAATCATCTATACAGATAAATAAAATTGAATTATCTGTTTGTAATGTCAAAATAACAGCTTTTTACTGAATGCATATGGAATTATATACGGTATTTATAAGAAAAACACAATTTTTAAAATTTTTGTCTGTCTGTTTGTTCCGGCTACTCTCCGAAACGGCTGGGCCGATTTGGACAGAACTTTCACTGGCAGTTACTTGATGTTATACGGAGTAACTTAGGCTACTTTTATTTCAGTAATCAGTAATTAGGGTTCGACTCAAAAAAATTAAAATGTACCTAGTATAAAACTTCAAATATAGTTACATACTAATTTGCATAAAGTAAAATTAAAATAATAAAACAACGTGTTATATTTACCGCACTAGTTTTCCATATTCTCCCACACTTATAAATTTAAGCCTTTTATAATGTCGTGTGTTAATTTTTTAGGTCACAGAAAATTATATTTTCCGTTTAATTATTCATAAACATTTTAAAATATGAATGCGGTAATATACTTGGCAGTCTTTTATTTTTGTAATCTTTGACAATAATTTATCGCCGTAAAACGGTAAAGCCATTTAATATTTTATGATAAATAAACGTATAAGTAAATTCGTTAAATTATAATGGAGACACGTAATCTTTTAGGGCTTTTTGACATTAAATTTAATTTGTTTGTTTTATCGAACGGCTAAACAGTACACATGCAAAAGAAATTATAGCAGTGGACTATTTTTACGAAAAGGGATTTTTAATACGACATATTAAGATTTATTTTTCAGGTTATTTCAGAATAAAGGTTTTATTAGTAATACTTTCTTAGATTTACGGGAATATTTGACATTTTAAATAAAACTATCTTTTCGTTTTTTTTTCGTGGATTTATTTTGGTTTTTGGTGTATTACTTTTGAGACGTCTAAAACCTTAGTCTCTCCCGTGACCATGATTGCTGTAATAGTGTAAAGCATTCGAAACGTCGGGATAAAACCAAAAAGATAAATTTATTTAAAAATATTACTAGTACGTAATGAAATCGGGCGACAGTATGGTATAATCTTTAGGTAGGACTAGGGACATATAATAACATTCTGAGTTGAATCTGTACATTAAATATTTTTTGGAAAATCTTATTGAAATATTCATAATTATATATTATCGATACAGAGGCCGAATCTATAGTTTTTAGATTTTTTGTCTGTCTGTCTGTCTGTCTGTCTGTGACCGCATCAAGGAAAAACCACTGGGCAGATTTTGATGAAATTTTGTATAATGATAGCTGGTTATCCGGGTCAACATATAGGATACTTTTTACAGCGAGAAAATATCTCACCTCTGAGAATCTATAAAACGTAACGTAACTCTTAAAACGTAAATACGTTCTTGTATATAAAATTAAACAATGAAGGAACATATTTCTGTTGACTCCTCATAAAATAGTTATCAGCATTTATCGTTATTTCAAAAATAAATGTTCAATTTTTTTTATTTAAACCCTGTCTCAGAATAGAATATTTTTTGAATGGAAACTTAAATAAATAATTTCAATAGAAACTCATTTTGCTTTTCGAATTCATTGTAGTTTTTGAAAACATTGTCGATTCAAAATTCCAATAGTGCCGCTCACTGTAAACAAATTTCATGGGAGTGATGTCATCGACAAAGGTGGATGTATTATTTTGCTTCGTCAGCGTTTTTGTTGTTCAACGCGACGGGGTAAAAGCTTTTTTGAATATTCATTTCACTTTTTTACTTCAAGTTACCCTTATGAAAAATAATATTTGTGCTTAATTTAATAATGCCCAACATAATAAACTCATTAAAATATACGTAAAACTGTATTTTATTATTTTATTAAAATGAAGTACTATATTAATAGATTTATTTTTTCTTTATAAATTGATTGGGTTATAATATGTTGTTTAGTTACTTATTTTTGTCATATTTTGTATTTTCCTAGTAAAAAACATATACATACATACCTATAAAAAAAAACAAGTAAAAAGTACCAACATTAGAAAAAAATTAAACAATATAATAATACAAAACAGATGAACTCACCGAGTCCGCCCAAAACTTGGTGATGGGCGCCGTGAAGAACTCATAGATCTTCTTCCTCAATCTCAACGGCCTCATCCTCTTATCCTCCGGCACGTGGTACTCTGGCAGGTCCCTGTACGTGGGGTCCCAACCAATTTTACCAACTTTCCCATTTTGATCGACCCGAGTTTCGCATTCCCCTGAGCCAATCAACGCCTGCTTGAGTATAGAAAAAACCACGTATAAAGGTTACCACGAAATGTCCAAGTTTACAAGTAAGTATAGTAACAGTATGAAGATTTTAGAGTGAGTCGAAGTCGAAAATAGCGACAGAAGCGGATATTATGTTTCTATTACTATATCTGAAAGAGCTACTATACGTATTTTAAATCAGGTACTGGACTTTTTATATTAACCGCCACCAAAAGGAAACATTTAATGGAAATTTTCCAATATTCATTTATCATTGTGATGGCCCCAATTGATAGCGGTATGTTATTACGTTTTGTTTTTATTATAGCAAAAGCTTATATTTACATGTATTGCAAACATCATAATAATTAAAACTAGCAAAAGGACGTGGATATTGAAAATACTGCATAAATATTTTTAAATTTGCGCCTCAAATTCAATCTTATAGAGAATAAAAGAGGAATACAGAATAAAAAGTGAATAATGTGATACGTTGCAAATGCACGAATGAACTTAAGTATATATATAACAAGCTAAAGTGACTTTGGAAAAAATACAGTAGTGTGTTAGTAAAATTTGATAAAATTATAGATAAAAGATCAAAGATGAAGATTAGAATGAAAACGTTTATTGGCTACCAATATAGTTTTTTAACGAGATTCTCTTTTGTAAAGGCTATCTACAGTGTATAATTTTCTAAGCTCCATACATTCGATCTTCATATCGCTTATTCAAGTTAACTTCTGAAGATATATTTTACACGCACCAAGCTATTATATCTAAAGTTTCATTACGTTTAGTTACATTAAGTATGTACATATACGAGTATATATGTAAAAGTGACCGGAAGTAAAAGTGCGTGAAGACAGAAATTTAAAACAAAAACAAAATATACGAGCTTTAGTTGCATTTGCCATCATTATCCTAACAATTAAATGAATATGAAATATCGTTTATCTATCGTGTATATTTTATTACGTATAAGCTTTGAAATAAAGGTAAAGTATCATCGCTTATGAATCTCAGGATAGAATCTTACTAATATTGTAAATGTTACTCAATCGCGCCAGAACAGTTGAACGTATCTGCACGTTTGGCACTGGAATAGTACATAGGCTACTTTTTATCCCGGAAAAATGTACGGTTCCCGTGGGATAGATTCGTTTTTGATTTTCTAGAGGAGTACTTGAGCGAAGCGAAGATGAGCCGCTAGTAAAATATATATGTAATATGTAGTATACATTTTCTGCGTTATTTTATACACAACTTTGAATAATTCATCGTATAATTTGTAAATCATAATAAGCATTTTGCCGAATACGCTCAAATGAATAGAATAGCTTTAGTTTTTGTTCAGAGGGACGCTATAATATAGAAAACTAATACATAAGAATAACGTGTCAAGACACGTATTCTGAAACTACTATTCCCATATATATTTTCTATTCTATTAGCGACAGGGAATGTAGAATTTAATTTTGTTAAAGCTCAATAAAACGAATAAATAAAATTTTCTCAAAGTGCAAAGCAAATAAAACGCAGTGTTCGCACAATCCTTAGTACCTGTGTGCCTTTGCACTGTTGTCCCGGTGGTATTATCTTCTTTATGGAAAGAGTACGCCGTTTCGCCACTCCAACCTATCGCGATATATTTTTACAGAGAAAATATTTTAAGCTTTTGTTCAAATTCTTAAATGTGAACAGCTGCAATTTGAGTATTACGTGTATATAGCATAATCTAATAAGTGCAGTGAGTGAGAGCTATCGATTCTGGTGGCACCAGTTAGCGCCACTGGCGAGTGAGGTCCTATCGCTGTCGTTGAAAAGTACTTGTCAGTGCGGCAGGGTCAATAAATTTAATACAATAATTATATTGCTAGTGCAAAAATAGTTCTATCAGAATTTTAAATAGTTAATCATAATCAAATAAATAAAAAATTGACTTTTTCTTAACTCTTCTTTTAATCCAATAAGATTTATTGTGCCGTACCGTGTCTATATATATGGTAAGTGGTAATGCAGTCGTAGATGGTAAGTCGCACTAATTCAGTAGCCACCTATTCACTCTTGCCTTGAAGACACCCATGTGTATTAGAATTATTACATATTACATAATCATGAATATTAGTGAGAATCCGCGATAAAAAGCTCGCAAACAGTAAACGTTCAGTACCATTTGACATTTCTAGAGACCTCACTCAACACTAGCGGCCTCTCGCGGCGCATTCAAGCGCAATAGCCCCCATTTTTATTAAACTCATTTATAAATATATCGTGTCTACATATTGTGTGCGTTAATATGGCTGTAATGCACTCTACTCATATTGTAATAAATGATTTTTCAAAAACATCCAAAAGTGTCAAAACATGAAAGTTCAATTGCCAGTTGCAAAAAATATTTATGTCGTTTATTTATTGTAATTATTATTTAGTGATTTTATTTTTTATACTAACTTGTTACCCCTTTTTACAGCTTTCGGGGTACATATTTCTATTCTATTATTAAGTTTCTTTAAATTTCCATTAAATACTTTTTAATGCATACTACTCTCTAAGATCTACCTGCCTCAGGTTTCTAGCATTTTTACTTACTAATATTTCGTGATTAATCAGTGAGTGATTTTTCCCTCTTGTATATATAAATAGATAGTAATTTATATTATATTATAAAAAAATGATTTCTGGTAAAATATTTCTCCGAAAACCAAAGGTATTTTCTGTGTAATTCTAAGACGTTTTTATTCACTTTCAAAGGTGCAAAGTAGTGAAGTACGCTATTTCTCGACAGATACCTGTATGATATTCTGCTGTGGGGGCACAATCTTCTTAATAGAAAGTGTGCACCGTTTCACTGCACCGACCTAAATATGCAAGATTTTTTTAAAATAGTAACCCTATCAGTAACCAAAATTTTATATATTCTACGTATATTATACCCTAGAAATATCACTTAAAATATAATTTTCGCTTTAACTAGCAAAGCATCGTAAGACTTTTATAGGATTGAATGAGATCAGCAGTTTAAAAAATGGCCAAAAAACACACACAGTTACGTACAAAAAAAATCCTCTTCTAAGAACATTAAAATTGATTCGTATAAAAATTTTGTAATAGCATTTTTTCCAAGAAACTTCAAGATTATCTTCAACTATAGCTTCTGATATTTTCTAATTGAAAGCGTTTATTTTGAATACTGAGTAATGTTTAATCAACGTTGCCTTTAACTTAGGATTAACGCGATTATTTACGGAGTAAAATCTCGCTGTATTATAATATAAAACTCTGCGAGGATAGCAATAAGGAATGAAACCCATGGGATTTCGAAAATATATACTCATTTAACATTTTTAATAATTCTAAGGAAATTTAAATTTAAAGGGGATACCTTCCAACGATCTTTCATAAATTTTCGCATTATTAGATAAGCAATTCTTGTGCTAGTTTTTATACTTCAAAACCTAACAATTGTTATGTGTTGATTTTCAGTTAGTAAGTTAGTTTAGTTAAATAGTGTTGCACAAAAATTACTGATATTCCTTAACCATTTATTCGATAAACGGTGAAAATATTAAAAGTTCTACAGAGCTCGCAATTTCATATTGCAAGTAGAGTAAAATTCATTTTTGTCCCACTTTTTGACGCTACGAATATCTTTAAGTGCTTTAATATGCAAAAACTTTTAGTGTAGTTTGCCTAAACTGCAGTCTGGTCTAGAAAGATAGGGGAGAAATGATATTTTGGAAGTACAAAGTTTATTTTAGTACTTATTATTATGTTGAATAAAAGCCCACACAAAATATTTAAAACCATCACCCGTCGTTATGAGATTATTTACAAGAATAATTATTTACATTAGTAAGTCCATTTCGCTGATTATTATTATCTGATTTATGATGGTTATTACATCAACGAAATTATGCATTTTATGCTTGCTGTAAATTATATCATTAATCTTTAAAATTCAAGACATGTTTAAATATCCCTATATAAAATACAATTTACAAATGTCTACTAAAACATAAAAACAATTTAGAAACCCACATTTCTACTAATTAAATTGATCTAATATCGAGAAAGTTAATGCCTACTTGAAAGAATATTTATTCAAATTTTACAAATTCACATACGACTGTGTGTAGCAAAATATCGAAGCAATGGAAGCAACCAAACACAAAAACGTACCTCAGCGTCGTTCGGGTCCCTGGTGCTCCTATCGTCTTCCATACTCTCATTCTCTAGATGCTCCTCCTCCGTCTGCGGCATCAGCTGTAGTTCCTCCTTGGACTTGAACTCCAGTTGCAGAATGTAGAGTGGACACAGCAGGCTCAGTATTACCTTAGACCACGATAAAGCCGATGTGGCAAACGAGGACGCTAACTATATTGACTTAAGCATCACATGCTAACTATTTGACGTCGATTATGCTGGAGTTGTTTCATTATAGCTGTTTATAATATTATCTGTCTGTGTTGTTTAAATAATAGTTGTGCAATATATTAGCAAATTCAAGTTAATAAAAATTATATTGGGTAACCATTTCCGGAGCATGTATCATATGCTGTATTTCAGACAAAAACGGTCAAGCGTGATTGAAAATTGGTGTCAAGCTTGCAACTTAAATATATACAGTTGAAAATATCCTCCATAAAACTGGTTCTATTTATATTAGACCTTTTTTCAACACTTAAATATGTACAGAAGCCAAAAAAACACATGAAACAACCCGCATAAGGTGATATTTCATAAATTAGGGGATAATCGGCGTCTGCATGCTCCGCAAGCGACTCATTGACACACAGACATCTATCTCGTAAACGTTTGTTACGATTGTTATTCTCTAGAACTACTACGTGCCAATACAAGTCTGTGCGTTAACAAGATGAAAGAAAGTTTCATGAGTACGGTATGTGTGGTCCATTACCTTGAGATTTGTGTTCTTTCGTGTCCTCAGTCCTCCCATCCAGAGGTCTGCGAGGATTATTTGTGAGCAGGGATGGGCGAGGAGGGCTCTATGATTAGCCGCTACTGCTAAACTCAAACATGTCTGTCCTGACCAGTTCTGGAGTTCGCACGTGAGCAGTTGTTGCGCTTGGTCGTCATCCTGACGGTAACAGTAGTCTAGCAGTTCCAATGCTGGAACAAAATATTTATGCCCATAAATTATTTATTTATTTATACACTTTATTGTGCACCATAATAATCGCATAAAGACAAAATATCTAAAAGAACGTGCACAAAAGGCGTTCTTATCGTTAATTGTTGAATATAATCGGTCTACCATTATTATAAATACGAAAGTTTGTTAATGTTTGTATAATATATATGTATGTTTGTTAATCTTTTACGCTGAAACAGCTGGACAGATTTAGATGAAATTCAATACCCACAATACACACAGACTATGACCTGGAGTATATGTATATACATAGGCTACTGTCAGACCCAATAAATAATGATATATACGATACATATCATGCTGTATTTAGGAGGGACGTTGGTATAATATGGGCATTATTTATTTCATATTTCTAACAATAACATACTACAAGTATTTTCTTAGATATTTACCTCGAACGAGAATCAAACCTACTACACACGAACGGATAAAAAACTGTATTGAATATAAAAACTAAAACAAGTTAAATAGATCATCTACATTCTAAAGTAGAAATAAATTGTAATTTACTTATAAATGAAATCCTATTCCTAGAATAATTAAATTAGTTTACATTAAATTAAGCATCGACGTCGGCGAGTTAGCGTATTGAGTACTGGCCGTAGCCGCACAATTCATGCGGTTTCAATCAGCCTGCAATCTGTTATAGTCAGGTATTGCATCTTGAAAAATAATAGCTATTCAGGTAGAAATTCTGAAGAGAGTATTCAGAATATTCTTATTAAAAATTGAAAGTTATGGCAGTTGCATTATTTAGTTACTAGCGATTTTTAGTGCTATATTTATTATATCTTGAAAAGTAAAAGTATTAAACATTAATATATATTTCTACTATTTGAATTTTACATACATTCTGGATTTTACATTATTATATATATATATATATATATATATATATATATATATAAGATTTAGTAATTAAACATTTTTGTGTTTTTTTCTCAAAAATGAGATATTTTCCCGCGGTAAAAAGTATCCTATATGTTGACCCGGATAACCAGCTATCATCATAGCAAATTTTATCAAAATCCCTCCAGTGGTTTTTCTGTGATGCGGCAACAGACAGACAGATAGACAGACAGACATACAGACAAACAGACAGACAGATTGACAAAAATTCTAAAAACTATAGATTCGGCCTCTGTATCGATAATAATTTTAATTTCAATAAAATTGTCAAAAAATATTTAATGTACAGATTCAGCTTAGTTACAATTTTATTATATGTATAGATTTAAAGGCTTATAAATAACCTTGTATACATAAAATGAAAAAAAATACCTATAAATACAATTTTATCACATTGAAAATATAAAATTTCTAATAATATTTAATAAAATTTAAAGCAACTACAGTATTCATTTTGTACAGGTTTGTAGAAGTCTCATAAGCACAATAACTTATCTTAATATTTAAATTGAAAGGAAAATTGAAATCCCATAGGAATTGCGTTATATTATAATGCTTCCAAAATTGATGTAGAGTCTTGCACGTTCCCCCCCAACGTGCGTTCACCTTGTCGTGGTGGGGGGCTCAGTAGTACCGAAGCTAAGAAACGCACAGGGAGGTTGCCCACTTCGGTGGGCGGTGGGAGGTGGCCCTCTTCGGGGGTTGGTGTACCTTGCGGGTTGCTCCTGGTACTTCTCTGATAGCAGAGTGGACCTTGGAGCAACCCCATGGTTGTGGTGGTCTGCTTCGGCAGACCTGCCGTCGGGGCGTCGTAGTTGAATGCGTAAGCGATCCTGCGACGCCCCATTAAGACGGGGGAAGGTTTTGTTGGGTTTTAGTGGGTAGTACTGGCTGTATTACGCCGGTGAGTCCCACACGTCGTGCGTAAATGCATTTCCCAACGTTAAAAAAAAAAAAGGGTCTTGCACGTTACATGTCACGTTAGTAAGTACTTGTGTATTAAGTGATTATGATCATAAATAAAGTAGTTAAGCAGACATGCGAGAAACCTATATTTTCCTTCGCCATATTACTAAGCGGTAATCATCTTGAAAATTATTGATGTTGCGAGACCCAAGTTTGAACCACTTCACTTGGCTCTTAAAGCGAATACGCTACCAATGTACCACCAAAACACCTTTGATTTGTAAGAAATCTCTAAAAATATTTGATTACCACTAAGCCCTCGCATCTAAGTAATACTGGTTGACATTAGGATCAAGACTAGTCTACCTCAGAGCCTACGAGTTGAGGTACCGCTCGGGGCAAATATTAGCTGTATATCGTAAGGGTATCTCGTGATTTGTATGTATGTACCCGAATTCTGTCGTATAACAGAATCCTTAAAATTAGACATTAATAAGAACTCTTATATTTATATATACTATATTAATTTTTTATGATGAGAAAATTTATTAATATCACATACCTACTAACAAATTACATGAAAATTGTATATAATAATTGATTTTCATTAATAAAATTGATCTTACCTTTTGTTTCAAATTCCTTCCCATAATGCCTCAATTCCTCATACACCTCCGTCTCCATATCGTCTTCAGCAGCTTCGTGTGCCATTGCCTTGTACAGTTTACACGCGACCAGGGACTTGGCGAGGGCTTCTTCCCCATGAGTCCACATAAGCAAAGCCATTTGATGCCGTTTCGTTAGTACCGCCCACATCTGTATGGAAAACGTATTAATTAAAATCTAATTATAATAGTATCCTCCTGATCGATTTCCACACTAACATCCAGACCAATCCCATTCCAGACTAATTTCCAGGCCAATCTCCAGACCAACTAACTGCGCAAGAGATAATATAGTGCACAAGTAAGCGCGCAAATACAAACCATTTTCAATTGACAGATGATGACAATGAGAGTTAAGGCGCAGAAGCGACAACTTTATGAGTTCTTCTAGGCAAGGAAGGGTAACACTACCAATTTTTAAGTCCGGGCTGCTATTGAGAATCTTAGCACAGAAACTTAATAAAACTGGCCCGAACCGGGAATCGAACCCAGGACCTAGTAATCTGTTGCCGTACCTACATGCTAGCATCAACAATATCGTGGCAGGTTAAAATTTAATTATACATATATAAAAAAGAAAGAAATTATTTAGTATTTTTGATTTTAAATATGATACTGAAGAAGTAGTCTGTCTATAGGTACATATAATAAAATTATAACTAAGCCGAATCTGTACATTAAATATTTTTTGGAAAATCTTATTGAAATAAACATTATTATCGATACAGAGGCCGAATCTATAGTTTTTAGAATTTTTGTCTGTCTGTCTGCCTGTTACCGCATCACAGAAAAACTACCGAAGCGATTCTGATGAAATTTGGTATGGTGATAGCTGGTTATCCGGGTCAACATATAGGATACTTTTTACCGCGGGAAAATTTCTCATTTCTGAGAAAAAACACAAAAACTGCTATGTAAGGGTATACTAATATGTAAAATCTAAAAACTTGGTTTTTGGTCATCTGAACGCGGGCGGAGCCACGGACAATGCTAGTTCTGTACATAAATGTAAAATAACATCATTTATATATTGAGAATACATAGTTATAGTTTTCGATCTCAGAACCATATCAATATTAAGGATAGATACCTAAGTGTAGATATCGTATTGCAAACAATACAAAAGCAAATTAAAAAGCTATAAATAAAGCTTTCCAAGCTTCACATTCACCAAAGTAGTTAATGTAATGGATGGTTAAATAGCGCGTATTTCAGTCGCAAGCCAGCACTGTCGTATACAGCAGAATACTCTCTTGCCACTTTATTTTATTACAATTGTTTGCTGACCTTTAACTTGTTTAATGAAAACAATAGACTTCAAATAAAAGCTTTCTACCAAAATAATTAAATTATTTATCAAGTATTTTATTTATTTTTAAATTTTTACTATAGTTTTTAGGGTTCCGTACCCGAATGGTGCCAGCGGAACCCTATTACTATGCCTCCGCTATCTGTCCGTCCATCCTTATATCAGAGGGCTGTATCTCATGAACCGTAATAGGTAGAGATTTAAATTTTTCACAATGTTACACAAATAATAAAAATGGATGAAAATAAAAAATAAAAATATTTTTTTAACATCATCGAAGTTAATATACTACATACATAGAGTAAAAGTCATATTAATAAAAAGTACATGGACGATGTTAGAGAACCCTTCGTGCGAATTCGACTCGCACTTGACCGATTTTTGTGTTTGTATATACCTATTGTTTTGTTCACTATATAATACAGAGTTTCATTATCATAGAAATACAATCGAAATTATCAAATTGACCTAAACACTTTATAGAGCATTATTTTGAACTAATTGTAGTTCTTGTAAGACCTCGTAAAAATAAAATTTCGACGCCAAATCAAATCGCTAATCGTAATGGCTAAGTTCAAGGAAAATGAAAACATTATTTTCTTAATATTTTACGCGTAAAAATAATTGTATATATACTGCCTATAATATCACTACTTCTAAATACTTTATTATTATTATTTTAATAAAGTATAATGAATGATAAATGACAAAATTACAAAATTTTACAATTTATATTAATGATTAGTGGAGCTATGCTAATATTTGCCAAGTTATTCACCAAGCACTCACTCTCTACCTCCAACATTTTCTCCCCAAATGTACCCACTAGTACTGAAAGGTACGATTTGTATGCCTTTTAAATAACCTCTAAAAAACTATTCTGGAAAAAAATTAAGCAAATCCCATACTTACAAGTAATTCATTAAAGGGGTAATCAAAGCGAGCCATCTCAGTTGTAACAGGCATGAAGCCGGTGATGAGAGACAAACCCCCAGCGTTGTGGCGAGTGAAGGAAGCGCTGTTACGGTGAACGTTCACACTCTTGTTCATCACCTTCGCGTATATCGGACGGAACTTGCGGCGGGTGTAATAGCATCTGCGATAAAAAAATCGTTAATATCACCTTTTTCTTTGATCTCGCTGCGGAATCCTAATAAATAAAACTGTATTTTCAGAGAGACTAATGCCCGATTTCACCAACGTCACCTAAGTTTAAGGGATCCCCTAAGCATGGTAAGGGGGCTTTTAGGGGACAGTTTCTGTTTCACCGACAGTTAGGGGTCACCTAAATATTAAAAGGCCCCCTAAATTTAGGTGCTCGAAATATGGGCTTAAAGACGATCGTAAAACGAAATTTAATTTAGGGACTAGTTTAGGGGACTTTTAAGCTAGGGATCCCATACGTAGGTGGTAGCTTATGCGTTGTTGGTGAAATCGGGCATAAGTCTCTTCTCGTGACCTTGACTTGCATCAGAACCGGGAACCAAAAATCAAAATAAATCCGCCAAAAAATCCGAAAGATAGTTTTATTTAAAATTAGTATAAGCGCTTAAAATACGATTATAAATAGTAATTTAATACATTAAAAATCCCACAAAGCTCATTAGCAAATTGGTGGTATGAATATAATTATTTTAAGTAGCGCAACGAGGCAAACTTTATCGGTTGTTTATTGTGTTGTGCATTAAGCTCCATATAATGTACTCGTATACGTTATAAAGCTCGTTTAACTAACTGACCTAGTATCCTATTTTTGTTATAATAATATTTATGCTACTCGTAGGTCAGTACAAGACATTTTTTTTTTTTTTTAACGTTGGGAAATGCATTTACGCACGAGGTGTGGGACTCACCGGCAAAGCCAGTACTACCCACTAAAACCCAACAAAACCTTCCCCGTCTTAATGGGGCGTCGCAGGATCGCTTACGCATTCAACTACGACGCCCCGACGGCAGGTCTGCCGAAGCAGACCACAACAACCACGGGGTTGCTCCACAGTCCACTCTGCTATCAGAGAAGTACCAGGAACAACCCGCATGGTACACTGCCCTCCTAAGAGGGCCACCTCCCACCGCCCACCGAAGTGGGTCACCTCCCTGTGCGTTTCTTGGCTTCGCGCCCGGTTGGGTTGCCGGGCACTACTGAGCCCCCCCACCACGACAAGGTGAACGCACGTTGGGGGGGAGGTCAGTACAAAACTAGCTGGACGTGTAATTTAAAAAAATAGTTTGATAAGCAAAACAATATTTCGTTTAATTTAATTTAAATTTTTAGGGTTCCGTAGACAAATGGCTCAAACCCTTATAATTGCGCTATATCCCTCTGGTCTGTTCATTTCACCGTCTATCAACATGTCACAGGTATTTTACAAGACTGTTGGAGCTACATTGCTGAGATTTGATAGACGTCTTACAATTAAAAACCGCTACACAATTCCGTATTTTAGTTACTGCTTGACACTTTGTTTTGATAGTCAACAACTTCTATTATTATAAACTAGCGACCCTAGCGGGTTCGTTAGCTTGATTCCCAATAAAAACATTCATCCTCATTTTCATCTCCATATGGGATGATTTCCGAGATAAAAAGTATCTTATGTCCATGCCAGGGTCTCAAACTATCTTCTTACCAAATTTCATCTAAATGGGTTCAGTAGATCCAGAGATTACCCCTTACAACGTCACAAACCCACAATCTTACAAACTACCTCTTTATAATATTAGTATAGAAGAGCTCATGAAACGAGAAGTTTAAGCTCATATGTTTGAGACTACTCAAGCTATTATGGTACAACGAAATTTTTTACTCAAGGGTAAGAAGTACTTCCGGCCACTAAGCGGGCGTTAACGAATTTTACCTTAATTTACCTTGTGTAAACATTTTCACTCCTTCATTTGACATTTTTAATCCATATATGTATATTTATAAAACAAAGTCAGGTTTGTTACAACACTTATATTTTGAGAAATGCTGGACCGGTTTTTATGATCTTTCTTTTGTTGGTTTTGTCTTCACGCCGAATAGCAGAGTAAATATTAAAAAATTGGAAAAAATAATGAAAAAAAAAAACAATTCCACACTAAGCATTAGAACGTACCTAGGGACAAACCTAAACGAAGCGAGGGTGAGTCGCTAGTTTTGTATAATTCTGTTATTTTTTCTATCAAGCAATTTAATATTTGCTTTGAACAAAACTCTACAATCTAAGGCAGAAGACATTTTTTGGTTTCTTCTTGTAAACTATAGCACTCAAAGTTAACGTAAGGTTTCGTTAGCTCGCATTATTGCTTGTAAAGTGAAAAATTGCCACCGTAACTCAAACCGTCGTTTTCAAATAGTTCGCGTTAAAACAGATATACAAAATTTCTAGAAACAGTTGATAAAACGGTTTCCATTATGTCAAAATTGACAGTTTTTTTATTTAAATGTAAACTTTCTTACACGAGTACTGCAAAAATATTCTCTTACTAAACTTAGACCTCGTACCTACATAATATGTGTACCAACCCACCGGAGTATGAGAGTGATAGGAATAGAGAGTGCACTTGTGTCTGCGCATACACTTGAGCACTATAATATCTTCTGCGCAGTTGGCTAATCTCAATGAGATTGGCCGCCGTGGCCGGAATCGGCTAGGAGAACATCATCACCAATTTCCATGGCGATCAGACTGTATAGAAAACGCATAGTGGCCAGGTAAAGTAAAATAGGGAACATGAAAATCTTCTATAGATAATAATATTTATATGCTATTAAAATATTAACGCTTAAGGAAGCGAAATTCGAAGACGAAGATTTCGTATAACCTTTTTGTAGTATCCATTTAAATTATATATAGTTCTTGAATTATGTGTATGTATCTATGTACGTATGAATGTATGTTTGTATATGTGTATATTTATATTATAATTGATGTTTGTAGTTTGTACCTACACCGCACCTCCTTATTATTTTTATATCTTCTCACGCTTGTGAGTTTCTGGTAGAGATCTCTTAAAGGGATAAGTCATCTTTTGTACACATGATATCTGTTTTCACTTCTATATTTTTTTTTTCTGGTACATAAATAAATAAATATTTTTTTTATTTATAAATATAGAAGATAGATATTGTGAAAAACCCTTCATATTATTAATACTAAGGTGATTCTGTTGATTTTTTTCAAAGGAATATAGCAACGGATAGATGGGACTTTTTACAAGCAGTTATTGGGCTTTAGAAGTGACTACTTTTTATCCCAATATATCGAATAGTTCTGCTATAAGATTGGTTCAATATATAATATATGGAAAATCAAACGAAGGTTGGCTATTAGAAAATTACAAAGGCATTCTTTATTATTAAATATTGGTAAAGACCTACTTTATAAGATATATTTCTTAGAATAGTTTATGTGGCGACAAGGGTGAAAAACAGCTAGCTGTACGATAAATCTACGGGATAAATTGAAATAGCGGCACATTTCCCTGTAGTCAAATTTTGCTCCTAGCTTATGCTGACGTCTGATTACTTTGCAGAACCTACTTTTATTATAAGACGGGTTCTACCACTGCCATTGTTCTTGTGGCGCGTTGAAATATTATATTTTTGGGGTAAAAGAGTAAAATGTTTTATAATGTGTCAAATAAGTTTAAGAATTCTCTACCTGTTTTCTATATTATATATGAAATCATAAATTTAAAAATAGTAGGTACATTTTAAAGTTTTTAACGCAATTTATTAGACATTCTTCATATCGTAGCACCAAAGAAAAGATGGAAAAAGTAACTAATTGGGATAAAATATGTGTATTTATGTAAAAAATTCCAAAAGTTTAGCCTAGAATTATCTCAATGAAAAGGCAATATTGTAAGCCAGAGGTACCGTGTTCGATTGCAAATTCGAGTAAAGCGGGTTCAAATCCGGGTCTTTCAACTCTTGAGATTTTTATATTCGAACCATTTTAACTTGATTATCACTTGCCCCACGGTTAAGGAAAACATCGCGAGGAAACCCGCATATCTGAGTGAACCTAATTAGTATACGATAGACTCGTTAAGTCCGCCAACCCGCATTTGGCCAATATGATAGACTTTGGCTTGATCTCCCTTGTATTGAGAAGAGGCCACTCTGCCTAGCAGTTAAAAAAAACCATATATATATATATATATATATATATACCTATTTATGCAATTGCATAATTCAAAGCTTAAACTTGGTTAAAACAAAAAAAAACATAAAAAGTCACATGACCAATTTAGTATGATTTGCATTTAATTCAAACCCAAATCGCGCCATTTGATTCACAAGTCACAATCTATATTTGAAGTTTTATTTAATCCCTTTTCGCGATTCGTTTCTTTGTAGCATTCACAAAGCGAGCTATCTATCACTGACAGTGCGAGTCGGCTCATGAAAATGCGATTCAAAGAAATAAAAAAAACCCGACTTCAAAACACGCGTTTGTGAGTCTGTTTGTGTCATCAGGCAAAAAATAATATGTATACCACGTAATAGAATTAAATATTTAACAAAGTGTCTTTGTAAATAATAACATTAATTTTACATTCATTTTAAAATTAATATAGGTGTTGTAATATTTCTATGTTGGTCCTAACAATATAGTGAGGGAAAAAGATATACCTAAATAATAAATAACATCAAGCGTGTAAATAACCATTTACGTTTTAATAGATCGAAATAAATTTTTACTAAGGCTACCTTCATCTTGTCTCAGTCTCTAGATTAGTTTTTTGTTTGTTGTTAACAAAATTATAAGTAGTAAATAAATTAAAAATAAATAATTACAATAATTGCATTAAGAATTTAACATCCTAAGACAAATGTAAATCGACATCAAGCAATATAAAACGAACAATATAAAATCGAGTCTGCGTCGCAAACCAAAGACAGCAAGAAAGGAGTGAAACAATGTTATAACTTTAGGAGCTTTATGCCCGATTTCACCAACGTCACCTAAGTTTAAGGTACCCCCTAAGCATGGTCACCGACAGTTAGGGATCACCTAAATATTAAAAGGCCCCCTAAATATAGGTGCTCGAAATATGAGTTTAAAGACGATCGTAAAACGAAATTTAATTTAGGGGCTAGTTTAGGGGACTTTTAAGCTAGGGGATCCCATACGTAGGTGGTACGAGTAACTTATAGGTTGTTGGTGAAATCGGGCATTAGATACTTTAAAGCTCGACAACGGTTAGCTTTAAAGTCACTAAGAAACATCTATCCGGATATACCCCACACGCATATTATGTGGACTTAACTTTTTTTACCCCTCAGTTACCTACTTGTATAGAGTGCTAAACCATTTGTTTATTGTTTTTACTTTAACTATGGAATAGCAGCTGTACACATGAGACCTATCAAATAAAACCTACCTATCAAACAGCAACTTATGTACGTATGTAGGACATGACGATATTATAAGGTATTTCCTTTTGGTTAAAGAACCCTATAAAACAATGTTACATAATTATGTTTGTATTTTTTTTTCATATCAATAATAATTTATTACTCATTTATATAAATATAATAATTGTATAATACTCATATTGCACTACCGTCAAATAGTACTTTAAGTTTTCCTCCAGAAAAATATATGTTGACTAATTTTATCTATTAAAATATCATCGTCAGAAATATATATTAATATATTTTACTCACCTATAGGCGCCACCCATTAATTTATTTATAACTAGGCCAATATCGTGCAGTGTGTAGACATAGCCTCTTGGCAGGTGCGGCCTGACGTCTCTCAAAATGTATCTTAAAGTGTTGCTTGGACCGCTCTTGGTGTTATATAGCTCTTCTAATCTTGGGATAGTAAGAAATTTTCTCATTGAGACGCCATTTTCTAGTAGTAGCTTGACGAAGTCTATTCTATCGTGTTCTAGCGCCTGCATCATTGCTTCATCAAGAGCACCTGGAAAAATATGTTGATTAATATGAAAGCTAAAATTACAGTAATAACCCATAAGTCCAAAACCCCCTTTGGAGTTGAAGTGTTAATAACTTCATAAGGACATAACACCAAGTCATATCGCTTCTACTAAGTGATAAGTCTCCCAAAGGATCTGCGCGTCAGCGTGTTAAAGTAGCTAACATTCTTGCCAAAACGTATCCTCCCAATAAATTTCGGCCACGGCGGCCATACTTAATGAGATTAGCAAACTGCACAGGAGATATTATAGTGTACAGTGTACGCAAAGACACAGCGTGCACTCTCTATTCCTGCTACCCTCATGTTCCGCTGGGACGACATCTCGACACGACAAGTGTTAAATAATTAATTAATATTTTTCATCGCGTATATATTACACATATTTGTATAAAAACGTTTTTATAATACGCCCGCGTTCAGTTGACCAAAAACCAAATTCTTAGGTTTTACATATTAGTATACTCTTACATTGCAGTTATTGTATTTTTTCTCAGAAATGAGACATTTTCCTGCGGTAAAAAGTATCCTATATGTTGACCCGGATAACCAGGTATACATACATACCTTTGATAAAAGTATAATATCTATACTAAACGAGTGAGAGACGAAAGAGATCTATACTAAACGTTAAAACGTAAGTAGTTTTATTTTTTAGTTTTATTGTAAACTTCATGTGGATAATAAAAACGATATATTTGATTGTTTGCAAATCTCTGTCTCGAAAACAAACCAGTCTGAATAATTTTAGAATATTTTCATTGTTATTCAGTAGACGAGATCAATAAACTGTAAAAGTGAGATTATTCATAAAAGGATGGAAGGCTGTGACACCTGCGGCTCGGCGTTATGATCCTTAACATAGCTAATAAAATTTATAAAGGAAGCCTAAGTCTAAAGAATAAAGAAGTAAAAACTTTAAGCTCAAGAGCACGTAAAATTTGTAGAGGCATATTTTCTGTTTATACTGTGGTTTTAAAACTATCTATTTCATAATTATAACATAATCGAAAATACTATACAGGTTACAGATGAGATAAGCTTTAACAAAGTCATAAAAGACGTAAATGAACGTTTTTTTATAGATAATAAAAGTTCAAACTGTAGATTAAAACGATAGAGAATATGTGTGATTTTTTTACATTAGCTAACTGTAAAAAAATATCCAACTCAATAAAATAATAAAATTTAGTGTAATTTTTTTCTTAAAAATTATCATACTGATACAAACGGATACTTCAAACGCCCGCTATTTCGCGTGCTTGGCGTGACGTCACAGTATGATATACACAGAAAAATGACAACTGAATTTGTAGCAATAAAATCGCTAATTACTCTGTTATGATAATACTTTGACGTCATATTCGGTCTGACCAATGGCGTGCGTTTCAACTAGATACTTTGAATTTTCCACCTATATTTGCACTTTTTGATAATTGTTTTCTTAATCAAAAAGAAATCACATCAAAAATATAGGCTTAATTCAAAATCAAAAAAGATTATTAAAAAAAATACTTTACCTTTATTTAAATCACATGCATATTCCCTAGTCAGCATCACATAAATTTCTAAGCAGACAGCAGAAAGGTCGACGTAGTTATAAAATTATACTAGTTTTAAAAGCTTTCTTAGAGATTTTTTGCAGTTTCTTACGAGAACCATTTTATATACCAGGATAAAAAGCATTTTATGGCGTTTTCCGTCTCATAAACTACCTTGATGCAAAAAACGGTCCATCTATACACATATATATAAAAAGATAAGCGGCTAATCAAAGCACAAATTTATTACAACTTTCATCGTTATACATACGAGTATATACTACATATATGTAAATGTAATAGACTTGTAGATCTATATAATAAAATTGTAACTAAGCCGAATCTGTACATTAAATATTTTTTAGAAAATCTTATTGAAATAAACGTTATTATCGATACTGAGGCCGAATCTATAGTTTTTAGAAATTTTGTCTGTCTGTCTGTCTGTTACCGCATCACAGAAAAACCGCTGGAGGGATTTTGATGAAGTAGTAAAAACAAACAAAAACAATCGAACCCCCTACTAACTATACTGTGATAGTCGTTCAGTTATTTGTTGTCTCGACAAATATATATATTAATTAATATTAAATAAAATAATTAATCAATGAATGACTCTTTAACAAAAATCTTTTAAAAAAATTACAAAAGGCTACAACCAGGTGCTTTGTATATACTATTCATTATTTGAGATGTAAGAAATATTTCCACTTTGTATCAATGTTATTTCGCAAAGTTTTCATTGTCTTATGGTTTGCTAGAAGATGTCAGAAAACTTTCGTAATTAAATTTCAAAATGAATACCTCTTTCTTTGTGAATCTTATGTACCTCAAAGTAATTAGACAACTATTTTAAAACGCTTAAGGAAATATTTTAGATTATCAGTAGAAAATTTCTTTTTTATATCTACTAGCGATTAACTCTCGTTTCGCTCGGGTTCGTCCCTATGTACGTTGTAACTAATGGTTAGTATGGAATAGATATTATATGATATACAGCCTTCCTCAATAAACGGGCCATCTAATGCAATATTTTTTTTAAATTGGATTGGTAGTTTTAAAGGTTAACGTGTTCAAACAAACAAACAAACAAACAAACTGCCCCTTTTTTATAATATTATGGTATAAATATAATATGGCAGCCTCAGAGATCTTTACTACAATGAAATGCTTACGCCAATCTCCCAGGATTCCTTTGAACTAAAAGTCCTAAGTATGATAATACTTTCTTAGATTTACGCGAATGTTTGACATTATTAAATAAAACTATCTTTTCGGATTATTTCGCGGATTTACTTTGATTTTTGGTTCCCGACGTTTCGAATGCTTTACAGCATCCATGGTCACGGGAGAGACTGAGGTGTTACATGTCTTAAAGATATAGTTGTTACAGACAGCCTACCCACAATCAACAAAATGAAAATTGCACCAATTACATTACAATATTTTAACTTTAAACATTTTTATAATTTTAATTATAATTGAATATGGAAAATTATTTATTAAATTTTTGCTATTATTTTTATAATTATTACAATTTTAAAAATATTAATTATTAATCTATATTTAGTGTTGCCATTATTATATTTATAACCATAAAGAAAAATATAAATATATATATTTTTTCTTATTTAATAATCCTAAGTATGATCTTATGACTAGTTCCTAGAAAGTAGTATCTCATATACCTACATATATTTTTTATTGCATATTAACAGAGTAACACAGATAATACAGAGACCAATGTGGGCAAAAGTGAACTTATCTCTAGAAGAGATCTCTTCCAGCAAACCTATGGAAGTGAGAAATAGTGTTATTCGACGGGCCTAAAAGAGTGCAATTGCTTTAAGATAAAATTATAAATAATTATATACTTGAATAAGATAAAAAATAAATAAATAAAACACACACATAATGATAAATACACAATAACTTACATGTTATACATACTATATATGTACATATTATACATACTATACACATATATACATACATATATGGCTCATTTCACTCGCTTTATAATAATAACGTTGGATGATTAAACTATATTTAATCTATCCGGTAATATGGCAAAATAACATAATATATTCATAAATAGCATATACATCCGAAATTACACATAATTGATTTTGAAACATCCATAACAAATATAATTTTCGTTTATCTTTTCAAACATTTTACCTGAAATGGGCTAGGTATATTTAAATAGACTTTTTTTTTAATTTTACTATAGTATTTATCGTTTGAACAATATGAATTAAAAACAAAGCAGTGCTTCATTTATTCTACTTCAGTCTAGATAAAGTTTCTGATACTAGCTCTCAACCTCGGGGATGTTATAGTACACAAATATATTTGTAATTATAGTTGCGTTTTCATATGGCAGTAAGGGTTGTGAACGGTAAAAGTTTAGACGGCTTTAGGTATTCTGTAAATAGCTGCCCAAGAACAAAAGTGGCATTTTTGTTTTAGAAAAAGAATTAGGGCTCCGCTCATAAAAATAATAAATACCTAGGGAGGCACCCGAGAAAAGCGAAGGTTAATTCGCTAGTATACGACGATACGTTTGGCTCAGTTTGTAGTGACCCTACCTGCTGTACCAGAGGTCGCGGGTACGAGTCCCTTTGGGGGCATTCATTTGTGGATGAGCACGAAAGTTTGTACTCCAGTCATGGGTATTTATATTTATAATATGTATATTGTATGTATCTAAAGTTACATATGTGTAGTGTATCAACTATCTGGTATCAATAACACAAGCCTCGTATCTTACAATGGAACTAGATGCTGCTGCGTGTTAATGTCCCAACGTATTTATTCATTTATATAGTAAATATTAATCAAAGGTCAAACCTGGGTCTGAGTCAATAAACTAATTCATTTTACTTCGATAAGATCTGACCCTAGCAAATATTCTATTCTATTATTAGTCACTTATTTCATTTAGTATGGGATAGGCTAGTCTCCAACTTTCTTAACATACATATAACCTTTGATTGGTAATCACATTATTATCCCATCCATACTTAATATTATATATGTGAAAGTGTGTTTGTTTGTTTGTCCTTCTTTCACATCGAAACGGTGTGACGGATTGGCGTGATCTTTTGTGTGGAGATAGTTGGAGGGCTGGAGACTGACATAGGCTATTTTTACCGCGGGAGTTTACCTAATTCCCACGAGAAAACACTTTATAATACAATCCAAAAAAATGTTTTTGATCAGAAACTTGAAACTTGGTATTAATGCTCTTCAATAAAATTAAATAAGTACGTGTTTTAGCATTTTTCGAAATTCATCCTATAAGGGGGTAAAATACAGGATGAAAGTTTGTATGAGAAACTACCTTTTTGGAGTTTTTTTATAGTTTTAGCGCGAGCGAAGCGCGGGTTCTACTAGTTAATATTATAAATGCGAAAGTTTGGATGGATGTTCGTTACTCAATCACGCTAGAATAGCTGAATGGATCAAGATGAAATTTGGCACACAGATAGATTATAGTCTGGAATAGAACATATGTTATTTTTTATCCTAGAAAAAATGTACGATTCCCGTGGAATATATAGATTTGTTTTTGTTTTTCATAGAGCAAGGGATCGACTGTCTTTTCCATACTAACCGTTTAAACGTACCTAGGAACAAACCCAAGCGAAGCAAGGGTGACTCGCTACTCGCTAGTTTCAAATAATTCCTAGAATACCTACTGTCGAGGTCATATTGGTTAATTATTATTGTAGAACATAATATATTATTAAAGTGTCGCTAATTAATTATTGAAATTATAAATTGTAAATAGAATTTTAACCGATTTTAAAATAAGATGGGGTATTTAATGTGGTTTTATATTTCTAATGTATTTTCGCCGATTGCTAATAAATTTACATAATTCTATTAAATTAGAATATAGAAATAAGTTATGCTTCAATGCAGGCCTCTAATTGAATTTAAAAAATTCTTGCACTGAGGGTGGAATATTTAAAGTTATTTTTAAGTTACTTTAAAGATGGTATGTTTTTAGGGTTCCGTACCTCAAAAGGTGAATAAAAGGAACCCTTATAAGATAACTAATCCCTTATAATATACTAAATATAAATATAATAGGTACATATTAATTGTTTAAATTAGTTATTATTGATTTTTTTGTTTTAAAATTCTATATTTTTTAATTTGTAATTTTAATGAATTGTTATTTTTTTAAATTAAATTGGAATTATTATTATACTATTAATTAATACTAATGTGATAGCCTGTTAAAGTTAGCAAGTTGTAACTACCTATAATTAAAAGTGCAATTATCATGATAAATTATATGTAACCTAAGTTTAAGTATTATAATATTGTAACTTTTGTTGGTAGTTCAATAAATAAATAAATAAATAAATAAATAAATAAATAAATAAATAAATAACTCTCTTGTCCATCTGACCCATCTGTCCGTCTGTCTGTTTGTCAGTCCGTGTATCACCAAAGATTTTCTCAGGAACGGGTGTACCTTAAAAGTTGAAATTTATACTAGATACTGAGGTCTACCCTGAGTCAACACAATAAAAAGATATGGGCAAGTTTAGATTTTCGCGAAAACTTTTAAGTACCAAAAATTACCTTAATTTCCATCCTCTTTTATTTTTCTAAAGAAAAAGACTAGAAGACTAAAAGACTTTGCTTCTAACCAAAATTGACAATTCTAGTTCAACCGGAAGTACCCTATAGGTTTCAGGTCAAAAACCTATATGGTAGTTCCCGTTGACCTAGAATAGAAATTTGGCAAAAAGCAAAGTTTCACAGCACAAATAAAGGAAAAATTCCAAAAAAGAAAAAAAATTGAAAATTAAAGTTAAACAGATTTCCTACAAATTTGTATGGAACCCTCGGTGGGCGAGTCCGACTCGAAATTGTCCGTAATTTTTTTTTGTAGTATAAAATATTTTCAAGTAACAATCTATGGATACTTAGAAATAGAATTAGTGGTCCAGGGTCCTTCCTGTGATTTTATATCCAAGTTAATATTTGCACGATGCGAAAGCCGAAACAATCGTAAAAAATAATAGCTAATAGAGCTTAACTCCGGAATGCCAGAATTTATTTTCATGGGAGTTTTACTTATGGATAGAGAATTAGGCAAGAATATAGGTAATATATAGATCTTTTAAGTCGAATCTGTACAATAAATATTTTTTAGAAAATCTTATTGAAATAAACATTATTATCGATACAGAGGCCGAATCTATAGTTTTTAGAATTTTTGTCAGCCTGTCTGTCTGTCTGTTACCGCATCACAAAAAAACCACTAGAGGGATTTTGATGAAATTTGGTATGGTGATAGCTGGTTATCCGGGTCAACACATAGGATAATCTCTCGCGGGAAAATATCTCATTTGTGAGAAAAAATACAAAAACTGCATTGTAAGAGTATACCAATATGTAAAACCTAAGAGTTTAGTTATTGGTCACCTGAACGCGGACGGAGCCGCGGGGAGTGCTAGTTTTAAATAAAAATAAAACAATATGTAATTATATAAACGTCATTAAAGCACTAACTTTTCCAACTGAAAATGACTAAGAGAATGCAGAGAGAATTCATTCACAGGTTTATTCACGTTAGAATAATCTTAATCCTAATAAGTATAAAATATTAAGGATTCAAACTGAAGCAGCTGTCTAGAACTTCGTATCTCACTGCAGTGTCGGGTATTTGAATATGTTTACAACTTTGAACGCTAGAACAATGAATTTTAAGGTAAGCAAAACTAAATCTTGGTAAGAATAGTGAATCCATATTAAATCTATTTGAATGTCTTTCTGAATATTTTGAAATCTAACAGCGACTTGTGCTCTTAAAGAGCTAGCTAGTATGATTTGGATAAAATTATACGGTACCTACTTATAAGAAAAACACATTTTTTTAATTTTATGTCGGTCTTTATGTTTGTTATGTTTGTTCCGGTTAATCTCCGAAAAGGCGATTAGTATATTATACTCGTTTGTATTAATATAAAAAAAATTTAAATTAATATAAATTTTTTAAAGTAAAATACGAGCAATAAAAATACTAATTTATTCTTTTGTATTTTTTAAGCATTAAAGATGACCAAAAACCACATTCTTAGTATACTCTTATATTGGAATTTTTGTATTTTTTCTCAAAAATGAGATATTTTCCCGCGGTAAAAAGTATCCTATATGTTGACCCGGATATCCAGCTATCACCATACCAAATTTTATCAAAATCCCTCCAGTGATTTTTCCGTGATGCGGTAACAGACAAACAGACAGACGAAAATTCTAAAAATTATAGATTCGGCCTCTGTATCGATAATAAGATTTCCCAAAAAATATTTAATGTACAGATTCGGTTTAGTTACAATTTTATTCTATGTATCGATTAATATGTATTGTTTAACCGTTTTCATTTAATGTTACAAATGTTCACTTTAAAATATCACCAATATCTTTTGAAAGTATTGGCTTTAAAATACACTTGTCTTAAATATTAGCACAGCTTAAGCTTAGAAGCTGAAGGCTATCTAAAACATCGTTTAGTCTAGCCGAGTTATTTATTATTTTCATTTACCCCAGGCAAGTTGAAACTTAATTAGGTGGTAAACTCTTTGTAGCTCGCTTTTCCCGCAATCTTTACTAATATTTTAAATATAAAACAAAGGTTTATCGTATTTTAAATAAAGAAAGTATTACAGTTACAGTACGATTTACCCTCGCTTCGCTCGGGTTCGTCCCTAGATTGATTCCCCATTTTCACCCTCTTAAAGGATGACTTCCGGGATAAAATCTATCCTGTATCGTTTCCAGGATCTCAAACTATCTTCTTACCAAATTTCTTCTAAATCCGTCCGGTAGTTTTTGAGTTCATTCTTACAAACATGCAAAAATACAAATCTTTCCTCTTTAAAATAGTAGTGTAGAAAGTGTAGATGTAAAATTAATATTGTATACAATAACATACTAAGCTAAACAACGAAGCCATTAACGGGCATTTAAAATGGGAATGGGACGACAATAAGTAGTTAATTATCTCATCATTTAATTTAATAATAGACAAGAGGATTTTACAGTAAGTGTTTGAATTAAAGGCAAATTAAATGTCAATTAACTTGTTACGTTTAAGCTCGAAATTAAAAATTCGGTAGTTATTCTTTATATAAAAAAGCCCGGGCTGTTTGTAATATTACTCCTAAACGTCTGAACCGATTTGGATTCTTTTTTTGTTTAGGTACTTATATTGTCACATGAATTCCTTTTTCCATAGTTGACGCTTGGAGAGTGATATTTTATATCATACCTCAACAAAAATGGTTGCGGCTAAAAAACAGAAAAAGACCATCGAGTTTATCAACTCTCGAGTGGCTCTAGTAATGAAATCTGGCAAATACTGTCTGGGATACAAGCAAACATTAAAAACATTACGTCAAGGAAAAGCTAAGCTGGTCATCATTGCTAAGAAAGCACCACCATTGAGGAAATCTGAGATTAAATGCTATGCTCTGTTGGCCGAAACTGGAGTGCACCACTACAGTGGCAACAACATTGAATTAGGTATAGCCTGTGGAAAGTACTACAGGGTGTGCACATTAGCCATCACCGACCCAGGAGATTCTGACATCATCACTATCCTCCCTGAGGCAACAGCTTAGATAATAAAAATAATATAAATGATTCTAACTACATATGAACATGATAGATGGCGCCGTTGTCGAGGTCAAAGTTGTTTTTTTACAACCAAACAACACACTTTTTTAAAAAAAGAGGATGATTCTTTTTTAGAAAGAGGATAATTAGAAATTATTAATTTTCTTTAAAAGATTAATCAACTCTAGTCACGAATAAAAGGTATTTAATAAGTACTATTACTACTTTATTATTATGAAAAAAATATCTTACCTGGTGGCCATTCCTGTCCATACACAAAGATCTCAGATCGAGCGATATCCACTCTGTTCCAAGTCAGAGCCAAACTTAACTGCTCGCTTGGCGACAAATGCTGAGCACGAAATAATGCTGTCAGGATGACCTGGTCTAGCTCCTGAATTTCACCACCTTCCGCTCGCTCTTGGATTCTGAAGACTGTTATCTAAGAAAAAATAAATAAATGATAAATACTAAATATATAAGTCTATATAAAAATTAAATAATGGTGCTTGGTTTTTAGTAGGTTCTTATATTGAGATGTCCATGGCTACTTGTATCACTTCATATTCGCTGTAGTCTCTTCGCTTGAGTGCGCCCTTTAATGCCTTTTTTTTTAACGTTGGGAAATGCATTTACGCACGAGTTGTGGGACTCACCGGCGAAGCCAGTACTACCCACTAAAACCCAACAAAACCTTCCCCCGTCTTAATGGGGCGTCGCAGGATCGCTTACGCATTCAACTACGATGCCCCGACGGCAGGTCTGCCGAAGCAGACCACCACAACCATGGGGTTGCTCCAAGGTCCACTCTGCTATCAGAGAAGTACCAGGAGCAACCCGCATGGTACACCGCCCTCTGAAGAGGGCCACCTCCCACCGCCCACCGAAGTGGGCCACCTCCCTGTGCGTTTCTTGGCTTCGCGCCCGGTTGGGTTGCCGGGCACTACTGAGACCCCCCCCCCCCACCACGACAAGGTGAACGCACGTTGGGGGGGCGCCCTTTAATGCCTAGTCTATCTCTATATTAAAATTCATCCAACTCCGTCCAGTTGTTTCAACATGGAGGACTAACAAACAAACATTACGCACATATGTATAAACTTCTGTATTTATAACAGCTGTAAGCACGATAAAAAAGCTCACACATTTTTAAAAAAATATTAGTAGTTTTTCTATTCTTACGTATCCAACACTGGATTTTGAGATATGGTCCAAAATGATACTCTATATTTCCTGGGCTTTCGTAGAGATAAATAGGATAGATATAAATATAGATAATATTATATTTAGTACCTGTTGTAAAATTTTAAGTAATGAAATAAGACATCTAATTTTCATTTCAAAGAGATTATAATAGTGATTATGATCTTCGCTTTGATGATGTGTTATATAGTGACGGCACAGTACTATGTCTCATCTTCAAACGAAAGTCAGTCTAGACGGATATCTTTAACATTAATATTTAATGTAAATATTAACAACTAGAATTTTTCCGATGTTTTAATAGTTATTCTACTATTTGGGGTGAAAACAAATCCAACAAAATAAAGATCATAAAAATCGGTAAAGCAGTTCTCGAGCTATGAGTGTTGTAACAAACCCGATTTTGTTCTATATTTTAATTTTGTCAAGAGATATGCCACTACCCTGTCACATTTTCACAAAATGTTTAAATGAAACGAAATTTAAATACGCACTGTATTCAATAGGTATACTGATATACGTATAAATGGAAAATATTAATTATAATTTATATGATGTAAATACCCTGTTAAACACATATCCAACAAAAATTAAATGTCATATTAAAGCGACATATATAATTTGTGATCAAAGTAAAATTAAAATGGCTTGTATATTTATTTAAAAGCAATATAATAAAAGATTAATTTTCATAATATGTCTGATATTGTTTCTCTTTTTATTTTATAATTAAACTAGCAAAACCCGCGGTTTGGCCTCGTTCAAAGTACAAAAAAACAAACTCTTCTTTCCCTGAAAATAATGTATGACCGTTTGCCTGATTTGTTCACATTTATGACTACTGCATCGCTCCCTTGGGATAATGATATATAGCCTATAGCCTTCCTCAATAAAGGGGCTATCTAAAGTAAAAAGATTTTTTTAAATCGGATTAGTAGTTCCAGAGTAATCTCTTTATTTGTTTGTTTGAACGCGCTAATGCGCGTTCAAACAAACAAATAAAAAAAACTCTGCCTCTTTATAATATTAGTATAGATATATTTCGAAATACTACGTATTTCTCACATATACTGTCTTTAACAAAGTTAGTTTTGATTTCCCATATACCATTTACACCTTCACTGACCCAAACATGCTAAAGGATGATGAAAAAACATTATTTCATTATATAAATATTGAATGTCCTGACCTAAAGTGAAGTGAAATATTGTAAAGAAAGGTTTCGAATGTATAATGCAATCTACTACACAGGGTCATTTTTAATTTACTGAAAACCTTTTGGGAATATACTATTTACATCATAACAACAACATCTGTAACAAGAAAAAATTATATTTCTTAAATTTTTATTTTCATACAAAAATAAAAATATTTTTATTGCACCTTCTAAACGATAAAGTTCTAGCATCTGGCCAAGTCTAAATGAGTAAGGGCCACTTCCTACACCCCTCCACCCCTCCCCCTCCACCCCTCCCCCTCCACCGGTCATGCGCTTTCTTTTGCTAATTGCTGGACGATTACCGTTTAGAAGGTGCAATAAAAATATTTTTAGTTTTGTAAAATTTTTAGTTTTGTAAAAGGTTTTCAGTAAATTAAAAATGACCCTGTATAAATATCTCGTGTCACGGTGTTTGTGGTCGCACTCCTCCGAAACGGCTCGAACGATTTTAATGATATACTTTTTTGTATACCTATTTGGTAGGTATACGAATAAGTCGTAAAGAATTTTTCACCCTCCAACCCCCATCCCTCATTTTTTAATTGCGATTTTAGTATTTTTGTTTCTAACGTTAGATTTCTTTGATAATTAATATGTCAGAACAATATTTGCCGGGTCAGCTAGTTCTATTATAAAAATAACGGCTGAGCTATTGCGAGACAAAGTATGACAATTTGTTCGAGCATATATGGTGCAGTGGTAGCCCAGAGGTAACGTGTCCAGAGACAACCAAGTTAAGCGGGTTCAAACCCCGGTTTTCGCACTTCTGATTTATTATACACGAATTATCTTCAACAAACATATACCTGCCTAACGGGGAAAGCAAACATCATGAGGAAACTTGCATGTCTGAGAGAATCTAATAGATTCAAAAAGACATGTGAACCAACCCGCATTGTGGATCATGTAGATTGACATCGAAAAGACCCGTGTAAAGGAATGGGACGTTAATTTTTGTTCGATTGATTAAATAATAAAAAAGATATGTTATGTCATAAATCACAACGAAATTAGAGAAATTTAAAAGTGTATACATAATAAATAAATAAAAAATAAAAATAGCCTTTATTCTCTGACCAATTCACAAATACTAAAAACTTATTCATCTAACTTAATAACTATTGAGTATTTTAACACCTATTATAAGCTACTTTTTTTTATACGTAACCGATACTTAAAAATAAAAGAATTTCTCAAATTAAGGTGCTTTTAAACTGATTAAATAGTCTCGGTAATCCGTACGTACCTATGTTTCAAGATTATCTTGGACAATTTTTCATCGTTTTGTTCAAACGTTTCACAACAAGGAGATAATAGCGGAATAGAGATAAGAAAGCCGTCTTGTGATGTAAGTACTCGAGAAACTCGGTGTAAGTATTGTATCGTCGTTATATCGAAGAATCATAAGAAAAATTTAATGGCGATACTTGAAAAAATATCCTGCCCATATTCCTACATCGACTACTACTCCTCAAATAAAAGGATAATCTATACTAATATAATAAAGAGGTAAAGTTTGTGGATTGTGAGTTTGTGAGTTTGTGACGTTGTAGGGGGTAATCTCTGGATCTACTGAACCGATTTAGATGAAACTTGGTAAGAGGATAGTTTGAGACCCTGGAAAGGACATAGGATACTTTTTATCCTGGAAATCATCCCTTAAGGAGGTAAAATGGGGATGAAAGTTTTTATGGGGGATCAACCTAGGGACGAAAACGAGCGAAGCGAGGGTGAGTCGCTAATTAATTATATAAATAAACTTCTGAATCCGATAAATCCGGTTTAATGAAATCGAGTTGAAAACTTTTAAATGTGCCAAAAAATCTTTCAAGGGTAACCTTATAATAATGAAAAATAACAACACTAAATTGTGTACTAAATAGCTAAAAATTTAGTTACCGCTCTCAAAACCCAATTTAATTAAATAATACATACATATCTCTTCATCATCATCTCTTTAGACAAAATATCTAAATGTTCTATATAGTAATTAGTTACAAAATATACAGTAAACAAATAACACATGCAACGAACCTCTCTGTTTATTAAATACTTCAATTTCTTCGATTGACTAATGCCCGATTTCACCAACAACCCATAAGCTACCACCTACGTATGGGATCCCTAGCTTAAAAGTCCCCTAAACTAGCCCCTAAATTAAATTTCGTTTTACGATTGTCTTTAAGCCCATATTTCGAGCACCTAAACTTAGGGGGCCTTTTAATATTTAGGTAACCCCGAACTGTCGGTGAGACAGAAACTGTCCCCTAACAGCCCCCCAACCATGCTTACGGGATCCCTTAAACTTAGGTGACTTTGGTGAAATCGGGCATGAGTCTCCGTAATAACATATCGAAAGAAAATAACAAATTTCTTTATGTTAAAACGGACTGTTCATTTCAAGCAATACTTTTCTAAATATTTATAAGAAGACTGAAGTTTAAAAATAATTCTAACAGTGAGTAAAGTTTATTTATCTCCATCAAGCTTTATTCTATTCGATACAAAGAGAGTCTCCGCTTTCTGTTCGAAATATATAATACATCGACAGAATGCACCTTAGATTTTATTTAAGCCGCACTAATCAGACCACACTAAGATCAGTACTTTAAATTGTAAAGCTAGTGTATATGTATATTTGCGCACTATGAAGCAACCTGCATGTCTGAAAAAACCTAACAGCTTTTTGAAAGAAATGTCCTCCAAATGCTTCTGCGTAGCGTGATACCCGTCGTATTGCGGGGATGGATGGCCCGTGTCCAATACAGAATTAAAAAAAAATACTCGTACTAATGCAAAGTGCATACAGATATAGAAGTTCAGATCCTTATTCGTAAGAGTAAATCCAATGTGTCCCTGCAAAATTTATTCCAAGATAAATTGTAGGAGTCGCTTTAACGGTCACTTTAAAGTGATACAAATACTAAGCAATCTTTACTAATATTATAAAGAGGCAAAATTTGTGAGTTCTTTTGTAGGAAGTAATCTCTGGAAGTACTAAACCGATTTAGATGAAATTTATTAAGAAGACAGTTTGAGACCTTGGGAAGGACAATAGTTTTTATCCCGAAAATCATCCCTTAAGGGGATAAAAATGGGGATGATTGTTTGTATGGGGAATCAACCTAGTTTGTTATAAAATTTCTCGTCTTAAAGTTAATAATGAAAGTACTGTAAAAATATAGATAATATAAGAATTCAGAAACTTATAAAAACCATTATGTTTACGAAACCACCGAAAAATCCTTTAAGATTAGTATCTGTTCTTTAAAGGGAGTTAATAAGCATGAAAATCGAAATTGTATACTATCTGAGTACGCCTGGCGTCTTTGTACATTAAAAGACATTCATTTTATTTGATGTGGCTGTAATTTACTTTCGGCAAATGAAATTTATATGCAACGATGAGCTTGATTTAACCAAGTGTCCCGGAAAATTGATCATTTTATTATATAACTAAGAGATTCTAAGATTCAGAAGCGAGGGAAAGACATTAAGATGTGATTAATATTATTGTCTGGTATTTATGAATAACTCTCTCTTTCAACGGACGACGCTGAGACGAAATCGTTTGTCGAATTCCAAATGCTTTGCTACAAATATATTTTATAACTAGCATTTCCCACGGCTACGCCCGTGTTCACATAACCAAAAACCAAATTCTTAGGTTTTATATATTAGTATACTCGTAAATTGCATTTTTTGAATTTTTTCTCAGAAATAAGATATTTTCCTGCAGTAAAAAGTATCCTATATGTTGACCTGGATAACCATACCAAATTTCATCAAAATCCCTCCAGTGGTTTTTCTGTGATACGGTAACAGACAGACAGACAGACAGACAGACAAAAATTCTAAAAACTATAGATTCGGCCTCTGTATCGATAATAATGTGTATTTCAATAAGATTTGCCAAAAAATATTTAATGTACAGATTCGGATTAGTTACAATTTTATTATAATATGTATAGACTTTAAAATAAAACTATGAAAAATCGACTATTTGTTTTATACAATTCCATTAAAAAATCGATGAAATAAGTTATATTGTAATATTCATATTTATATAAGAAACAATAAAATTCATTAATAGGAGAATCCTATTATTAAGCGATAGCCTATCAATATATTTGAGGCTAAATTGAATTCATCTAAGAGTTGAGTATACTAGAAGTGGCACCTCTATTTTATGAACATGTACGTACATATATTATCTACATAGATAAATAAAATTGAAGTGTCTGTTTGTAATGTCAAAATAACAGCTTTTTACTAAATGCATATGAAATTATATACGGTACTTATAAGAAAAACACAATTTTTAAAAATGTTGTCTGTCTTTTTGTTCCGTATAATATCCGAAACGGCTGGACTGATTTTGACGGGACAATTTTATTTATCTGTATAGATCTCTAAAGATGTTTAAAATGATACGTACGTACGTAAGTCATAAATAGAGAAAAAAGATTTAAATGATATTTCAGATCCTATTCTGTATTTAAACTTTTAAATAAATACGCAAAGATAGTTTTATTTAAAAAGCCTAAAAAAAGTGTTATTTAAACTTTTCTCATATTCTATGATACTGCACATGGAGTGAAGGTACAGACATGGCTTTATTAAAAGCCATGTCTGGTTCATCAGGTTAGCGTTGATTGATCATAGCAGCCATCGTTTCACGTTCTACTTGAAATGAAAACTTGTTAGCTATAAAATATACTCATATATTGGCGACTAAAAGTATAGGTATTAAATAATTTAATATACTCATCTATTATTTTATTCACGTCCCACACATTCATTTCAACTTTGCGTTTCTGCTACATGTCATTTTGTATTACATTAAATATTTCATTGATGTTTTATTTGTATTCTGATGTTGTAATTTACGAGATATATTGAAAAATCTCGCTCAGCAAGTGCCCCGTAGCATGAAAAATTTAGTTTATTATAGAAAACTTTTTCTTTTGTAACTTTCATATAATAAAATTATTGTAACTAAGCCGAATCTGTACATTAGATATTTTTTGGAAAATCTTATTGAAATAGACATTATTATCGATACATATATTTTAGATTTTTTGTCTGTCTGTCTGTTACCGCATCACAGAAAAACTACTGGAAGGATTTTTGATGAAATTGTCAACGGGAAGTACCATATAGGTTTTATTTCGCTTCCGAGTGTCAAAATTACACAGCTCCAAGGGATTGCAGACCTGAGTATTTGATATTAATTTCAACAATACCTACACTCGTTTCTGAGAAAACGGATTTTGACCGAACCCAAGTAGACAGACTGACAACGAAGTGATTCTATAGGTAAGGGTTCCTTTTTCTTTTTTAGGTACGGTAATTTAATGTTTCTTTGAAATATCTAGAACAGTCCAAAGTACTCACCAAATTCTTTTTTCTCGTGCATTGCAAAAGTTCGCCGTACAAACACTCAGCTTGCTGCAGTCCAACTTCAAAGGTCTTTTGAATGGTGCCGATTAGATAATCTCGCATCGACTCTAAAACCGTCTGCTCTCCACTTTCCGTTGCGTACCTGTTTGATGAAAAAGATAAACAATTGGATATTATTTCATCCGTATTAATATTATAAATGTGAAAGTTTGTGAGTATGTATGGATGTTTGTTACTCTTTCACGCCAGAACGGCTGAACGGATCTGGATGAAATTCGGCACAGAGATAGATTATAGTTTGGAATAACACATAGGCTACTATTTATCCCGAAAAATTTACGGTTCCCGTGGGATGGGTATGTTTTTGTTTTCATAGAGGTGAACCCGAGCGAAAGGAGGGTGACCCGCTAGTATATAAATAACGTTACCCTTTTAACGGCCTAGTTAGTTTGTCTTGTTTCAGAGACTCGTGAAACATGTTTATGTGAATACGTACATCTACACTTACACATATATCTATCCGGATAATCGCGAATCCGTATAACTGAGGGCCGGATAATCGAGTCTCTACTGTAATACATTTTTTAAAACTCAACGAAACTAACGCCTTAGGCTAGAAAAACTCCGGGAAAGAAACAAAGTACGTCAGGCTTACTGACGATTTTAATTTGCGTTTTGTACTTTTAAGAACATAACTAAATAATATTTGTTTTTCAGATCCCCAACTACATATAATTTTCTTGAATACGGTAAGTTATGTTAGTATAGGTACGTAAACACTTTTAGTAAGAAATATGAAGAGATTTATCTCTTGAGAAATGTCAATAGTTTGAAAGTTTAACTTCCTCTATAAACTTTAAAGTATATCGCACAAAGAGAAACTTTCACAAGAGATTATCTTGAGTTTGTATAATAAAATGTGTGAGGAGGCTTTTTTTAATTAAGTTTTGGATTCATCACTCTTACAGGCACTATTGAGTCTAAATTTTTAAGGCCTAGAAAATATCATCTTTTATATATCCTATTATTTAAGCATAGCGTATGTATCAAGTATTTAAGTTTTTAACCGACTTCCAATTCCAAAAAGGAGGTTCTCAATTCGTCGGAATCTTTTTTTTATGTATGTTCACCGATTACTCGAAGACGCCTGAACCGATTTGGATTTTTTTTTGTTTCAAAGGGTATTAAGGGCACTTCCCAGGTGGTCCCCTATGAATTTTACCGAAATCGGTCCAGCGGTTTTCAAAAAAATCCAACAATAATTTTTCTTAATAAATTGTTTAATCGAATATGTTATTAAAAAACGTTCTTCTTACAAATTACCTGCTTATTACGTCTACGCTAAAAATAGAAAAATCAAAACTTAAAAAAAACCGACTTCCAGGCACTAAAATGTAAAAAATAACTAAACTGGGGTTTTCATTTAGAATAGATACCTAATCAGATATTTGCGAAGTCGGTGCCAGCGGACAATATTTAAGGATATGAATATCTAATAGGTAAATTATATGTATTTTACGTATCAAAATATATTAGATATCCTATTTGCATATACATAAGTGCAAGAACGTACTTGTAGCATGTCTTTCAATAAACATGTCTGCTTTTAAAGAGCTTAAAGCTGCTAAAAGTGAAATAATTAGTCAAACTAGATGTTAATTTTTTCGTTTTTGTTTAGTCTCAGTTGTGAATTTTGCTATTCAAGTATAAGCTTTGAGAAATTAAAAATCTTCATCGAATTTTTGGTCACGTTCGAGTTATTTGCTGTTTTATTTTAAAAACTGGAATTGGTCTCTTTGAATACGTCACTTTGTATTATAGTTATTTGTTTTGAATTTAAATTCAAAATCTATCAAAATATTTCTTCTATTAATGAAAATCTTTTGTTATATACCCTCAAGCGGAAATCGGATAAGCCATTTTCCGAAAAATCAAACTTATATACCAATATACGGCTTAAGTCGATTCAGTTGCACGCGAGTGTATATGGATACGTACATTGATTCACTTAAATTAATACGTCCTGCACGCAGTTTCGTTCGTATGTAGATATTTAGTATTCCATGGTGCACATAAACTATATCTACATAAAACATTTAAATATACATATGACATTGTGTAGAACGAGGAATTACAGCTGTAACTATAGATTTACTCGACCGACAGAAATAAAATTAACTAAAAATTAATTAAAAAAATTGTGTTTAAATTTACAACAAATTACAATAGATACAAGAAAAAAACAATCAGTTCTAGTAATATGTTTTGTTTTAAAGATTCCTTTTATATTTAAATTGTTTATTTGTTAATTTCAGCTAACAGATTGGAAACTTCATATTCAATGAATAGTTTAATTATAAATTGTAACAAGAAATTTATTATTTAAGAACAAAGGAATTGAATGAAGATATTAGAATTTAAAATTTAATCTGATTCAAAGCGTAATAAAGCACGAATAAAACGGTTTTACGGTTTGGTTAATTATATACGAACAAACCGATGAATGGATTTATCTTTGAGGTTCACCGTAAATATGCCCATACTCGTAGATCGTATATCTGTATTGTTATACCTGTATTGTATTTAACAACATTACACTTAATATGTACATAATACTTCTAATCGCTTATAAGCAATAAAATCACCATTTTATACAAATTTTTTATATGCATATGTGCCTTGTATACTATTTTTTAACCCCCGACGCGAAAAGACGAGTGTTATAAGTTTGACGTCGATGTTTATATGTGTATGTGTGTGTGTGTGTGTGTGTGTGTGTGTGTGTGTGTGTGTGTGTGTGTGTGTGTGTGTGTGTGTGTGTGCGTGTGTGTGTGTGTGTGTGTGTCTGTCTGTGACATCGTAGCTCTCAAACCGATGGACCGATTTCGATGCGGTTTTTTTCCATTTGAAAGCCAGTTTCCTTGCGGTGGTTCTTATTGTTATTCTTGGCGTGATTTTTTTGTAGAGATAGTTGCGAGGGCTGGACATACATACATAGACTTTACTTCAAAAAAACACGTTATAATACAACCACATCACAACAACTCATCATACCTTTGTATATAATAATATATAGTCTATCTATTCCATACTAACCGTTGAAAGGTATCGTACTAATATGATGAAGCACGTAATAATAATAAAGTACCCACTCACATATATTTTTCTTCATACATCAAATAACTTGTCATTTAAAGGGGTACATTTGATTTATTACTAATTTGGAGAGACCTCACTGAATCTATAAATGTATTTATCATTTTTATTTAAATGATTTCGATATCAATGCTTCATAATTTAGATACTTTATTAGACATTTTGAAAATACGTTCGCGAAAAATAGTCTCTATTTACGCGAATATTTGACATCTTGTATACCTAAATAAAAGAAAGTCGGGTTAGTTAAACCATTTATAACTCAAGAACGGCTGGACCGATTTTGAAGATCTTTGATTTGTTAGATTTGGCTCCACCCCGAAAACCAGAATAACTCTTAAAGCAACGGAAAATATTCAAGAAAACAATAAATAAATAATAAATATGTTGGGACATTAACACACAGCACCATCTAGTTCCATGGCAAGCTACGAGGCTTGTGTTATGGATACCAGATAGTTGATACACTACACAAATATAAACTTTAAATATATACATATTATAAATATAAACACCCATGACTGGAGTACAAACATTCGTGCTCATCACACAATGAATGCCTCCAGCGGGACTCGAACCCGCGACCGCTGGCACAGCAAGTAGGGTCACTACACACTGAGCCAAACGTGTAAATATGGATAACGTTGACTAATAAGTATTGATTTTTATTTAAAATAATATATGGAAGTACCTAGGAACAGACCCGAGCGAAGCGAGTGTAACTAGCTAGTTTTAAATAAAATTATCTTTTCAGATTTTTTCGCAGATTTATTTTGATTTTTAGTTCCCAACGTTTCGAATGCTTTATAGCATCGTAAGAGATTCTCCCTCATGAGCATGACAGATAGATAGAAATAAAAGATAATTTTATTTAAAATAATATATTCGCTAAGTTTAAAACAAAATTACTTTACACACTTTCACAAAATTTCACACATAAGTCCTTACTTGTGTACAAAAGCTATTAAGTCAGCCGCCCTGCCGCTGCCGTCACACACGACGACGGGCACAGGTGGCGTGTCCGTCACGTACTCGAGCACGGCGCGCACCGTGTTAGTGCCGCCTTCTATCACGAGACAGACGACTGGCGTTGACGAATGAGTGTCTGGAACAATGTTTGTATTAAATGCCAAATATATTCTTCAAGATTAATATCTCACGGGAATTTGATGCACCGGGCTTAATAATAATAATGACCACTTGGCCGATTACGGTCATCGCAGTCAATTTTAAAGAGACCAGCCATGTTCACAGAAGATGTTATAGTGCACAAGTATGTACGCAAACACACGTGCACTCTCTATTTCTTTCACTCTCAAAGATCGATAGATACTTCGACACGACCGGTGACTGTGAGAGATTAGGCCCAGGACCAACGAGTTATCTGAGGCTTCAATGTGTAATACCGCCAACTTCTTAACCAGGCTTCCTTCCAGCCTAGTGCTAAGATATCATAACTCAATAACAACACTAGTTGTTGATCCGGGACTCGATCCCAGGACCCTCGGATCTGCAGCCTCACATATAAGCTACTCGACCAACGAGGCACCTATATGACTCTACCTATTATAAGCTATTACATATATCTATACACTATATAATATAAATGATCAGGTGAATTCTGCGTGAAATAAGGATAAACTAAATAAATTCACTTTCACACCTATATACAAATACACTATATAAAAAACAAAAGTGATTTAAAATTCGAAATATTTTATTCAGCATTAAATTATTACAATTTTTTACTGAACGTCATGAGTCTTCTACCAGTTCGGAAAGAAGAAGCCTCAGACCTGAGAAGAACTGGCAAAAGAAACTCAGAGTTGACTGATGTATCAACGCACAGGCCAAACCATAGATTATACACTTATATACTGGGGCCAAACCCTTGAAGGCTAGAAAATTGAAATTTCGCACTCGTATTCCTCGTATGACGTATCCACTAAGGAAGGAACGTGTCCACTAAGGAAGGATTTTTCAAAATTCAACCCCCAAGAGGTGAAATAGTGGAAAAAAGTGTGTATGAAACTTTTTATTGAGAACGGCAAAAATAAAGAATTACGTATTTCGGCGTTTTATCGGTAAAATTTTTGCCATACGTTTTGACAAAAACAAACTAAAAGTGCTTGAAAAAGCTCTGGCGCTTTGTATTTATATAGGGGAGGCGTTTTATAAAAATTGCGAGTTTTCTCCAAAAACTACGAAACGACTATAGTAAATCTACATGAAAAGGGTATTTCAAATTTGTGTTTGTTTATTTTTATTGTATACTACTTTTAGTCTGCAGTTTTACTCACGTGGAAAGTATACCGCTAAAAGCTTATAATATGTTAATCTTGGACGTAAGTTCCATGACACAGTCTTTGAATCGTAAAATATAAAGAATATAAAGAAAACATATATCGTAGAATATAAAGAAGAAACTAACGTACTCAATCACAAGCTTTCACATTTATTACACGACGCATAGTATGGAACGGATTTGTTTTTTATTTTATTTTTTGTGAATTTTTTCGATATTTTAATAGTTATTCTGCTATTCGGGGTGAAGACAAATCCAACAAAACAAAGTACAAAGATCATAAAAACGGTCCAATAGTTCTCGAATTATAAGTGTTTTAACAAACCCGACTTTGTTTTATAGGTGCCTATACTAGCGGCTCACCCTCACTTCGCTCAGGTTCGCTAGGTATGTACGTTTTAAATATATATATATATATATATATATATATATATATATATATATATATATACACACAGTTATTTGCCAGTATTAGCCATATAAATTTGAATACATGTATAAATATATATTTTGTCATTTTTCTGATGTTTTAATACTTATTATCCTATTCCGGACTAAGAGAAACCCAAAATATCAAATATCACAAAAATTGGTGCAGCTGTTCTTGTATATAAATGGTGTAACTAACACGACTTTGTTTTGACTTTGTTATATATATATATATATATATATATATATATATATATATATATAATTGATTGAAATATTTATCTTCAATATAAACATTTATTTAAAAATCCAGAACTCTATTTCATTGGCAATCGTAAAGCGCAAGGTGAGACTTAAAAAGTATACTCTTTACGATGGTAACCGTGGAGCATAAAACTGAGAAATAGGTCCTAAAATACCTTTGACACGTTTAATGGGATTGTAAATGTTTTACTCCTAAATTACAAGACATATACACATAATAAAAAATGTATAAAAATTTGTATATACACATATATTTAGGCGTTAATTCCACTTTTATTTTTCTAGTGATGATGATGATGTTCTCCTGACCGATTCCGGCCACGGCGGCCAATCTCATTGAGACTAGCCAACTGCGCAGGAGATATTATAGTGCACAAGTGTACGCGCAGACACAACGTGCACTCTCTGTTCCTGTCACTCTCATACTCTGGTGGGACGACCACTCGACACGATCGATGAGAGTTAATGCGCAGGACCGACGGCTTTACGTGCTCTCCGAGGCACGGGGGTCAAAACACCGCCAACCTCCCAACTCCGGGCTGTTACTGAGTCTTACTATACAGAAATACTTAATAACTAAACTTGGCCCGACCCGGGACTTGAACCCAGGACCTCTGGGTGTGCAGCCGTACATGCTAGCCACTACACCACCGAGGCATTTTTCTAGTATGAAATTGGGTAAAGCGAAAGTGTTTGGTGGTTATGGTCAATCTTGCTTTAAGGCTATAGTATAGTATATGTGGATTGAGGTTTTCGTTGACATTTTTACAGTTTCCGCTACATAAAGAGGCTATTCTTAAGTACCTATGAGAGTAACATCAATGTCAACCCCCGGCGAGGGCCTGAAAAATGACATAATTTTCCAAATAGCACGCCTTAGAGAAAATAAAACTAAATTGATTTAAAAAAGAAAAAAAAATTGTTGGTTATTAAATTCGAGAAACGATTATTTAGAAGGAATTATATAGCATTAATATATTTATAGAACTTTGTTTAAATCTAATTGGTTTTTGCTCTATGCCGTGTATCCTATGGCGAGGTATCCATACTAATATTATATGTGCGAAAGTTTCTCTCTATTTGTTTGTTACGTCTTCACAACTAAATGATAAATGACTGAACCGATTTAGGTGAAAATTGGCATGGTAATAGTTTGAGATCCTGGGAAGGACATATAATAGTTTTTACCCAAGAAACCATCCCTTAAAGAGATGAAAATGGGGTGAAAGTTTGTATGGGGAATCAATCATTTCTTAAGTAAGGGTTTATAAAACTCATCATACCTATGTATATATAGTTATCTTTTCCACACTAACCGTCATCATTTATATAATTTATTAAAAGCTCTTAAGTAGGTACATTACTAAAAGTGCTATCAGTAAAATAAATTAGAGATTATAATATAGTACATAAGGTAAAAGTTGAAAAATATTGAAAACCAGACGAATAAATTATTTCACATATAAATATTACAAGAATAAGTAAAGGTTACCACAATATTAGTGAAAACCGGATCCAAATCGGTTAAGCCGTTTCTGAGATTAGCACGCACAAACGCACAGACAAACAGAAAAACAGACAAATTTCTAAAAATCTTTGTTATGGTTTCTATTGCGTAAATAAAGACCCCAAATGATAGTTTTTTCTCAAATATCTTCCATGTACAGACAGCGATCTGTTACACTTTTATTATATGTATAGATTTACTTATATAAAAAATGCGTAAGTATGTATATTATGAAAAATATTACGATTTTATGGATAACGATAGTGACAAACTTTATTTACATTTAGAAGCAGCAGTTAAACGGCATAGATGTTATTTGGATAGTCCAATATTCCAAACGTATAGTCGTCGTATAAGGTCCTATTGAGATGTTTTATTTCGCCATATTGTATTTGTACAATTATTATCTGTACAAATACATTTGTATTATAAAAAGGCATTTTAAAATTGAGCTCCTTGTTTAAATATACTATACTTATTTAAGATTGCAACACTGTTTTCTTTATTATCACTATTCTATTTCATTGGCAATCGTAAAGTGCAAGTTTGGACTTACAAAATAGACTCAAAGAATAACGTAAACGCCAAAGCACCTTTAACATTTTTAATAGGATTTACAACCCCAACTCAAATCATAAAACATTCCGTAGAAAAACATCTATACATATAATAAAATTGTAACTAAGCCGAATCTGTAATATAAATATTTTTTGGAAAATCTTATTGAAATAAACATTATTATCAATACAGAAGTCGAATTATAGTCTTTAGAATTTTTGTCTGTCTGTTACCGCATTACAGAAAAGCTACTAAAGGGGTTTTGATGAAATTTGGTAAAGTGAAAGCTGGATATCAACATATAGGATACTTTTTACCGCGGAAAAATGTCTAATTTCTGAGAAAAAATACAAAAATGCAATGTAAGAGTATACTAATTGTAAAACCTAAGAATATGGTTTTTGGTCATCTTAACGCGGGCGGAGCCGCGGGCAACGCTAATATGTTATATATTAAAACTTTTCTGTCCACATTAATCGAAAATTATAAATCTTATATTAAATTATCCATATCCATACTACTCGTAATATTATAAATGTGAAAGTTTGTAACGATGGATGGTTGTTATTCTTTCACAGCTGAACGGATCTGGATGAAATTCGGCACAAATATAGATTATAGTCTGGAATAGCGTATAGGTTACCTTTTATCCCAAAAAATGTACGGTTCCCATGGGATAGATTTGTTTTTATCTAGAGACGAACCCGAAGCGAAGCGAGGTTGTGTCGCTAATTATTAATAATCTTATAAATATTTATTTATTTGGGTACCGTAATATTATGATAAACCAAAAACATAAAAACCGGTAATATATCTATGTAAGACATTTCTTTTCTATCATACAACATTTTAACGCGCTTTGAAAGCATTGAATTGAATAAGAAAATTGAATTGAAAATTTTGACAATCTATTTTTATTTTGACAATATTTTAAAAATTTTTTTGAAAGGCTGGCATTAAAATATACTTCAATAAGTATTTTTAAGAAATAAAAAAAAATACGAAATAAAATAAAAAAATGTGTATGTACACATGCGCGTAC